TTCCATTTCGTACGGGGTTATTATCATTTTAATCTTTTTTTATGTGAGGGTGCCTCAACGCCTGCCAGCCAAAGCGCCATTTCAACCCCGCATACTAGAATGAGTGTTTCCGGTTGCGTGTTGAAGATGACAATCTAGCTCATTTCCTGCTACCGTTCGACCTCCGGTCCCGCCCCTATCCCTCAACTTTTTTGCGTTCCTTCTTTGGGGAAGAGTGAAGGAAAGAAAGGCACAAGTGCCGATACGAGAGATATAGAGAGAGCATGAATTAAGGAGGAAGTCGGTTTCAGTTCAGCAAGACAGACAGACAAAATCCATCAATGGGGGACCATTCGCATTACCTCCTCTTTCTACGTGATTTCCTCTCTCTCTCTCTCACTCGCTTTTATAATCCCTTTTCTTCTTTGTATAAAGTCGTAGCATCTCGAGATAGTCTTCCTCTCACAATCCTCAAATTCCTCCTCTCTCTCTCTCTCTCTCTCTCTCTCTTCTACTCTGAAGCTCCTCTCACTCACTCACTCTCCCTTCTCCGAGGAAGAACAAAAAGAGTAAATGGCGGTTCCTAAAGCCATTATTCTACCTATCTTGCTACTCATCTGCGGTGCTGCTCTTGGAGCTCCTGCTTATGAAGGTTAATCTCACTCTCTTCTCTGGTTTCCTTTGCTTTTCGAAGATGGGTCTTCTCTGCTTTGGATTCTTAAGCCTGATTTTGTGTTTTTGGATGATAAATATTCAAAAGATTCATCCTTTCACGGTAGATCTAAGTTTTTTTCTTCTCTCTGTTTACTTCTTCTTCAGGATACCTTCGTAATGGAAACTTCGAAGAGTCACCGAAGAAAACCGACATGAAGAAAACAGTTCTAATCGGCAAAACCGCCTTGCCCGAATGGGAAACCACCGGTTTCGTCGAGTACATCGCCGGTGGTCCTCAACCCGGAGGTATGTATTTCCCGGTGGCTCACGGAGTCCACGCCGTGAGGCTTGGGAACGAAGCCACGATCTCTCAGAAGTTACAAGTCAAGCCGGGTTCTCTCTACGCGCTCACGTTCGGTGCTTCCAGAACTTGTGCACAAGACGAGGTTCTTCGAGTCTCTGTGCCTCCTCAGTCCGGTGACTTGCCGCTTCAGACACTTTACAACAGCTTCGGAGGTGACGTTTACGCTTGGGCCTTCGTTGCTAAGACTGCTCAAGTCACTGTGACTTTCCATAATCCTGGAGTTCAAGAAGATCCTGCTTGTGGTCCTTTGTTGGACGCTGTCGCCATTAAAGAGCTTGTTCATCCATTGTACATCAAAGGTATCTTCTTCTTTAAGCTCTGATTTTGGTTCCGGTTTACTTTTTTAGGGTTTTTAGTTTCCGGTTTATTGGATAACAGAACCCGAAATCAGTTGAAAAAACAAATTAAATTTCCATATGGTTCAGTTTGGCTTTCGGTGTAGATTAGGTTCTGTTTTAGATTAATTAGCCATTTAATTTAGCATTATAGTCGTATTATATACACTTTGATACTGAACCTATAAAAAATAATTATAAATTTTTATTAGTAATGAATTATCCAATTTTGGTACAGATTCAATTTGGTTAAAGGTTTATCCTTGGACCTTAGTGAAGTAGTTGTTTTTTAACTTGGTTTATTTCCGACAACTGCAGGGAACTTGGTGAAGAACGGAGGGTTCGAAGAAGGTCCTCACCGTCTTGTGAACTCTACACAAGGAGTCCTTCTCCCACCTAAACAAGAAGATCTCACATCACCGTTACCTGGTTGGATCATAGAGTCACTTAAGGCAGTGAAGTTCATAGACTCTAAGAACTTTAATGTCCCCTTTGGACAAGCCGCGATCGAGCTTGTCGCAGGCAAAGAAAGTGCCATTGCACAAGTCATTAGAACTTCGCCAGGTCAAACCTACACCCTCTCCTTCGTCGTTGGAGATGCTAAGAACGATTGCCATGGTTCCATGATGGTTGAAGCTTTTGCAGCCAGAGATACTCTCAAAGTACCACACACTTCCGTTGGTGGAGGTCATGTTAAGACCGCGAGTTTCAGGTTTAAGGCGATCGACGCAAGAACTAGAATTACCTTCTTCAGTGGTTATTACCATACCAAGAAGACTGATATTGGATCTCTATGTGGTCCTGTCATAGATCAGATTGTGGTTTCTCATGTGGCTTAGATCAAGTTTACTCTTAATGACGACTGCATCTTGTGTACTAAGACTGGTCATGGACTTGGTTCTTTGCTCTGTATGTCTTGCTCCTTTTGGAATTAAGTGATAGCCTTCAAGTTAAAATGGATGATATATCCCATTATTGTGATATGAGATGTTTTGAGTTAAAACCAAGAGTAATAGTTATATAACCAAGAATTAGAAGGTAGAGCAAAACCTTGTTTTTGATTTTTAAACATAATTAAAAGTGCAAAGATATTAATAATTATTAGCTATTGAAGTATAATAAATTGTTAATCACAAGTTGAAGTTTTGAATTAAAGTGTAGAAATTGATTCACCAAAAAGGTGTAAGATATGATCAAGTAGTTGAAAAACTTTAGAAAAAACTTTTAAAGTGGAACCAATTACAAAAAAAAAAAAAAATTATAATAATAATAAAAAATGTTAAAAATTTAGAAAGAAGTAATCAAACGGTTTCATTTATGAACTGGATTTGGGACATAATTTTGGGTCTTAGCATTTAAAAAGGACCAGGTTTTCTTTAGTAAAAGACAATCACTCTAGTATAAGCAAAAATATCCATACACAAAAATATAAACTCTTTGGATAATAAATTAATATGCGTTATATAGATAAACACCTCTGATCCAATTATTTATGTTGAAACTATAAAAGATAACGGGTCTCTCGAACAAAATATGAAGAAAAAACAAAACACAAGAACTAGAAACAAAAAGAACGAAGAAGGGAGATGAGAAAGATGCAACTCGTTTATAAACTAAGCAAGTCCTAAGAAGATGATGAGGATCGCCCACGCAAGAACCTCCACGGTCCAGTTCCCGTTGCCATCCTGCATAAAATCGCACACCACCGACGCCGAGTCAGAAAAAAAAAAAGACTTTCTTCTACTATAATGGGCTATAATAATAGTAAAGGCCCGTTAAGGACGCAATTTAAAATACCTGGCAATTCCAGTAATAGCTCGGAGAGCCATATAGATGGTAAGAGCTATCCATATTCCTATGAAACCATTGGTCTTTGCCATATATATTATTGCTGCAATGCTAATGGCCGCCACTCCTACCTGACAGTATGTCAGAGAATTGCCGAATAGTAAGAAAGAGTCAAACTTCAAGAAAAAAGTGAAATGAAGACAAGCATTGCAGATAGATGTGAGCAAGAGGGTGTGGCGGGACGTACCATGGAGTATGCAGTGTAAGCAAAATCAGATGCTCCAAAATTGACTCCATCCAATACAAAGGCGAGTGAGTTTATTGGCTGCGTTGCTGCTATAAACTGCATACATGTATATATAACATATAACCTCTTTATTACTAGTCCTTTTCAAATGCTTTTTATACTATATGGTATTGTTTAATGATAGTTAGTAGCTAGTACCGAGATGACAAATGACAAAAAAAAAGTTAGTAGCTAGTACCGGTATTCCAATGGCCATGAGGCGAATAACAGCAGCGTCTTTGGAGAATATTCCGGCACCAAAGTGGAGACCCAGTCCAACGAAAAGGGACAGTCCAAGTCCCAACGCTAAACCCATCTGCACACCAATTTCATTTATTTTATTTTTTTTGGTTTTAGTCACAAAATTATTTCATTTATTGTGTAAAGAAAGGTGATTTGAACCGAACCTGTAGAACACGGGCTGCAACAGCAGACACTTTGTTATAGTCTTTCTCAGCAAACGAACAAGCCAGAATCGCCTGTAAAATAAAAGACTCATATTCAAACGATCATATATTTTCTATATCAATTAATAATTAGCTACAAACGAGGGTTACAACAAAAATGATTGATTATAGTAAAAAGGAATTACCTGAGCAGCAACAGCAAGACCATCATTGAGAAGAGAAGAAGTTAGCCAGACTTGTAAGCAAATCTGAAAAGCTGCCATTGGCGTTGTACCGAGCCGAGCGGCCATTGATGCTGCTAAGGTCTGACAAAACGTCACAGCTATGGTCCTCGCCAGCAATAATAGCCCTTTCATTTTTTAATATTACTAACTGTTAGACATCAACATTTCGAACTATATTTTTATATGTATTCGATATTAAAAAGAAAACCCTTATTTTTAAAGTCAATCTATTCGATTTGTTGTCCAAAAAAAAAAAAACTTTTATTTAACTGAAATCAATTTATTAAGATTTATTTTTCTCCTTTATTTAACCCAAAAAAAAAAAAGAGAAGATATTATTTTCTGATAGTATATTTTTGGACTCTGTGCAGTAGCACCTACGACGGATCTCGTACTTTGATAACAGGAAGAAAAGCAACTTTTAATGAATACGCATCGACACGTACCATTTTTGAGGAACCTTCCGAACTGCAAATCCCCGAAGTTTGGTGGCATCAAATTAACTTCCTTTGCGAGGAGGACGAACAAAATTAGAGTCATAAAGTACCTTCATGTATACAACAACACAAGACATCATTAGTTTTTCAGTCTGTGGTTATCATTTGATTAGTCTTATATTATTTGTATCTTTTTTAATAATAAAGTTCATAAGTCTAAATAAAGTTTCGACCAAAAAAAAAAGGTCTACATAAAGTTGTAAAAAAAAAAACAAGATATGAGCCTAGTAATAATTATCAGTAATGATCAATTTTGCATGTGTGAAGAAAAGTTAAGAGTGATTTCTCTTACTGAGAAATGACATGGGCTATGGCTGCACCGCTGACCCCAAGACGAAGCACAAAAATGAAGATGGGGTCGAGGACGATGTTAGTAAGATTTGCTACGACTGTTTCATGCATCAAGACAGATAATATATTAGAATAGAGTGACAATGTGGTAATAAAATGATAAGAATAGAGTGATTAAAGACGATATATCTCGTCTAACGTAATTACCAGTGGCAAAGAGAGGAGTTTTGGTATCCTTGAAGCCACGAAAGACGCCTTGCATAGCAAGAGACAAAAGCAATGCAGGAGCCCCCAAAGCTCGTATGCTCAAGTACTTGTGCGCTGGTGCTATCATTGGCGAATTCTGTTATCCAAAACCCCAACTCAAATTATTAGTCAAAAAATTTGTTGTCCCAATCCAAGATTATTTATGTGCATGCATGCATGTTTATGTGTGTGTAAACTTACCGGCTTCACTCCCATGACGCCTAGAAGCAACTTGGAACTGAAAATCAAGATAATAGATTGCACAAGGCCGAGAATTAACCCCAAGATCATGGCTGTTGATGCTGTTCGAATTGTCCTCTTCCCTTTTTTCTTAGCTTTGGTTTCGCTGTTTGGCTTTGTATCCGAAGCTAGTTATTTCATACAACAAAACAAAACAAAAAAATAAAAATTAATGAGTCAACATTATTAAGATTTACAGAACACAAAATATATACTGAAAACACAAAATCTTGACGTCGTTTTAACTACCCCATTTATACTTAAACACAAACACAATATGGTTTCGTTTAAAAATGCATACATTAATACCAACATTATAACTAAAGAAAAAAGAGAGAGAGAGAAGAAAGTAATCTGAATAGTAAGAAAAAAAGAATCGCAACTTTTATAATAAAGTTGTAATGAGTAGTGAGGTAGTATGAATAGCGGAATTTACCTGGCGTTTCCTGTGGTGGCTGGTTGGTAGTGTTACTTGACGGTGAAGAAAGACCCTTTTCCAAGGAATCCTGAACAAGATTGGCTTTGTTTGCTTCTTCTTTCATTTTCTCCATAGTGTCTTCCTCCGCCACGAAAGAAGTTGTGATGCTCACAAGTGGGAATACAGTTATCCTAGAAGCTTGATTGAATATGGCAATGGAGACTCCAACCGCCGCTAGCTGAACCGCTCCTAAACGCCCGATAAAAGCGGTATCAATCAGAGAGGCGATTGGGTCAGAAGCCAAAGCCAAAGCTGCTGGAAACGCCATGCCTAGAATCTCTCGCCCAATTTTATCCCAGCTGAATACATGGCTGCAGTTTCATACATATTAACTAAATGTTATACGCAACACACACAAAAAAAACTCTTCAAACATTAATACTTCATAAACAAACACAAAACACACACAGACCTTAAATCTTTGAAGATAACAAGAAATGGGACTGACGGCTTGCTCACGCTGGTTGGAACTGTAGCAAGATGACCATCACCAGTTTCCGTCATAGATTGTGTTTCCTTCTTCTTCTTCTTCTTCTTTCTTTCTCTTTCGTAACTGTCTCTGTAATTAATTGCTTGTGTCTGAAAATGACATTAAGTGTTACGAAGAATCGGAGGAGCAAAGGGAACGTTTATAGTAGATTCTGTGTACAAATGTATTTGTATTTATAGACACGTAATGAGCATGCATATCTTTGCTTATTTAATACATAAAAAATATATTAAATATTCCTTTCTTTTCTTCTTTCTATTGTATTTATTGAAGAAAACAAAAGTTTTCCTTCCCTAACTTTTTTTTTTTCTTGTTGCTCTTTAATTCCGTCCAAACTAAAGACACCAATATTATAATTTTTCTCTTTTCATTGAAGGAAATTATTGGTAGACATAAACATCGTAATAATACTTCTATTAAGTAATTAAATCCCATTAGTACTTTTTGGCCTTGTTAATTGTAACTTCTAAGATTTCTTTAATCTCAAGAGGAAAATATGGTACTTGTGAGCTATAACAAAAAATTGTAGCACTGATGAAGCTGGCTGTGAAAGAGAAAGAGTCTTCTAATGGAAATAACTTTTGTTTTCATCAAAGTTTTCTTTACTTGTATTCATCATAGTGGGCATGAGTTTGTTTTCTTCTAAACTCCTCATTTTATTTTTTGATATCTTCCACTGAAAAAGTGAATCTTTTTGCGTAATTGAAGTTCACTAGTTGCCAAAGATTTTATTTTATCATTATATAACAACTAATTTTAAATTCAAAAGCTTCTTTTAATCGGCAGTTATAAAAACTTTAAATCTTTTGTTATGCTATATCAAAATTCTGGATTAGTATGGTATATAATCGAATTGGCATATATAGTTTTTTTTTTTAAAACTAAAATTTTGGTAATATGATTTAATATGACTGTAATTCATTTTCAATATGTTTACTCTGACATGTTACTTAGACCAATAATTACACTTTATCATTATGATTAACATTTAATTTTTAAGTTCTCTTTAATACATTTTCAAATTTACAAATCTAAAATTTATATATATACATTTTATGTCCTCTCCTTTAATATATAAGATATTTTTATATAGATTTCAATTAAAAAGTCACTCTTGTCGTATTTCTTCCGATAAATGACTAAAAGACAAATATACCGTTTATAATTTCGGCGACGATTAAAGTATTTTATCGTTATCATACTTTCTTAACAGAAGAACAAAAAGATGAAACAAAATCTGACTTGGAGATGAAATTCCGGTGAACTCGACACCGGTATTTAGAAATTATACTAAGAAAATAATATTAGTTTATAATTGTTTTTTTTTTTAAATAACATGGTACTCAGAGTATACATAGGACCTCGGTTCTAAGATTTTCATGTCTTTTGATGCCCCTTGGGAAGTTGAAAAGAATAATTAGTTATATAAGTTATAGCATTACTAAAAACACATGCTTGTTGAATGTTGAGCATTGAGGGAGGGAGGGTTTTGATTGAGGGAGGGGTTTCTGAGGGAGGGTTAGAGGCAGTTTAGTTTACCACGATTCAGAGTACCTAGGATTAAATCGATATAGCTAGCTAGTTTAAAATATCTTTCTTTGTATTATTTGTGTCATGGCCATTTTAGCAAACACTATAAGCTTTCTAATATGATTCTATCAAACACCCTTCCAATTATTATAAATATAATATATTAGTTAAAGGAAGGCGACAGTCGGGAAACAATAGCATAAAAGGATGGCTACACAGACCAACACAGGTGAGTTGTATATAGTGCGTGTCGTGTATGTTCTTTGTTCCGCAAGATAAGGCCATCTTTTCCAAGCTAGCCATCAACGTCTATTTCATTACCAACATTCCACTTCCCCCATTCATAACCCTCATTTTACTATTCAGGATTCCTAGACTTTAACTCGCTTTTTACAAACTATATATGTGATCAAGGACGAAATTATAATTCATTACACGAAATTTTATAATTTCACTGTTCTCTAACTGGATATATATATATAAGGTGAAAATTTGATTGTGTAATATATGTGGTGATAATATGTAAGTGTTTATACCAGCTTTTTATGTATTGCAATAAATAAAGAATTAATACTCTTTATATGACATTTGGAATGATTACTTTAAATAACAAAGAAGTAATCAAATATCAAAGTAATAATATACAGAGATTGTCTTGTTTAAAACAAACACTCAAATGAGGATGAAGATTAATTAATAGGAAACTGAAGATAAAATTTACTAAATATTTGGGGAAAATAAGATAATTTTGCAAATGGAAAATTTAATTTCTATGCAACTCTATGATCTGATATAAAACTATAGGTTAGTTGACACGTGTAATATTTTGTTTTTCATTTTCTTATACCTGAAAACATGGTTTTAACAAAAAAAACAAACTTTAATATGTTGAAGCGTTTGACACTCTTTTATAACTCATAAACTGAAAAACTGGTATTGTTGTTATTATTTACACGACAGATAAAGTATAAATTTTAATTAATAATTAAGCTCTACAAACGCTCGATCTTAATCGTAATCTAGTTAAATATATAGTTACTGATCGGGCGTTAAACATACTCTATGTTCTATTCTTTCTCACGGTTCGTAACCATACATACACAACAGTAGACAGCTTCATATAAGTCATAACCATACACAGCACTAGACACTAGACAGACACAAGGAAGTGTCCTACATGTTTGTATATATGTCCTTGTAGGATAGAGAATTTATATGCAAAAATTGTAGAGAACTGAATTATGAGAGATATATGGAGAAAAATATCTGACCTTTTTATATGTGGTCAACGCTTATATAAGTAGTCACGTGAACTTGAGATGATTAGTCACTAGTCAGTCAGTGAGAATCTATGTTGGAGTGTGTATTTTTAGAGCGAGGGGATAATTTATATAGGCGTGTGCCAATAGCCCAATTCTAATACTTTGTTTCAATTTTTAATAAGTGTGTGCCAACACTTGGCTCCAATTTATACACAAAATTCCCTTCATATTCATTTTTGTCCATATGTTCTCCAAACTTTGCTTTATATATATAAAGCAATGCACATCCTATACCCTTTTATTTCTTTTATATTAACTTTTGTTAAAAGTTGGAAATTCCTTAATTTCAAATACATGCCACTTAGTTACAACGTTCGTTACGTTCTTGTAATATGCATAATTTTTTTAATTTTTTTTATAATAACGAAACTAATAAGACCATCCTTATCAATGGGTTCTTAGTTTATTATTAGGTAATTTTTTAATATAATTTAAAAGATAAGTGATGATTTTTGTTAAGAATGTCTCTTATTTAAGAGGAAAAAATGAGGTTCTTCTTCTTTAATTTTTAAGAGCCAAATTTAAGAATCTATCGATATCGATATTGCTCTAATGTCTAATTTAGCTTCCCTCTTCTTCTGTCTCCCTAAGACCATTGATTTGGAGTTAAACTGATTAGTAAACTATCGATTGATAAGTTTATATATAGTATTGATTAATAAGTCAGTTCAACTCCCAGTAAAAAGAAAACTTGTAATCCCAAGAATTGGAACCCATATGAATATTCGGTTTGTGTATGAAACCAAAATGATTCGATTGAAGGAAAAACTTATGAGCGACGTGACGTAGTGGCTGAAGTCACATTCAACGTAACAGTCACAATCAACGTAACAGTTTTATTTTATACAACAAAAGTGGGCTACGTAGGATTCCCAATTATAAGTTGCAACAAAATGCTATTAATTTGTTTAACCTTCATACATTTGTCTTTTTTTCTTTCACATATTTTTTTTTTAACATATTTATAAAAAAAGTTATATATAATTTATTTATTTATTTCTATTGTTATGCGCTTTCACCTTACCTAATTTATCCATCACGATCCCCATTGAACTACATTTGATACCTCACGTTTCTTATCATCTCCTTTTATAAGCTATCCGCTGTTTAATTAATTATTACTATCTAAAATGTGTGTTAATCATATCATTCGTATCTCAAAATATTTGCTAGAGGATATATGCAAAATGATTCGTGGATGAAATCGCTAGATTTTTTTTTCTTTTCTGATTAACTTAACGTTTAGCTACGTAGTGCGCACTCTAATTTTCAAAAGATGCAATTAATTGACAACAAAATTCCTTATATATATATATATATAAAGAGTACATTAAAAGTACAAATGTACCATGACTTAAAATATTTCCTAGAAAAACACTTGACGTCTCTGGGAAATGATTTAATTACAAAGACATCAACACTCGAGAATGACTCCATTATGTCTACACGCACATCGGGCACGAGCCACTATTTTTATATTGTCTCTTTGCTTTATTAGTGTCATTTTATTATACTTATATCAATTTGATATATAGAATCCGCAATTAGATAAATTATGTGGCTACGAAAAGAGAAGGGTCGGATGTATAAGCACATAGGAACTATCAGTCTTTGATAGTCACATTATTTCAAATAATAATATAATTCAAGTATTGGATATGGGTTTGAAGAGCCGCGAGCCAATGAGGTGGGAAGAAGAAGAACTTTGTGCTCCTATGGGCGCCCGCAAGTTGGTCTATCGTTTGTAGATGAATTGATTAATTTGGTAAACATGAAACTATCTATGATAACAAAAAAATAAAAAAATGGAAACTGTGAGCTATGGGCTATGGGCTATGGGCTTAGGAGAACCAAATCTTTAAAAGAATATGAGCTATACAATGTTTTTTTTTTATAGTTTCTTACTACAGAATTCTGCTGTCTTGATCATTCGAAGATTTTTTATCTCCCCAGTCCCTTCAATTTAATATAAGAAAGTTGGGTTTGTTATTGTGCACTGACTCCCACGTTACTTCAGTTTCTACTCATTTTTGAAGTTTTCAGATTGGACTGTTGGAGTTAGAAAGAAAAGGTAGGCTGGATGTGGAACGTGGTGGGTATATAATATGAACAAAAAAATGTTTCAAAATCCACGAAAAGAAGTGATTAAATTGAAAATGTTAAGTATATCCAACATACTTGTATGTAATCCTCATTCATTGTTAATATCCATATAGAAGCTGAAAGTTTTTGTATGTGTAAGTGCAAAAAAAAAAAAAAAAAAAAAAAAAAGAGTCAAGTACAATAATATATTAACATATATAACTCTCATGAATACAAATTGTGTGCCCCGATTGAATTTCGATTTCTCCCATAAAAAGACTTTGACATTACATAAGTTAATCATGGCATGTATTATTATATTTTCATGCACTTGCCAATGCATTGAGGCTTAATTTGGATATAATCTCTCATTAAGATACCAATCTGCATTTTTCTCTTATCACCATAACCTCGATGTGCATATCGTTGTAAGCAAGGAACAATAAACACTCGACCTTGTGATGATACTTAGGGTTTATAATATTCCAGACAACTCGAAAATCGGAAATTATGCTCATCCTCAGTATTAGAGGCAATCCAGCTCTCGATTGAAGCATATCATCCATCTCTCTTCCTGCCCCATACATTGCCCGGTTCTTTGTTCCTATGTATAGCTGAAATGTTGTCGACTCATGGCTCAACGCATATAATTTAGGTCCCTTTAGAAAGAAATAAAAACAAGAGTTACGTTGTATGATACGATGAATACATGTTACCTTAAAGTTGACACTGAATAAATAAATATATCTCTCTAATTAAGTTCATATATAAGACTTACTAGCGCTTTTGCAAAGTTGAGTGGGCCAAAGAAGAATTTGATAGATGGAGGATGGATGTGAAGGCCAAAGACATTAGACTTGTTATCTACTATGAGCTTGGTAGAGCAATTGCAAGTGAGGAACTTAGTTGGAGCACCATGTGAATCCACGCCTTCTTCTAACATGAACTGGTTAAACCTTCCAATCTGTAAATTTTACATACATTTTAGATAAGAGTACTATACAAGCCAAAACTCAAGGTCATCATCAACAAAAATTGGTACTAGCTAGCTTATTAATTAGGAGAAGATGATGAATATTACTCGGAAAGAAATGTTAGGATGAGGAGGCTGAGTAGCAATGTAGAAGACAAGCAATGCCACCCCAAAGCTAAACAAGAACCTCCAGCCTATTTGCAGAACGATCCACCAACCCGAATTGGAGCTTTGCAATGGTGGCACCAACATTTTCTCATCGTCCTCATACAAGCATTTGTTTTCAGGATTTCTCAAGAAATCTGAGTGCCTTGGAAACTCGTTATTGACGCAGGATAGGACCAATAGCGCTGAGTCAGATCGAGTCGGGGATTGGAATTCGGATTCCGGGTCATGAAAAACTGTTGAAGGGCTTTCGACGAAGTAGTTTGAGCTGCAGGGGTCCTCTCTTCTCTCCATTTAACAAAAAAAAAAAAACAAATATTAATTGCCTTAATATTTCTCTTTCGTTGTTTGGTTGGTTGTGTGATAGACGAGTTCATATATATTACGAGAGAGATATGAATCATATGATTGGTCACTATCTCTGAAATGATTCGTTGATGTGGAGTAAATTAAGCATTATAATTATAATAGTTAGTGTTTTCAATTATTAATTTCATGGTGGAGAAAACTATAATTACACAAGTAATGATGTGGGTTTGTTGTTCTTGTAATCCAATTCCCTTCACGCTTAAGTTTAACTAGGTAATAACCACTTAACCAATCATTCAACCTAGGAAGCTCTATTTTTATTTATACATATATACGATCTTGATCATTACTAGAACCTCGGAAAAGCTTTCATTAGGAAAATATTATTCCTCTTTTTTATTTGTGGCCGTTTCATAAGTGCTCTCTTAACACGAGAGGGAAAAAAAAAGTCAAAAACAGTGTCTGTTTTCTTAACGGCTAGCTAGGTTTGGTCGCATTAACAAAAAGAAGCGCAAACCGAATTAATATTTCTTAACCGATTTGGAGCTGAAATTTGATAGTACCAGAGAGAAACCAAATATGTTGCAACCGACCGAACCGACTACTAGTTGATTTTTATCAACTATTGTCCGTTCATCAGAGCCAGCGAACGTCCGAACCGAATGAAAAAAGTTCTCATCCAAATCTCTTTATCCTGAAAAAACAAACAAACCAAAACCTAGAAAAGAAATAATCAGGCCTTAAGTTTCCTTTCGGCGTGGAGTCTCCATTGCTGGCCCATAATCTCAAATCCTAAACGAAGACCTCAAAGTCCATACAAGAGAACTCAATATTCATGGTACACCTTTGTATCACTCAATTATATTAAATTTATGATTTTAGCCAAAACATCATTTTGTTATATCCGTTTCTTTAAGTATACGTTTTGAGTTTTTTTTTCTTTTCTTTTCTTTCTCACTATTTTTTTGTTTTGTTCCAATTTTTCTGTGTAACGCAAGTGTTCCAATTTTTCTATTTGTTCCTATATAGTATTTCATACTAATGAAAGTTAATAGAATGTAAATTCACATCAAACTGATAAATACAATTAAGATTTTTTTTTCTTGTAAGATAATTTTTTAGTGTGTGTGGAATATGTTGTTTACAATTTCTTAAGCAATATAATTAAAGATAATGATAAAGATAATGCTTTCTTATTACGAAACCGTGTATTACACATCAACCTCAGAGATTTGTACAAAAAAAGGAATTTGAAAAGAAAGAAAAAAACTATACAAAATGAACCAAACTAATCACCTCACTCTGCTGTGTGTATGGGCCATTTTATTTAAGTACTTCCTCAGCAAATAAAATCTTAAATGAAACATTCCTATTCACATTTCCATGTATATACTAATGGGAACCATGCATGGTGATTTTGGTTCCTCCACCTAAAGATATAAACTATATATGCATATCCCTCTCGTTTCCATGAACTATCGATCTTATTGTGAATAATACACATATGATGGGAAAAATAAAGGGACAAGAAGGGAATATAGAGACCAATTCTGATTGAAAGAAGACTTTTTTTTTTACCAAAAATAAAATGAGACTCTTATAGAGAGAATATAGAGGATCAACTTCATATTCGTGCTCCCGTAGAAGAAGTATGTATATTAATGGTAAGGTTGAACCAGATGAATGATTAAAAAAATATGTATATAAGAATGAATGAGAAATGAGTAAAAGAAGATAGAATGAAAAGAAAGAGAAATTGTCGTCATTCGACTTGGAAATCAAGGAAGGGAAAAGAAGAGTTGTTATCGATGAGACCATCTAAATCCCAATCACCGATTTTAGGGTTTTCTATTTCCCATTCTCCATTCTCCATCCCTAACATATTCCCTACCTTGAAGCTTTCTGCATGACATATATTTTTGCTATTGAAGCAAGGATCAAGGACTTGTAAGTTTAGGTTGTTGTTGCTTGTACTACAAGCAATGATATTGGTACCCTCCGAGGGGGGAAGAAACCAATGATCACCTTCTACTGATACTCTCTTGCTTGCTTGATCAAGAATTGTGTTTCCATAATCTTCTAAACCATTAACGTTGAAAACATTCCCTGTGTTTCCCATTTGGTGATATCGGTTATCCGGCAATGATGATATCATCAAGGGATCGTCAAGCTGGTTTAAGCCCACACTATTAACCATCGGTGCAAAATTGAATGAGGAAGAAGATTCCATGCTCATGGTGTTCCCCACTATTATCATGTTGTCATCATGATGATGATATCCATCAATCATGGGAGTTGAGTTGCCTCCGGCCATGTCCACATGTAGATCTCTTGGGTCCATGGAATTACTATTACTATTATTAGGTGATGATCCTGATGAAGTATTGTTGTTGTTGTTCTTTAGCCTCTTCTTCAATGTCGAGTTCCAAAAGTTTTTGATCTCGTTGTCTGTCCTACCAGGAAGCCGAGTAGCTATTTGAGACCACCTGATGATGATGAGATGTAAATAGTTATGCACCAAAAATCCTTATAGCACCAAATCGTTTCGAATCTGAGATCGTCATTGTATAAAGTTACCTGTTACCAAGAATGGAATGCAAATGGAAGATGAGATCCTCTTCTTGAGGAGAAAAAGAGCCGCGTTTAAGATCAGGCCTCAAGTAATTGATCCAGCGAAGGCGACAACTTTTGCCACATCGTAAAAGACCAGCATTCCTAGCTATGTCACTCCAACATCCTTGTCCATTGGTCAACATGTATCTTATGAGCTTCTCGTCTTCATCAGGCGACCAAAGTCCTTTCCTTAGCTTAGGTTTGTTGTTATTACCACCACATGCATGATTTGGCTTGCCCTTGTCTCTAGTCGTAGTGATGTCCGGTTTCCTCATCATCATTGTTGGACTAGTGGAGCCTTTTTGAAGAAGAAGCTTATACAGAGAGAGAGAGAGAGAGAGGGATATGGAGTTTGGAGAGGTTGTAAGAAGCAAGGAAAGATGGAGAGGGTGATATGATTTGTGGGGATTGCTTTGGAATGATATGAATATGCGTAATGGATATGACAAAGAGAGAGAGAGAGACAGAGAAAGAAAGAAAGAAAGAAAGAGAGAGAGATGAAAAGTAGTGTTTGTTGGGATTGATGGGTAGAGTAGAGAGAGTCTCTAATAGAGACAGAGAGAGACAGAGAGAAGAAGAAATGTGGGGGATGTGAAGAAGAAGCAAGAGGTGGGTCTTGCCTTTGTTACAGAAAATATATATAATAAAAAGAATAAAATGAGCTTCGTTAAAAACATGATGATAGACTTGTGAGTGAAGAAAAATGTATCGAAAAAGACTGGTTTAGAGTCAAAGACAAGAACAAGACCCAACCTCTTTCTCTCTCTCTCTCTCAACCCTTCACCACACACGTACGTGTGTTTGAAGTATGAGATGATCCAAATAAAATATACATTCGTTTTTAGTTTACGAGTGTTTTATATAAATTTTACTAATTTCGTTTTTCTTAAGCTTTATTTCTTTCTAAACGACAACTTAATAACCAAATTTTCACAATCTAAAAAGGCAATATATTGTACTATACTCTTTGCAACGAGGCTTATTATGAAGTAACTTACATTTTACGATACAATCAAACCGAATCTAAATAAACAAATCGAATTCAAGATCCTTTGACAGAACTATAGAACATAACAGAAGTTAAGAAAGATCGATGAGCCAGAAAACCCTAACTCATCATCTATAATCCAAACTTAAAGAATATATATATATATATATATATGTGCTATGCAGGATTAAAAAAAAAAACAAATCATCACTTTATTAATTCATATACACATAAATTGAAACCCCTACCCTATATAAAGTATAAACCAATATCAAAACGAGTCAATTTGTTTACGAATTACCGAAATAAAAACCATCATCATCATCAATAATAAAAATGTGTTAGAAATAGCGTATTGGAAAATAACGTGGCATGCATTAAACGTTTGTAAATAGTTTCATGGGTTACTCAACTGACGATGATAAGAAAGCATCGACTTATACCGATAATAGCAAGTAATGATGATGGGAGCACGACGGATCATACACTCCTTCTTCTTAATGTATACTAATAATCATCATGCATCACTTAATTATAGAAGCTAAACTTAATTCGATTCTCTAATCTGTTCTCTCTTTATTTTTTTGAATCACAGTGTTCGACAAGCCTACCATAAAATTACGTTATGATTTTTTCTAACAATTTTTATTTATTTTTAAACAGAGCAAGGAGACCACGTACCAAAATCTAGAATAAATTTCAGAGATTACACACATACAATATCAAAAGCTATTAACCCGAATCTATTAAATCAGCTTCCAATTTGGGCCTATAAACTCTCATTGGGCTCATATTGCCTAATTTGTATTGGGTTTGGGTCTTTTCATCAAATCTTAAGATTTTATACAATTATCTTTCACCAAGTCTCCGACTATGCCCTCCCAATAAATTATAACAATCGTTGACCAACAAACAAAAAAGTGGGTTCTATGAAATGAGAGCATATTAGCCTTATGCTCTTCACGTCCACACGAACTATTCTTCTTACCATATAAAACAACATTGTTGGTAAAGTACTAAAGCCAAAACCAAAGCCAAAGCCAAAGCCAAAGCCAAAGCCAAAGCCAAAGGACAGAATTTGCTTTTGAGAGGCAAACATGGCTTCCAACAATCAATACACAGCAATGGCTGTTTTTGCCACGATGACACTCTCCTCTGTCTTTACCGCCTCCGCACAGTACGACTCAGAGCCGTCACAAACAGGAGGAGCCTCTTGTTTTCCAGGAATGTCTATAATCATGATCATTTCTTCTCTCATCCTTTCTGGTTTTGCCATTCTCAGATGGTAGAGCCCTTTGTATGTTCTTCTGTCTTTACCTTTTTTTATATTGTTGTATCACATCTCAATAAAGGAAAACAATCGCTTATTGTTGTATTCAGATGTTTTACTGAATAGAAGAAACTCAGAGAACCTTTTTATTATCTCAAAAATCTTTCACATGGATTGTTCTGAAACCATTATTTACATTATCTTTATTCACACTTTTTTATTTACATAATTGTGTAGTAATACATTTACCTATCTAAAATATTATTACTTTGAGAGTTTCTTCTGTGTCCTGATATCTATTTAACTATCATCCTCTCTGAGCATGTATGTCTCCATATCTATAATAAGAGATACGATTGAATTAGCCAACAAGGCAAATTCTAGTTAGATAATCTGAAAGATTAAGGAAAGACAAAGATAATCCCAAAATTGTTTCACCTTACTTGAGAGAATTGTCAAAACTCAGAATAAATATGAGTTTGATAAGAAATAAGTTTGTCATCCCCACCTTGTTTTCTGTGTTGGACAATAAAAAGTTAGCTATATTAGAGAACCAATAAGCTGACTTTTCATGGATTTCAAGTTTCAGCACATTAAAGAACAACTATCTATGATAATTGTACATGGGATTGGAACTTACTTTCGATTATCCGGGGAAGCATATTTTAGAAAATCTGCAGGCCACCAAGTAACTCTGATAGCCTGATAATAGTAAGTAACACAGTAATAAAAAAAATCAGAGAAAAAGTAAGAGGCATCAAATGAAGTTTGAAGTTGATCATATTGGGACTAGACCTGATACTGTCTCCTTCTTGAGAACCAAGATGCCTTAAAACAACTTCCTCCAAGTGACCATCAGGATATGCATGCTATAGCAAGACCAAAAAAATATGAAAAAATCACTGGTCTGATGCTTTGGTAGGCAACAAAAAATAGAAGAAAGTATATCATTTATACCTTATAGAAACAACTTGCTCCAAATGGGCAGCTTCCGTTTCCAAAGTTAAAATGCTTACAGTCGATTGATCTGCAAGATTGGAATAGAACACAATTCATCTACTAAGCATATCAAGTTTGTAGACAGCTCAAAATCAAGTGTTTGCAGTTAGTAACTATACCTCAGTTTTGCCTTGTATATGTCGATAATTTCCTTTTTCTCTTCAGGAGTAGAGTACCAGACAACACTGGGGACAACAAAATAAGAGAGTTTGCGACATATAGGACAGGCTCTCAACGTACTGTTGACATCCATTCCTGAAACAGGAGCACTGCTACGCCAATTACGAATGCACTGTATACAAAACGGGTGATCACATTCAGTCAACAGCCCAAACTTCCTTTCCCCTGGAGTGGCCTTTGACAAGATACGATCCAAGCACACACTACACTCGATATCTTGACTTTGTTTCAAAGCCTCGATGTGCTTTTGCTTCTTCTCGCATTCTTTAGTGTGCTCTTCTCGTTCTTCGGGTCTAAAAGGATGCAAACACTTCTTGCCACAAGTAGCGCAGAGGTCTCCATGCATATGAGGGCACTGGTTACCTCGCGGGCAGTCACCAGCGGCAGCAAATGAGCAGAGTGGGTATTCTCTTGGATGGACACAATAGACGCTAGAGGATTTGTCACCGTGGTTATTACCGTCCCCATCATAGCCTTGGCGTTGAAAACTCATAGAGGGAGCGGTGGATAAAGAGCGATCCAGAGACTCAGAATCAGAGGTAAGAGGTGGTGTAGGAAGATCGGAAGAAGCTCTGACATGATCATATCTACATCTACTTCCGTAAAAACACATTCCTTTTTGGTAGAATGTGCAAACCTAACAAGTGAAAATGGTTTGGGACTAATGAATCAAACCCGCCATTAAACAAGGAACAAAGAAAGCAAGAATCTTGACAAGAGATTACATTACATTATTAGGCGGATCCTTAGAGTCATGGGAAAATCCACAATTATCCCCTTTCAAGCATGAGCCATGGACAAAGAACTTGCACAGTATCCTACAAGAAAAGAAACCAGGAAGCATAAAGAAATCAATTGAACCCTACCCAGAAACCAAACCAGCACCAAAAGCATCAACCTTTGTCCCAATAAGATAATCAAAAGACAAAACGAAAAAAACACAAAATAGAATCGAGAAGTTTGGGGGTACCTGTCGGAGGACATCTGGGGATGGTGCGGAGAGAAAAAGAGAGAAAGATTCAAAGGTGGAAGAATGACAAGGGAGAGAGAGCTTTATTATGTGAATTTTTGTACGGTATTGAATTGTTGAGGACAAGGAGAGAGTTTCCCCCAAACAGAGTTTTTGAGATAGAGCGCGCTTCCACCACACCCACCTCTCTCTCTCTCTCTCTTTCATTTGCTAAAATATCACACTTTTCATTTTTGAAGGGTTATACATGTTTCGTCGTTTTTGCTATATTTTACATGCAAACAAACATCCTCAATAGCTCTACTGGTAATAATGGCCATCCATCTTTTTGAGGGTCTGCTTGGTTCGTCCGTTCGTTTAAAGAATATGATCAGTTAGGAGATGTGAATCATGTTATGTATAAGATACTTTCTTTTGAAGCTACGCTTTGTTGTATCTTTTGTGGAATGAAAGTCAAAACAAGTTTTAACACGGTCTACATAAAAATCACAATCCATACATACAGTGTTACACGAAACTACATACATAATAATAATACAACATACAAGACAAGACCATAGTCTCTCTCACTCTTGCCTCTTATATGTACATAATATATATTACACACAACAAATCAAGCAGATCCTCCACACACACTCACACTCACTCACTCACTCACACACCAATCCTCCGATTCCAAATGCACAACCTCCGTGGTGCTTAAACTTACCTGACCAGTTTTAAATGCTGTATCTCAATCGTCACACAAATTCCACCCTCACAAGAAGCTTCACGGATTTGTACTTCTCCCCTTTCCGGGTATGTAAAGGAAATGCTCTTATTCCTTCGCTTAGCTCCCATACCGGCAAGCATGTCTGCCCTCCAAAATCATCCTTCTCTGACATGTCATACTCATGCACTTCTAATCGCAGCAAAGCCAGTTCCGGAACTGTTAATGGGAACTCAAACACCTCATCCCAAGATGGTACCCAATTATCCTCCAATGTCTTTGTCTTCTTCATTATTGTATCCCCTGGAACTCCAGCTATCCCAACCTGAGTTTTTGTATCAATGCTCAATTTATATAGCAATCTAATAGACAAGGAACAATTTTATCTTAAGACATTTGTGTGAGGAAATTTACCCTCGTATAGAAGTCAGGCGGTGAATATTGATCGAAGTGCGTGTGGCGGAAATCAAAGTACCAGCCTTCTCCCATGTAGACAGTTACCTAAGGATGATAAGAGAATAAGTTCACTGATTTTTATCACTTTTGTATTGGCAAAGGAAAGAGACCAGACAGAGAAGAGAATCAGATATCTCACCCTAAGTGTTGTTTTTACAGGTAGAGTAGCTTTTGGGTCAAAGATGTCATTATCAGAACCACCTTTCAGCAGAATATCGGGTTTCTTGATGTAGCCACAGCCGCCATTGGCTCTAAACATTCCTTGCATTAGCCACAATGATCTTCCATATCCCTGTGCATGCAAGAAAATAACAATTAAGTTAGCTGAGGAATAAGGTTGATGTCCTGTAAAGTAATGGAGCACAGCTTCTCCAAAAATAACAAAAAGTTACTTTTACTACTATGTATTTTTTTTTTGATACCTGCATATTGAAAGCCACCATTTGAGCACCATGGCTCCAGCCAACCAATGGGTTGTAGTTTGATGAAGTAACTCTAGTTCCTTTTGGGTAAATCCTCAGCAAATTTTGTTGAGTAAACCTACGCCACACCATGAATAACAGGATTCATACTGAGTTGATGGACTTCAATTATTACTTTGAGACATAAAAACATCAAATAACTATCATTTACGGGATTACCTCACAATCTGTTTTGCATATTTTTCAGCTGCCTTTTCAAGTTGTTCTTCGCTCAAGCTAAGGCGTCTTACCTTGTCAGGATCTACCTTTAAACACTCAGTAATCCCACCTTTTGGTTTCCCAGCATGGATTGCAATCAAATGTTTATACTGAGGTGGTGCATTCTTCTTAGACTTGTCTTCATCATCATCATCATCGTCATCGTCGTCATCATCATTTCCATCCAAGCCATCCTGCAACAAAAAATAAACCTGACATCTTTTGTATATGAATACCAACTAACATAACTGAATGAAGATGAGTTGCCTTCAAACACACCTTGACATCACTTTTTTTCCTATCAATAAAGCTCGGAATTTCTCTGCCCCAAGCTTCTTCATCACCCAAGGCTTTACCTTTCTGCACCACTTCCTCATCTTTTCCTTCCTTGTACTCTTTCGGAGGTTTGGTTGAGATAATAATCCGCCTTTTTAAAGAGTTTGGAGACGGGAACTCCTTCAAAGATTCTCCGACAGGAGGAGTAAACAGAATTTCCCCAAATATCTGAGTAACCATCTATATCATACAACAAGAACAACACATCTCGAAATTAGTGTAATAATCTGAAAACGAGAAAGAAAAAAAAAATCCTGAAAGAAATGCAAAATGTGGCTACCTCAGCAACTTTAGACTGAAGTTCTGGTGTAAGATGATCTTCAAGAGTTACAACAACAGGAAAGTCGGATACATCAAAGGCATGTGCTCTGATAGCTTTCAGACATTTGATCAACTCCACAGGCGCAGTGAGAGTCCTGTTTCAAAAATAGTTCAGTAAAACAAACAAAAAAAAACGACAAGCACCAAACCTTGACTTCATTTGATTGAGTTCCAAGAATATCATACCTTCCATGAAGAACATCAACATCATCTTTGTTGGAGTTAGGCCATATATCCAATTCAATCACTCTAACACCTTTCTTCAATGCATCTATTATAGGTACCTCACTGCAATCACTGCTAAGCTGATTGCCAGTCAAATATGAATTATGACCAGTGAATATAAAATAATGCGATATAGGAGCATCCATGTCTTGATGCACCTAAAAAAAAGTCAATTCAACAAATTCATTAGAGATAAGTCTAGCATAAAATGAAAACTAGCATAACTGAGTCAGAGTTCCTAAAAGAGTTACCTGTCACATTCCTAATATGCTACATTCTCAACTTTATTTTTACAGCAACTAGGGATAAAAAAGAAAAAACAATCAAACTCTTGAATCAGACTTATTCCACAAATCTAGCTTCCCACACCACTTGCTTTAAAAGTACACAGCTCCTACTACTTTATGCCATATGTTTTTCTTACAGCAGAGACACATATACAGAAAAAATAGACAAATTAAATTGCTTCGAAGTTTGAGCACTTGAATCAGACTCTATGAAACTCTCAACAAGATTAAAATTTTAAAACCTCACTATCTAGCTACCAAACAAGGAAAGCGAATAATCCAAATCCAAAATCTGAGTTTGTCAAATCTATCAAATCATAGTTGACTTATAAAATTCAGAACTTTTAAAATCGAAACAAGAGAGTGAGAAAACAACCTCACGTAGAGCGAGAGGAGGGTTGTTATCACCAAAGAGGTACTTGAAGAAAGCATCGAGGTGAAGACCATTACGATGGAGAAGAGAAGATGCAGAGTTGATGATTGACTGAGCATCTTCCCTGGTAGCTTTATCTTGCTTCTGGACATCAATCAGAAACCTGAGGAGATGATCAACGGTCATAACCCCATTCTCGGAGTACTTTTCGAAAATGGTCTTGATCTCACGCGGTGCCTCCGATGCAGTGTAGCGAAACCTCCGGCGAAAGCAGAAACACACTCTGTACGTTTGCTTCGACATGAGGCAAAGAAGAGACGGATCTTTGGGTTAATGATTGGAGACGATGGGAGAAGAAGGGAAGGGAATGAAGTAGGGTTTGTGTGTAAGAATCAGAATTATCTTATCGTGTTTTTGATATCAGACAGGAAGCGAGAACAGAATCGTTTTTTTTGCGTGTCGGTTCTGCAAAAACAAGATAGATTTTTTATCCTTTTTGGTTTCTAGTGAATCTCCTCCATGTAATATCAATCGATCTTGTTGAACCTTGTCGGAAGAGATCTTCTTCAATCTCTGTCTCTCTTTCTCTCTCTCTCTCGAATATCCATCCCATCTGGCAAATCCTATCCATTTGGGCTTTATTGGGCCTTTTTGAATTAACAGAGCCCGTTAGACAAGTTTTTCTTTTAGGGTTCTTTGCTGTTGTTTAAAGGAGCAATAAGAGCGTTATCTGCAAAATCTCTCCGCCGCTCCTTTCTTGTAACCTTAAAATCAAATACTAGTAATCCGAGGAACGAAGGGTACAGCTTCCGCGCAACCAGCATGAGAGCCAAGGTGAGTTTTGGGTTTTGATTTTTATGGATTTTTAATGCTGGGAATTCGAAGTAGTTGGTAGGATCTTTACGGTCTTTGTTCTGTCTGGCTGTTACAGTGGAAGAAGAAGCGTATGAGGAGATTGAAGAGGAAGAGACGAAAGATGAGACAGCGATCTAAGTAGATTCGGGAGCTGTTGTTTTTTTATATATTTGTCTTTCCTTCTTTTTAGAACCAACTCTTGTGGGAGTTTTGTTGGTTTTGCAATTTGAATGTTTTGTTGGACCAAATCGAATCTATCTTTTTCTATTAGAATTATCTTTCTTACATAGAAAGATGAGATCCACACGAGTTCCTGATTCTCCTTTATATTCCTCAAATCTTCTTAGCATTTTGGATTACTGATCATCTTTAGTTAAGTGTCTGCTTCGGATATGAGATTTGTCGTGGTGAAAGGTCGAACATTTGATATTAGAATCGGTGAATCAGTTAGATTATCGTGAAGCTTAATTGTTGTTTGACATCTAAGTAATACGTCTCTGATTGAATGAAAACAACTTATGCGTAGAAGTAGGTTTTTTGCTTTGAAAATGCATTTCTTAGTTTTACTCCGTTAGTGTAAACTTATTAATCGTTTTCTTACTCTATTATCTGCTGATGAAAACGATATTCCACGTAATTGTAGGGAGAAATTTATAACTGAGTGATGCAAAATTCGCACTACTTGGGCAACGGAAAAAAAAAAAAAGATGAAACGGTTTAAGGAACTAAAGGTCTCATATATTACTAATAACAACAAGTTGCAACTCATAAACTGTTTAAGGAATCGAAAGTCAAATCGAAAGAAATGCAGAAACTACAAAACTTATACGAGTAATCTACTCTCCTCCCAAGAAAAATGGCTTTCAACAAAAAGATTAAACAAAAAAAATGACTCATCTAAAAACCACAGAATATTACAACGAAATTAGGTTATTATTCACATTATTCCCAGACAAATTCTGGTCAGACATGTTGCAGACGAACACCTCCCTAGCAAATTGAGCCGACTATGAGTTTCTGATAACTCTTTCCAAATGCGTATATTAAAAACATAAGTTTGTGTCTTAGTAGCCGCCTCCCATCGGTGGCATTCCATATGCTGGCATAGGAGGCATTCCTGGCATGCCCCCCATTGTTGGTGGCGGACCATACCCACCACCACCTCCCATTCCAGGCATCGGTGGTGCAGGTAATGCAAGTGGTAATAGTTGGGCGTACATGTTCTGTTTTAAGACATAGAGAAAAACATAAAACTCCTTTAAACTGTGTCTGTCAAGAGAAAGTCTGGGTGATATGGATTGTAGCTGTGTGGTTAGTACCTGTTGGGACATGACCTCCTTCTCTTCCTGCTCTTTGGCCTTCACTTCTTTTTGTGCCTCCAGCTTGTCCTTTATTAGCTCATCCACTTTGCCAGAGTATTCTCGCATAAACTACAAAAAAGAAAACAGGACAGGTCGGAAGAATTCATCATACCGTTCAAATAATGGTTTCCATCTCATGGTTGGACCAGAGAATCAAAGGAGTGTATTTTTGAGGGTGAGGGTAGATCACCTGGAGGAGATACGGGAAGGCAAAGTCCATCATATTGTTGATCCAGGCAAGTTCTAGAGCCACGTCTGGTCGGATTAAGTCATAACATACAAAGAGACATGTGGCAAAGCATTCCTTTTTGTCCTGTATAACCAAGCACAGCAGAAGGCAAGAGATATTATTTTTCATCTTCTGGACCAGTTGTCGTTCCGTTCTACTAATAAAAATGAATGGCTACTGGTAGCATCTCGTAAATGCTTAACCATCATCATACCTGTTCAATGAAATACACCAGTAATTGTTCTGCAAGTTCATGTTCGCCAGATTGTGAAGCAGTTTCCATACAGTCCTTGTACATGTTGTCTTTCTTTGATAATGCAATTGATTGCTTCCATCTGCCCGCTTTCTTGTAGATATAAGCGGCCACACGCCTCATTTCAACAAGCTCATGTTTCTCGATCTGTTCGCACCATTCACAGGAAAATTATATATATTGGTCAGGCCATCCGTATTTATTTTTGTATTGAGAGAAGAAATTAAGCGTTTAGCAGATTTCAACTATACCTTCTGAGCGAGACCAATCTGGTCAAAACTGTCATGTAGATCAATAGACTCGCGCAACCTATCATAGTCTTCTTCTTCTACATATATCTCATTCAGAGCCTCATTAACAGCAGAGACATTGTTGCTCTGAACTGCAATCATGTATGGCTTGATAAGACGCAAGTGACCAGCCTGAGATAGAAGAATCTGATTGTTACATAATGCAGCTCAGTTGTTTTTAGAGAAAAAAAATTAGTCATCAGTGAACTTCCAACCTTCCGCATTATATCAACAACACGAGTGTGGTCTAACCGCAACGCAAGCACGTTCAGAAGATCGTTGATTAGATCAGGATGCTCTTGCAAGTAGAAGTGCACAGCCTTGTAGTACAATTCAACATTTGCTACCTTCGCAACAATGTCTTTGAATTGCATGTGCTCCCAAGCTTCAGGAGAATGGTTCATGACAGTGGTCGCAGCATTATCAAACTCATCGTACTGAATGTACAGATAGGTAAGTTCCTGCCAGTGCTGTTGTTCATCACAGGCTCGTATAAGCTTAGGAATATTGAGGCGAGTTGAAAATAACTTGATGTGTTCCATAAGTTTCTCATAACGATATCTAGCATAGAGTACACCCAACTCGGTGAAGATACCCATGTGGGCACGTTCCAGCCCAAGTCCACTCTCTATAAGTGAGATTAATTCATTGAAGCACCCTCTGTTCTGGTAGTACTCACTGACTTCCTCCAGGTCATCCACCTATTAAGCACAAAAAGATTAACCGTTACAAATGAGATACATTGGGATGTAATATCATTCACAATCAAATCTTAAGCCCGTATTAGGAAACTTTTGTGCTAACTAAGATCAGTTATTTATTCACCTGAATGATAATGTTAAGACCACAGATTTGGGCCAACCGGAATTCCTCTGCATCAACACAAGCAAAGCACACTTCCTTCCATGTCTTTGCACTGTTTGCTTTTCTTGCAGCATCAACAGCACCTTGGAACTGTTGCAATTTCACAAGTGTGACAGCTAACTTACCCCAGTTTGATATGAACGCATAAATTATTTTTGCAGCCTCATAGAGAGCTTCATCATACAGGCGATCACCAACATTTTGTAGATTGGCAACATTTGGCATCAGAATGAATTCTTCAATCTCACCTAACCTATCGATCTTCGCATATGCATAGATAAGCTCACTGTCAACCTTGGGTTCTTTCACCTTCTGTCTAACCATCAGAAGGTATTTGACCAAGTCATCATAGACATCAGTATCTTCAGAGACACGTATGACCTCCAAGAAATGAGTGGCATCATCAGCACGGATAAAGGACTCAATTGCATCACTGACGAGTCCTTCCCTGAGTTGCGCCTTAGCTACTTGGCTCCAAACAGAATCTTCTTCGACTCGGAAAGCAAACTCAACTGCCCGCTCAATGCTTCTGACATTATCAAGCAATACATTGACAGCCTGAACATTTAAGTTAAACTTCTTGAAGATTGCAAATGCTTCCTCAAACAATTGGGCTTCGACTGCAACTTCTCCAACAGCAGGTCCATCAAAGTTGTCCAGCCTGTTAATGTAATCCATAACTCTTGATGGATCTGCCTTAATAGCAGTCAATATAAGCAGATTTTGCAGATTGAAATTCCCACTGAAGGCAGAATTTTGAAGAACGATCTTTTCAAGAAGCTCAATAAGCTCGTGCGGCAAATCAGCAGTCATGAATGCTTTAACAGCTGCAGAAACCTGCTCCGGGCTCTTGCTTTCAGGTAAAGCAGTAGACACAACCTGGTCAATAAGTTGTCTTCTATAATCATTGTTTTCATCGAGAACCTTATCCCAGAGGTCACCATCCATCCTCTCCACTACATACCTACAATTGGAAACTCGTGTATTAACAATCTACAAAGTCACCACCATTATGAGATAACTCGATAAGTAAGAATTTTTGCAAGTAATGATAAAATACCTGGCTTGTAACTTAAACAGAGAGTTTTTGTTAGTGACATTGATAAGCTCCTCGTCACATTGTCCTCTTCTGTATGCCACAACTGCAAGGGTAGGATCACGTTTCTCGCAGTACTTACCAACCACCTTAGAGTCGTAGTAAGGGTTGGTGGTCAAGAAATGCTCAGGGTTGTTGTTACTGTCTATGATAATTTTACCCAAGGCATTATGGACATGCACATCTTGGCTTCCCTCACTAACTAGATGCTCCAAGAACTGAGTGAGGAGACGAAGACGATTTCTGAAAAAGCAGAAACATATTAGAGATTCCAGAACAAACAGACATAATTATGAACAAAAATCAGAATGACCAAAATGATTCACCTCTTCTCGCATTCCTCGACAAGTGGTTCAACAGGAAGCAATGAACGAACAGAGAGAATGAGGCCTTTTATAAAATCTTCAGGGCATTCATCGTCAAGAAGCTGTCCCACAACTAAGGGAGCATTCCCAGGGTTCACCTTTGAAAAGAATCGACCGTATAAATATTTAATCAATAAAATGAACTACAACGCATTATAAGATGTCCCAAGAAACCCATATACCTTTTGTACGTAACCTTCAATGTAACGAAGCATGTTGTTTGTGTAGAGGTAATGAGTTAGATCAGGCACAAAGCCGAAACGGTCGCAGACATTTATCAAAGGTCGTGCATCAGGCAGCTTAGCTTCCATCAAAAAGTTTTTCGTCTTTTCAGCGTCATAGAAGTTAGACTCTCTAGTTACACGCTCAACCTCCTTGATTTGTCCAGTCTTGGCAGCTGCTTCAATGTACTTAAAGTGAATCTCAGGATCCTCACTATTGTACAGAGAATAAATAGGGTCAACATCAGCATATAAATACAAAAATCGTGCTTGTTTACAGGAATGAGCCCAAATTTATATAAATCACCTCATACTCAAATATGAACCTAGGAAAAAGTATAGCCCTTCGTATGACTTGAACTGCTCAAAGAGCTTAATACATGCATCAACACCTAGTTGTTCACAGTACTCCTTGCAAGCCTGCAATTGCATGGACACGTTAGTTTCACAATAAACAATAAATCTTCATCATATCATACACCACTTACCTGAACGATTATCTGGAGATTGCCTCTCAGGTTGACCAGCAACAGATCCTTCATGCATTCCATTGCCCAATCGCTAGAAAGAGTACCAAAAAACTCAACAAGAGCCTGCATAATGAGCAGAGTGTTATGCAACAACTTGACCATCCAGGATTTTAGTAAGGAAAATTTATTTCAGAGGCACTACCTGTGGCTCAATAGCATGTGTGTTCACAATTACACGTTTTATATCAGGTAACTCGGAGTAATGCTGCAAAAATAAACAAATAAAGAAGCTGGAAGATGACAAGATAGTGAATCTTTTTGCTCGAGAGAAACGGTAAAAAACATGCACCAACCTTCAATGATTGAATATAAAGTCCAGCCTTTTCACAAAGTTGAGCTACACGAGGCCGGTCATAGTGGCTGAACATTCCATTTGCTAATATAGCATCGGCCACATTAGGAAAGGTTACCAAATTGATCTCCAGAACCTGTGTTGACATATGATTCAAACAGTCTGAGGAAAGAAAGTGAATAGAGAAAGCACGGAGAGATATAAGGTGGCAACTATTTTCAACCTTAGTTTGTAGAAAAGCATGCTCAGGTAAATTTGGCTTCAGCACATCCAAAAGGAAAGCAGTCGCTTCTCGGATCAGATTTCTCTGAGTATGCACAAATAGATAATTTAGCACATATTAACATCTACTGTATACAATTCTTAATATTGGAACAGAACAAGTAATGAGCTACAAATATTGGTGTATACAAAATTTTATTTTTGTTCATCAACCTGAAGAAAAAGATCAGTAATGGTGTTGTAATCAACTGGACAACCTCCTTCCATTTGAGACATCATTAATGCAAAATTTACTGCTCCCTGCAAATAAAAACTTAAAAGATTATTAATATGAAACGGGGAATTTTATTCTTCATTCTATATAAGGCCAGGTCCAAATTATTCAACAAGGTAACTGATTCATAATTCTTCATGTGCTTACGCAAAAAATCTCCAGTAAACAAAATTCTTTCATACTTGAATATGTCGCAGGTATCAAGAAAGCACCATACTAACCTGAGGATCTGTACGGAGTATGGTTTGCAGAAGAAACAGATAATCAGGTGTGTACCCAACCTAGTCACGGTATAAAACAAGGTACTTTAGGGTAACCATTACAGAAGAGGGTAAATTATAGATTTTGTTGCTTACCTGCTTTGAGTAAATCAGTATTTTGTCAAACTCCCTTCTTTCTGCAAAAGCTGCTACAACTTTTGGAGTCGCCCGAGCTTTGATGTATATTTTCAGAGCAAGATCATTATCCACAGTCTAAGATAAAAAGGTTTATCGTTACAACTTACTCTAGGAGTTATATCAAATATTTTAAAGGAAAAGTTTTCCATTTCAAATTACCTTGACAAGGTCTCCAAGTTCTTCACTGCATTCTAGCTTATCCTCTGCCAACCAGTTTTCCAGCAGGTTCTTCTTGTTTTGGTTCACAACAAGCCGAGATAGTTCAAGTGACTCATATGAATTGAGCTTCCCTCTAGTTAAAAGTGTCCCAAAATACTGTAACAATGGAGGAGTTTGCCCAGCTTGTACAGGAACACTCTGCAAAATTATATAGTGCAACATTATAATTTCAAGTTGGTGTTACCTACATGTAATAATAAATAAACATGCTCAGACATAGTTGCTTGCATATGGAATAGATACCTGGAATTTGGCCACTGTATCAGGTGTCCTTAGAATTCCTTGAGGAGATTCAGCAGCAAGCTCAGCAGCCTCCTTGTACTTTGTTTGAGCGAACAACTCTTGGAACCGCTGGACAACCTACAACATCCAAACTGAATATGAGAAACTTCACATTACAAATTACATTCTTTTCTTCGAGCTGCCATTTGTCAACTATAATTACTTCACCAAGACAACAGATCCAAGATAAACATTTGCATACCAGATTTTCTGCACCTGGGAGGTTTCCTCTTTTAGCAAGATTGACAGCAAGCTCCAAATTGTTCAACTGCGATACAAAAGTATAGATTTCTTAGCATGGCATGATATCATGGGTAGCTTATACTGGGAAAACAGTAAAAGACTAACATACTTGGCCACTAATGAAAGGTATAATGGTAGCCTCGTTTACTGTAGCCAAAAGAACTTGTCCTCGCCTATTAATGGCATAGAAACCCCCAACTGAAGAAGCTTCAGAAGTCAGAAAAATTGGGTCTGGACTAATCCGGTTTCTGTAGATAGCAGAAGCAGTCTCTAGATCGTATACAAACAACAGGCCAAGCTTGGTTATAACATATATCAAGTTAAATTTGTGAGAGACCTGTTAGGAAAATTGGAAATTAGTGCCCAGAAAATTTTCACTAACAACTTAACGAATATGAATATAACTGGGATTCTAACGCAACAACAAACCTGCATGGCGACAGGAAAATCATCAGCAAAATCAGGGGGGAAAAAGAGATCGGCTTGCTTTTTTGTAAAAGATGGTTTTCCTGAAATAAAATTGCCAACCTTTAGAGATCAGATGAATACCAAATACATTAACAAAACGAAAACTATAGTTTTGCGACGAGGAAGCTAACCGGGTTGGGCACCAAGCTCAATGACATGCAACTTTGATGTATTGTCCAGCATTAAAGCTCTTGCTTGCAAATGATATAAGAATAGAAGGATTCTCATTCCCAGGAACCTAACAATAATAATGTTGCAAGTCAAACTACAGCTCAAGATTAGACCATAGAATGAACTCACCAAAGAACCAAGTAGTACCTTAAACTGTGCAAATGAAGCAGCATGTGCCTCCAGGGCCTGGCTTCGCTGTTGATCCACAGAGAAAAGCTGCATATTTCCTTTTACTAATTGTTGTCTCTACAGAAGATAGATAATAATATCGAGACTGGTCAGGAATTTACAACATGAATGTACTTTTGATGTCTTTATTCAACCTAATACGTGGCACAGTAAACCTACCTCAGGAGAGCCAGGAGCAATTCCAATTAAAACCAACCACTTCTCATTAGGAGAGCACTTATAGTTTATAATTTGATTGTTGGCCAAATTTGCCGTTCTATCAAACATCTTAACTGGCTCAGAATCACCTAATAAACATCAAAACAAAATTAGAAACAGAAACACAAGATATGAAAAAAATGAAGTGTACTGAAGATATGCAACCTTCGATTGACCAATGGTAAACGGAATTCTGCGTAACCAGCCCCAACATCTTTGGTGTAATCCACTTCCAAAAGACAACCTGTAAAAACATGACAGATTAATATTCCCAAAATGAGAGCCGTACGAAGTGTAATAGCAAAGATAATGTGGTTACAATATATATGCATCAACACTTACCTGCTCAGGCATCTGATGCGACTTCAACTTTGCTTTTGCTTCAATGTTAAATATCTGTAGATGATCCTGAGTAGTTCCTGGAACTTGGGCTATATAAAAATTAAAGAAAATAGTCTTAAGATATGATCAAATATGAATACAAAGTTGAGAGCAAGGGAATTTAAAAGAATCCGTTCCGAAATAGATAGCATATGTTGTTAGCAAGACGAAGAACCAATGGTAGTTCTAAAAAAACACTTAAAAGGGAAACTCGTATGGGTGTTATGAATGACAAGTAAGACGAGAGTTTTTTCAATAGAAGGAACCAATGAAATACCTTTTAAGGCAAGGATCCTCGAGTTTGGATTCATAAGAGCAGAGTCTGCAGTAATAGGCCTCCTTAGAGGCTGCATCGGCATATTCATATCTATGATTACAACACTGTTTTGTGGTGCCGTCTCGCGTACACAGATGTACTTGTCAGATTCCATAGTAACATTAGTAAACGTGATGAATTGCTGATTGATCCCGACGCTCGGAAGCTGGAAAGATCAAATTGAAGCGTTATGTCACATAGTTCATATACTAAAGTAATGAAATCCGAGTATAAAAGCACATTGCACACTATACAGCAACATAAAATTCGGGATCGTTACACAGATCTGAACACATTTAGAGAAACCGGATCAAAAACATTGATTCCTCAAACCAGCAATCCAGAAACAAAAATAGACAGTAAAACAATGATCGATGAGAATTCAGACCAGCACGAAGCTGGGATCAATCAAACAACAGTTTCAACAGAGCTTGATTATCAGAAATGAGTGAATAAAGCTACGGAAATTTCTAAATCGATCAAAACCGCGGTAGATTCCAGGAGATACACAATATATTTCTGGTAAGAGAAGAGTGGAAAACTCACCGTCAGGATCTCCTTCATCGTAATGGGGGCGTTGGCTGCTGCCATGTTTGACCACAGATCACAGCACGAGAAAGTCCGAGGCCAGAATCAGTTGAGAGTTGAGACGATTGAATCGAGGCGAGACAGAAAGAGAGAGACTAGAGAAAAAATGAAATCGTTTGCTGCCAGTCAGATCTGAAAGGCAAGTGAGCGAGAAAGGTGATGATGGTAGTAGGCGAAAGAGGTGGGCTAATAAGAAAGACAAATATGCAAGTGTTAAGACTCTTCTTAGTTCTTACACTGTAAGTAATAACGATGAGCAGCGCAGCGATCCGATCTTACATCTATTTCCACGTTCGGCCCGGCCCGGCCGGTTCTTACTGGGCTTAATTTCTAGGTTTTTAGATCCAAAGAGTTAACCCAACGACACGGATACGAATATTGTCTAATTAAACACGAACTTAATTAAGGAACTGCATAATATAAGCCTCATAATTAATGAGATGACACGTGAAATGTTATATGTTCTTTTAATTTTAAATTAGAACAAAATAAAATAAGCAACTATAGATACATATACAGAAGAAGATCTCCCACCATATTTTTATTTTATTTTATACCAGATTTGATGATATGCAATAATAGGGTTTTAATTTTATCGATTAGATCTCAGAATTCTGATTTGTTCAAAAAGCAAAAAAAAAAAAAAAAAAAAAAAAAAAAAAAAAAAAAAAAAAAGAAGAAGAAGAAGAAAGATCTCAAAACCGAGTATTCTTCTTCTTCTTCCTCCTAAACATATTTTTGTTGTTTTTCAAATTGGAGGAGCTACACCATGAAATCGACTCACCATCATAGAGCTCCACTAATTTCTGCTTCTTCCTCATCTTCCTCTTCTTCTTCAAACCACTCTCTCGTCTCTAGGCTCCTCCTTCTTCTTACATTACTTCCAGTTTCCCTTGCCTGTCTCGCCTTTATCCTCCAATGGCGAGGCGGTGGTCTCGCCGATCCTGCCTCTGCTTCTGTTCGTTCCTCTACCTCGGTTCCTGGCGGCTCCGATCTCAATCACGAGGTGTTTCCCGGCATGGAGACTGTTTCATCTGTCTCCCCTAAGGCTCACCAATCTTCCTCCGACTGCTCCAATCTAGCTCGCAGCTCTTCTCCTTCCTTCCCTTACTATGGTGATTGGAAGTTTGGTGTTGATACTAGTTTGAAGCCTAAGGTAAATCTCCAATCCCACTGCTTTGGAGGTTTTTTTTTTGATCGATCTGGATTCTGGACTTCCAAATTCTAGTCTTCTCTTAAGTCTTACTCCAATGTCTAATCTGGAGCATAGTCTCACCCTTTGCTTATCGTCTGTTGAAGTCGAACATCAATTTGTTGTTTTGATCAGATCTGTCTTTGTAAATACTCTACCTTTTTGTGCCCATGTATATGATTCTGACATTGCTACTGTTACAGATATGTATTACGACTAGTACATCAGCTGGATTGGATCAGATTCTACCATGGATGTTCTACCATAAGGTTCTCGGTGTCTCCACATTTTTCCTTTTTGTAGAAGGGAAAGCTGCTACTCCGAGTATTTCAAAAGTGCTGGAGTCTATTCCTGTGAGTTGAACTCCCTATCATCGGTTCCATTACTTTCTTTTGGCTGTATAGCTCCTAGGTCTTTAGTCCTGTAGGCATTAGTCGACTAAGATCTTTGTTCTGAGGTTAAGAAATCTTGATAAATGTAGTCCGGTATCTCTTTCAGGGGGTTAAAGTAATTTACAGGACAAAAGAGCTTGAGGAGAAGCAGGCAAAGAGGTTAGTAAACTATGACATTGTATATTTTCTGCATATCTTGAGCTCTTGCAGGCACTAAGTACATGTTTTTTCTTTGTATGTTCTGGGACTTGTAGCATTGTTGTAATTTCTACGACTAATCATTTCACTGTCATTCTTTTTTCTTTTTTTTGCTTCATCAGCCGGATTTGGAATGAGACGTGGCTCTCATCTTTCTTTTATAAGCCCTGCAATTATGAGTTATTTGTCAAACAATCTCTCAACATGGAAATGGCTATTGTCATGGCAAGAGTAAGCAATTTTATTGATCTTATTTGTTTGATTTTTGTTCATATCTCCTGTTATATTCATTTCTAATTGTTCTTACTAAAAATCAGGATGCGGGCATGGATTGGATACTTCATCTTGACACAGATGAGCTAATATACCCAGCAGGTGCTCGTGAGTACTCATTAAGACGGTTGCTGCTTGATGTTCCTCCAAATGTGGATATGGTTATATTTCCAAATTATGTGAGTGAAATCTGATTCACATTTCTTGCATTGTATATTTTCAACTAGTTTTGTGAGTGTAGAGTACCTTTATATGGTCTGGGCTTGGCTCTGAATGATTGTTATGGACTTTTTTCTCTAGGAAAGCAGCGTAGAACGGGATGATATCAAGGATCCTTTTACAGAGGTATCACTCAGTTTGTTACTCTTTTTACCTAAGATAGTATGTTAAATTGAAGAGGTGTAGTGTCAACTGTTTCTTTGTTTTGTTTGTTATGTTAGTATTACTTATGAGATATGTTTGATGCAAGCAGGTGTCAATGTTCAAGAAGAATTACGATCATCTTCCAAAAGATACATATTTTGGAATGTACAAAGAAGCAACACGAAATAACCCAAATTACTTTTTGACTTATGGTAACGGCAAATCGGTTGCTCGGATTCAAGATCACCTCCGTCCAAATGGAGCTCACAGATGGCATAATTACATGAAAACTCCCAAGTACGTGTATTGTAGATTTAAACATAAGTGAAGCAAAATATTTTTCTCTATATATAACCTGATAATTCTTGTTAGTGAGATCAAATTGGAGGAGGCTGCTGTCCTACACTACACATATGCAAAATTTTCGGACTTGACATCCAGGCGTGATCGATGTGGCTGCAAGCCTACAAAAGAAGATGTGAAAAGATGCTTTATGTTGGACTTTGACAGATCTGTGAGCATCGATTTTAAAAAATCCTAATTATCTCTAGTCATTTCTTCAAATCTCTATAATTCAGTTCCTTTTACTATTTCTTGATGCCTTCTGGATGATGAACATTGTAGGCATTTATAATTGCGTCAACAGCAACTGAAGAAGAAATGTTAAGCTGGTAAGAGCCTCCCCTGCAGAATTTCATTCTTTCTTCGGTACTTGTGCGATAGAGAAATTTTGACACTCTTTAAACAAGTTAAAAAAGTTTTGAGGCCCTACTTTGGTTACAAAAGTATATGGTCTTGATACAAAAGAGCTGTATCATGTGTAGGTATCGTGAACACGTTGTATGGGGCGACAAAGAGGTGAAAACAAAACTCCTTAGGAAGGGTATTCTAACTCGCATATATTCACCAATGGTAAGTATCTACTCAGAAATTCATTATACAATTTTCCAAACAAAAATATTGGAACATCGAGTTCTAGTAAGTAAATTATAAAACTTTATAACATTGGTGGTAAAATGCAGGTTGTTATACAAGCATTAAAAGAATCTGGTGTCTTCACTTCAGTTGTCTCATCAGTTTCAACAAATCTTTCAAAGAAAAATTTCTTATCATCAATTCACAAAAGCAACTCATCGAGGTCTACTGCATCTGGGTCCCTTCCAGCAATGGAAAACAAGTCTGAGGGCATCTCTGCAAGGCACCTTCTTGGGGCTGAATCAGCAGTCCCTCCTTTATCCCCACCTGGGATGGAACACGCTAGATTTGTCACAGGGGAATAGCAGATTTTAACACCAAGCTGATGGATTCCCTATTACTGATATTGATACTGGGGGCAATATGAGTGATGTGTAGCTTTAGGAAGCCAAGTAAAGTGAGACAAAGAAGAGGTGAAAAAAGCAGGCTTGTGTGATTCTTCCCGAGCATCTTGAGAGACATAGTTTCTCTTATCTCAGATTACTCTCCTGCACCTTATGATAGATGAGTTTGCAGCATATTTCTTTTGCCATTGTTAATTCTATGTAAGTTTATTACCATGTACAGAACTTCAAAGCTCCAGGCTTAGACCCATCTTTTTCTACTTACATTACCATATATCATCTCATGTTATGGCCTCTGTATGAGCAAGATTAATATCAAACGTATTTTAGTTCAAATTTAATCCAAAGCGATTAAACTAGGCCTCACCGGTAAAGACCCAATACACACATCTCTAATCATAAGCATGACACAATCTGGATTGCCAAAAACAGGTATGAAGAAAGAGTCAATGGTCCATAAAACGAATATTTGGCACCAAAAAGCGGAGACTCCTCAACTTACACATTAAAAAGCATTGTACGGAGGTGGTTTTGATGTGATGATTGTTGTCTGAGAGAGACAGAGAGAGAGAGAGATGAACGATGCGGATGTGTCAAAGCAGATACAGCAGATGGTCCGGTTCATCCGGCAAGAAGCTGAAGAGAAAGCAAACGAGATCTCCATCTCCGCCGAGGAAGAATTCAACATTGAGAGACTTCAGCTTCTTGAGTCTGCCAAGCGTAAGCTCCGTCAAGATTATGACCGCAAGCTCAAGCAGGTCGATGTCCGGAAGCGAATGTCAGCCTTTTTCTCCCCTTCCTCCCTTGCTCTACTTTTACTAGGCCCTTTAATTCATTCTGTAGATGTTTCTCTTCAGCGACTACTCCACTCAACTGAATGCAAGTAGGATCAAGTACCTTCAAGCACAAGACGACATTGTCACCTCCATTAAAGCCTCCGCAGCTAAGGATCTTCTCCGTGTCTCCAACGACAAGAACAATTACAAGAAGCTTCTCAAGAGTCTCATCATTGAGGTCTATATATCTCTCATCCTCTCTACCTCACGATATCCTCACGTCTTTACCATTTATATATTATTACTGCTTACAGAGTTTGCTGCGCCTGAAAGAGCCATCAGTACTGCTGAGATGCAGAGAGATGGACAAGAAGGTTGTTGAATCGGTCATTGAGGATGCTAAAAGACAGTATGCGGACAAAGCCAAAGCCCCGTCTCCTAAGATCACAATCGACGACAAGGTCTTCCTCCCTCCACCTCCTAATCCTAAGCTCCCTGATTCTCACGACGTTCACTGGTATACTTCTTTTTCAATCTTTCTCTCTCCTTTCTTCTCCGTACATGTACATATCTGAACAATGGTAATGTGTGAATGATGAAGCTCGGGAGGGGTAGTGTTGGCCTCTCAAGACGGAAAGATTGTCTGCGAGAACACTTTAGACGCACGCCTTGACGTCGCCTTCAGACAGAAGCTTCCCCAGGTTCGGTCTTTTCATTTATGGGTGTTTTCGTTCTTCTTTCCCATCATTCCGAATTTCTAGTATTAACTCTTCTTCTCATATTTGCAGATCAGGACACGCCTTGTTGGAGCACCTGAAACCTCCAGAGCATGATCCAGTCACCCCTAAGTTTACTTATTAATCTTTTGCTTAGGCCTCAATAAGTAACACATTTTGGCCTTGTGACACTGTTACTTCTTTTTAGCAGGAGTTCAATTTTTTTTTTAGTCTGTTTCATCCTTTTCATCTTCAAAATGTTGTCAAAAGAGAATAATTTCTGAAAAGTTATATAGAAAAATTTGCCTCAAAGCTATTGAGTTATGCTCTTTTAAAGTTAATATATGTTATGAGAAATCGCAATCGAATACTTGCAAGATTTTCCAAAAAATATACACAACTCACTACACTACTAAGGAATCACCCCCATTTTCTTAGCAAACGTATTTACGTGTTCCAAAGTACCTAAAACATAGAATCTGTTCGGCTCCTACCGGTTTTTCTCTCCAACCTCGACCTAGCTTTGCGGTTAGCCTTCCGCCTCTTCTCTTCTGTAGGTCCTCCACCAAATATCGAGATCCTACCAATCCCTTTTGAAAGCGAGGTCAGCAATGTTCCACCATGACCTGGTTTCTCCATCATCCCCTGTTTCATCAAAATCTGCTCCTTCTCTAACTCGGTCAGCCTCACTCTCACCCTCGAGATCTCCAGTTTCAGCTCTCTATTCTCCCTCCTCAACGATGCATAAGTGTCTCTCGGAGACACAGCTCCGCTCGGGTTCCCGCTACTAAGTTTTTGAGAAGACAGCAATAGCCCTTCCCCTGAATCTCCGGACATAACATTCTTCATACGCAGCTGTTCCGAGTAGAGGACTCGAACCACCATCTGCACCGGCAGCCGATCGTTCTGAGCAACGTGGTTGCATGCTTCTTGTGAAAGTTTCTGAGTGTCTATAAATTTGCAGAGACTCTTGCATTCTTGTTCGTTCAACGACGGATGCCCCTAACAATCATCACAAAGACATTTTCCCACTCTGTCAAATATGAACCAAAACAGAGACAAGGCTTCCCTTTTTCAAGGGATATTAAAAAAACAAACTTTACCTTGAGAAACATATCAATAGCTCTGTATAGCCCATCATCCATGACACGAGCATAATCCGGCAATATCTCTATCAAAGCCATGAACTTGTGCAGACTCAGACATGGGTCTGGTGCGATCTCTGTCAGGTAGGCATCCATGATACGACCCACTTTCAGTAATGAGCTATGGCACGTCGAACCAGTAAGGTTCTCAGTCTCGTTCTCGTAATATTCATGATCGTCGTCATATTCTACTTCGTCCTCTATTTTCTTCAGAAAGCAAACGAGTAACCTATGGACAGTGTCAACGTCATATATGGACTCGCCATCTCGAAGAACAGGTATGAGTAGATCATCGAGGGACACTGTTTCCAGCTGCTGAGCAATTCTCCGCTCCAGCTCAAGCCTGCAAGAGATGGCTACGTCTATGGTAATCCCAACCCTCAACATTCCGAAGAGGAAACTCAATGGGACTTTGTCATTAGGAAAAAGGCTAACAATAGCTTCAACCACATTCCTCTGCTCGTTCTCAATTGTACCCGAGTCGAGCTTGCTCCGTTCCTTGCAGTTTCGAATACCTTTCAATGATTCTTGAGCGTAATGCATCAGAGACGTGATGATACTCTCTGACCGTAAACCTGTTCTGGCCATTGCCGACACAACTCGTGCGTAATAGTCAATCCTCAGAACAGAGAGGTCCTCAACCCACCACTCTGGACAATCTCCTCGCTTGGTATCCGCTGACTCGTTGCCTCGGTTCAGCCGTGATAGCCCCAACACTAGCTGTTCTCTGCAAGCATTCACAGCGATGGCCTCCACACACCTTTCAGGAATGTGGGCAGTTTCAGCAATGTCTTGAGGGTAAAGTGTCTCACAAGAACAGAGGACTTCCACGGACTTCTCAAGACTACGAAACGCGACTTGCTCGAGGTAAGTCTCAGTACGTGCGATCAAATTCTCTTCTTTAAAGTCTTCCGTCATCTCAAGATAACCAGCTGCACAGCGGAGAGCGACAACGTTGGAGATGGTAATCTCGAAGTTGATGCCGTAGCAGAACTTCATGGCGAGTTCAAAGGTCTTAGCCCCACCTGGGAAGTCTTGGAGCTCTGTATGCGAGAGGTTTGAAGATGATTCCTTCATCTCTGCCACCATTTTCCTAATCTTTCCACACCGAGCCACCAGCGGAAACTGCAAGAGAAAAAAGTTTCCAAGATCTATAACTAAATTTCGTCGAACACTTTGTGTATGTTAAAAAAAAAACAGAGATCACTAACCTTGTGGAGTAAAAAGGACTCTCCATCGACAACAATTGTGATGTCTCCCGCAACATCTGAAAATATGCTGCAATTTCATATAATAAAAACGAATCCTTTATGCATCAGACAAGTAATAATCACTGTGAGATTGCATAAAGGAACAAACTTTGACATAAGTCTCAGAAGAAAGATAAGAACGAGAGAGAGAACAGACCGAGTGGCAAAGGAGCTGGAGAAGATGGAAGGAGCAGGAGCAGGAGCAGAGGAAGACGAATTAGATTGAGGGCTGTCCGATACAATACCCATTGTGACCTTGACGAGGAAGAAGACTCGGAATTTGAGGAGGAGCCTTTCAAAAACATAGGCTTTGAACACTTTCCTTTTCGTCGAAATCGGAATTTTTTAAAAACCGCAATAGCCTTTATATAATTTGCAGTTTCAATTTCGTAATCTTGACTCCAAAAAAAAGGAAAGAGCTAAGCTTTTTTTTTTTTTTAATAGTAGTGATATATGATTCAGAACACGTGAGAAAAGCCGGGAGGGGGTTGTGTGGCACGGAGCTCCATAAAGACTCAATTATAGTTTCTTGGGGACACACACTTTCACTCACTTTAACAATTTGAGGTCTCTGTTACAACCTCACCCCACTCCAATTTTCTATCTAATCTCTTTACACTAACCACCTATGAACCCTACTTTGTCACCACTACTTTTGCTCTATTTTGTTTCACCAAACATATGATATGGTGATCTGAGATGTGAACTCCCTGTCGGGGGTGAAATATCCTTCCAATAGCAGCAAACAAATGGCAAAAGGACAGAGTCAATAGATCCATCTTCAATATCTTTAGTCATTAACACATCAGTCTATTTTATCAGTCTATTTGTATTTTATTTCAAACCTTACGGAAACAACTTTTTGTCAACTCAAGTCTATATTTGGTGTGTTCTTATTGGAGCTTCTTTTGATTCACTTGATTTATGTAAATGTTCACAATTCCAAATTGATTTGCAACTATCTGTTCCACAAATAAACTCAGGGCTAGCTTAGTGTGAAGAGCTAGCTTAGTGTGATCGAAAAGGAGATCTAGAAGAAGATATTGCTTTCTAGTTCTAATAGCTTTCTAACTTTCTTCAGTGATGAAGCATTTGCTTTCTTAGTTTAGTGAAAGAGCAGTGAGACAACGGAGTAGAGTAAAAGAGCCTCAAATACGCTCAAATAGATTCCTCATACAAGTTTTCTCTCCTTCCACACATTGGAGTTTTACATCAGTTCTATTTGCAGCATTCGCTTGGGAACTGGGCTTACTCGCTATTTACAACGTAAACTACTCAAGATAACGTAATCAGGTATTGCAGATTATTAATAATATAAGACGGGAAGATATAAAAAAGCAGTAAAGGGAAATAAAACTCAATAAATCCAAAATTCTTTTAAACTCGAAGAGAATGACAGACTCTCTCTCAAACATGAATTATTCCATAAGTAAAAAAAGTTGGCGTCAGAAGGATATAAAATTTGGTTTAGGGCTCATGCCTCCCTAAGTCTTAAGCAAAAAAAAATTTCATCAACATCTCAGTTTTTTTGCGGGTTTTAAACCGCAATTAAAATCGAAAAAGGAGGAAGAAGGCAGAAGCGATGCTTAAGCACCACCTGATCCGTACTTCTTACCAAAGACAATCAGCTGCAATTTGTCGTAACCGGAAAGCACACCAGCACCTGCAACAGCACGCAGAATGTTGGCACCAGCTCCCTTGAAGAGTGACTTGGCTCCTTCATTCTTGAGGATCTGGGCAAAGGCATCCATCGAACTCTTGTACTTGACTGCCTCACCTGACGTCATCATCATTCTTCTGCGGACAGTGTCAATGGGGTAAGATGCAAGACCCGCACCATTAGTGATGACCCATCCAAGAGCGAAACTAGCAAAGAAACTATCCTGAAATAACCAAAAAAAGAATACTAACATGTCAGAACCAACCAGTAACAAGTATTAGAACACACAAGATAAGAGAGAAAGACAACAAAGACCAACCTGCAAGTCTCCAGTGAGGAGAACAGGCTTCACAGAGTCGTAGAGTCCAAAGTACAGACCACGGTAGACAATGATACCAACACAAGAGATGTTGAATCCACGGTAAAGACCAGCAATACCATCAGACTTGAGTGTCTTCCTGTAAACATCGACAAGACCATCAAACTGTCTGCCACCACCTCCTTTCTTTGCAGCCTTGGCATCATTGGCCAGACGGGTACGGGCGTAGTCAAGGGAGTACACAAACAGAAGGGAAGAGGCACCAGCAGCTCCTCCAGATGCCAAGTTACCAGCAAACCACTTCCAGTAACCATCTCTGTCCTTCTTAAAGTTGAAAAGCCTTTTGAAGTAATCTTTGAAGGCAAAGTTCAAGGCCTAGCATGGTCAAAAGAGAAGATTAGTACAAAATTAATTTGTTTCAAAAGCTATAAAAGCCAAAGAGCTTGAAACTCAACCAACCTGGGTGGGGAAGTAACGGATGACATTGGCAGTGTTTCCTCTCCATAGAGAACCAAACCCTTCATCCTTAATTGTCCTGCCGAAACAGTCACCAATACCCTTGTATGGTTCAGAAAGCCTGCCAGCTTTAATCATCTCATCCTGGTTCTGAATCAAAAGCTTAACACGCTCAATGGGAGCAGCAGCAGTCTTTGAGACGGCAGCAGAAACACCACCCATCAAAAAGTCAAGAGCAAAGTTAGTGAACCCTTTCTCTCCTGGAGCCTGGACAAAGACTGGGGATGCAGTTGTTGCCAACATCCGGGATGTGGGAGGAAACTGAAATGCAGCATTGGAGTAGTTTCCATAGGTTGCATGTCTCTGGTACATAGAAGGCCTCGGGTAACCAACATGGACGTCGTTGGAAACACTTGAACGCATGAACTGCCCAGCAGCTTTCTGAGCAATAGTGGGGTGCTGAACTTGATCAACCATTTTGAACTCTGCAATTTTACAAAACCAATAATGAAAACAAGACGTAAGTATCATATGTAACGCAGCAATATATGACAAAGAATGCTTTACCAACACAAGTTTGAAAGGTAATACTAGAGTCTAAGATCTTCCCGGAATGTAACAGTATTGAAGTAGTAAGCAAAACAGAAGGTCATGTCACAAAAAGCTTTACAAACAGACAACCCAAGATTGTTGGAAACGAAAATGGTCAGTTCAAAATTCTGGAGGAACCAAAACACGATTACAACAACTAGAAAAAGCAAGCGGATACAACTAACCATGGTTCACTAAGCATATGATCAGGCAAAGATCTGGTAGATTATAAGATCAAAAACTTAACAAGGGTTTACAGCAATCACAATTACCGTAAACGGAGTCGCAAATATCAGATCCAATACATTTTAAACTAAAGTCAACAGATCCAAGCAATTTCTATGATTAAGAGATCAGCAAATCAGTGAAACTCTAGAAAAAGAAGCAGATCTATAGAACCAATAGATGAAAAAATTCGAAAATGAGCTGTAAACATCACGATCAGAATAATAAGCAAACAGATAACATCATTTCTCAACAGAACAGTCAGATCTATGGATCGGAACATCTTATTTACCTTACAGATCTAAGAACGAAACACAGATCGAAGAAACGAAAAATAAAAATGATTCGAAGAGCAACGAGATTTATAAAGAGTAAACAGATCTGAGAGAAACGAGAGTTACCTAAGAGAACCGATGGATGAGCAAAATATCTGGAGAGAGAGACTCCGCCTTTTTCTCACGGAGATGAGAGGGCGAAGCAAGGGAGAGACGACGAAGTTTTCTCTGTGGTGAAGAGGCGAGCTTTGAAAAGAGCAATTCTTAGCCCTTTTATCGTCTCGAAAAATAGGGTCGCAGAGGTCTCGTTCGTCACTCGCCCAGTGGGGACGGGTTTAAATCACATGCAAACAAAACTATTTGGGCCTTGCTGCTTCATACCCATTGGATCATTCTGATTGGAACAAAGGTGAGTGACAACCGTCGATTATGTTTACTTTTGCAGAAGAATGGTTTTTTTCTAATGATGGTACGACTCTACTTGCTAACCGTTAGATCTTGCGCTAGGAATCTGGAGCGTTGTTTGGCATTGTTGAGGGCAACTAGTGAATGGACGGCTGGAAGGGTAGCGTGGAAAATTATTTTGTCTACCATACCGGACCAGATCAATTTGCAAATATCTTATGGCAAAATTTATTAGTCAATACTAAAATTGAAGTGTTCAATTGTTATTTTGATTTGCCGATTTTTCCAACTTCGTTTTATCTTTTACTATTATTAAATTTGAATTTCGAATGTAAAAAAATAAAAGAAACTAATCTTTTGATAGACTGATTTTTTTTTCTATTTAAACAACTTGATGACATCAAGATATTTTTCTATTTATTTGTAATATTTTTCCAGTTTTTTTATATGAAAGGTTTCTTTTCAACTTTCTCTAATATTCTCCCATGTGGCCGAATGTTTGACGCTGCCCTCAAATTCTCATACCTTTAACTTTACATGAAAGGTTTCTTTAGATAATTTGTTTAGAAATTAATTCTCAAAAGCTTCTAGATCATGTTTTTGAGAAATACAAAATCAAATGTAGTTTATAACGTGAACAACATCGTGAGAGGGCCGGCGAGTAGCCCGTATGGCTCCCGAAAAATCACGAGCCTTATTAGAGAGCAGAGAAAACTAGCAACTTTAAAGAGTATCAAGAGTCGCTCAGGTGGGACAAAGGGAACTACAACCAACCAGAATCATCACTTGTCCACTACTTCAATCAGACTTGTCTCATAGTCGCTCGGGGCTACAAATCCATGGAGGTTCATCACGGTTGCAGCTACATTCGCAAGCCCAGGTGTGTCGATATCCTGCCTGAACCTAACTCCTGCTGACAAGCCAGGACCTCCTATGGCAATTGGCACCTGCAAACACACACATCATGTCCAAAGTTCACATATAAGACACACACAACAACCACTTCTGGCTATAAAACTTCTCATGCTTAACCTATGCTCAGTAGCAACTTCCACATTTTGATCAGAACTCAAAAAATTGTTCCGGTATTGCTAGAACTTACTGGTTTCAAGGTGTGAGAGGTGAGAATCTGAAGGTTCCCTTCCTTATCAAGAGCAGGCTTGCCGGCTTTGTCTCTTTTAACCATGTCCTCAGCATTTCCATGATCAGCAGTCACAACATATATCCCTCCAACCTGCTCTATGGCATCAAGGATTGTCTGCAAACCAGGGACCAAAACTTAGTAAGTCATTGCTATTAAGAACAGTTTCTAAACACTCCCATGTCACAGATTTAATAGAAAACCATACCCTCACAGCAAGATCAGCAGCTTCACAGGCAACAACAGTTGCTTCAATATCACCAGTATGACCAACCATGTCTCCATTTGGCAGGTTAACACGAACCTACCATTTCATTCACACCAGGTTCAGAAGCCGAAATTTTTTTAGTGGGTTGACAAATATGATAAGAGAGTAGTACACCTTACCTGATCAAACTTGCCACTAAGGATAGCATCCCTTGCTTTCTCTGCAATTTCCAACGCTTTCATCTTTGGCTGGACATTGAATGATATTCCACTATCACTTGGAATCTCAACGTACTCTTCTAACTTTTCATTGAAATATCCAGAGCGGTTGCCATTCCAAAAGAAGGTGACATGGCCAAACTTCACAGTCTCACTGTTTCAGTGAAGTAAATTTTCAATGGTCAATAGCTAGGATATTGTACATTTCAAGTAATTTACCATCAAATGTATAATCTCATCTAAGAAAAAGACAACTAGGACCATTCCACTAGTTTTAATCAGCAAGAAACCCCAATGCATAAAACAGAAAGAAGACAGGATTAGTTATATCACAGTTTCATTTCTAATCCCAATTTCAACAAATTAATAAGTCAGGAAACAGCAATAGAAGACAATACATAAATGGAAAAGAGGATATACGAAGATCAGAGAGATTCTAAAAGTTAACCTGCAAGCAAAAGTACGAATGCCATTGTGTGCCAGGTATTCACCAGAGGTTCTATCGATCAATGGTGGGGAAACAAGGTAGCGGCTAGGAAGCTTTAGCTCTCCATCATATTGGAGCATTCCTGCATAACGTATCTTTGGGACACGTACGCGATCAAACTTATCAAAATCTTCATATTCAAGGGCCTTTGCATGCATGACCATTCGATCAGCACGGAAATTGAATGTAACAACTGCGTCGCCATCAACAATTGGACCCACAGCCTTTCCGCTGTCATCAACAATGACAAAGGGAGGCAAATACTGGTCATTAGCACCAGGTTCAGCCCTCAGTGTCTTAACTGCTTCAAGAGCGCTTTTAAATTTGTGAGGAGCTTCTCCAAGAACTTGAGCATCCCACCCTCGTTTCACAACAGTCCAATCATTCTACAAGGGATAGAAACAGAATACAGTTAAAGCAACAAAAATATAAGCCTAATCCAGTTTCCAATTAGACAAAGATCTAAGAATTAACGTGTGAGTTTAGCTAAGTGAAAGTGAATTCAGACCTCATAACGGTCCATGGTGACATACATACGACCTCCACCGGATGCAACCTGAGCATCAACACCTTTGGAACGTAAGGCAGCGAGGTCCGCTTCAAGAGTTTCAACAAAGCCAACACTAGAGCCATCCAACACATCACGACCATCAGTAAGAATATGAACGCGGATTCTCTTAGCACCACGTTCTGCGAAACCCTTTAACAGCAACTACGCAGACAAAACAAAACCAAACCATATCCACGAACATTAACATTACAAGAGAAATTCTAAAGAGATGTGTAAAAAAATGAAGCAGAGAATTGAGTACCTGCACTTGATCGAGACGAGAGTGAACTCCACCATCGCTTAGAAGACCAATAAGGTGCACGGTGCCTTTCTCAAAAGATTCAGAGATGTATTTGAAACCTTCGTCTTCATAGATTTTCCCTGAAGCAAGGGCGAGATCGACAAGCTTAGCACCTTGAGCGTAAATGCGACCGGCTCCAAGAGCATTGTGGCCAACTTCACTGTTTCCCATGTCGTCTTCGCTCGGGAGACCAACGGCAGTACCGTGGGCTTTGATCAACCTCCATGTATCTGGTTTCCCCTATGAAAAACACAACAACCCGTCGAAATTCATAATCGGAATCTATCGATATCAATCAAGAAATATGTGGAAACAAAAGAAAAAAATTGGAAAAAAGGAAACAAACGTTTTTAAGAGAATCCATGGCGGGAGTTGGAGCTTTATGGATGCAATTGTACTGGTCAGGATCAGATTCACCCCATCCATCGAGAACAATTAATCCGATTGTTTTTCCCTTAGGAAGCTTGGGGTGGTCCTCAAGTTTCCAGTTAACGTCGCCGGAACTACCCATAATAGCTGTGGAATCAGATCCAGTCGTCGGTGAGAAATCCAAGTGTTAAAGGAACAGATCTGAGAAGCGAGAGAGATGAAACCGAAGCTTACCAGCGGAGAAACAGAGGAAAGCTCTCTCTTTCAAAGAGTCGTATGGAGATTCGCAGAGAGACGAAGAGAGTGGTGATGTGGTGAGGTATGGTAGGTTGAGCTATCAACTGACATATAAATATGAGGTTTATAAAAAAGAAAATGGAAAAGTTAATGATGACGTGGTTCATTTTTAATGGGCTTAACTTTGGGCTCAAGTAAACATTGTCATGCCTCAAAAATAAATTATATAGAAGGAAACGAATATATCTAATTATAGCTGCTTCTAGTTCTAGTACGCCTAGCTTCTAGATCATGCTTTTTGTGCGTAGATAGTGACATAGTGTGTGTTGGCTCAAACCGGAGTTAACTCAATAGGTCAAAACCAAACGAAAATTAAACCAAAATATTGATAAAACTGATTTATATTTGGATCAAATTAAACCAAATAAATACAACTTAACTGAGAATTGATATTTTAGGTCTACATTATATCGATTACCAGAAAACCGATAAGAAACCAAACCGGTAATCATGTACTATATTAACTGCACTATGTATGTTAACTGCATTCACAAGGTTGGTAGTTTGCTAGGAATAAATTTCTAATGAGCCAGCCAATAGAGTCCATATATATGTGGGCTTCAAAAGCCTGAAACTAGAAATATGGGCCAGAAATAAAAGGAAAGAAATAAAAAAAAGGTAGAAGAGTGATAGTATATGGAAAAAAAATCATACATACAGATAACAAGAAGAAGGGGGTAGACGGACAACTGTTACGGCAAAATTGAATGCCGCAATGTATTAATATGATTGGTCGAAAAAGAAAAGTAAAAAAGGAAAACATATATATATTTTTAATTTTTTTTTTTTTAATGTGGGAAAGGAGAAAAATCAGATGAACAGGCTGTATGTATAATTTTTGTGAACAAATGGGACTGACGACAACACTCTTCCTTCTCCTTTTTGTCCTTTTGGCTCTCTCTCTCTCTCTCTCTCTCTCTTCTTTCTCTCTCTTTTCCACCGGCGACCATTAATTCTCTCTCCTCCGCTTCTTCCCCTCGCCCCCCCCCTCATTGTTACAAACCCTCATTCCTCGATTTGTTCTTCTCTACCCCAATTCCGGTTTTGCCCCTTTTGAACTCTTCTTCTCCCTCACACACACTCTCAGGAGACGTGACGGCGACTTCTTTATTACTACTGAGTCTCACAGCTTTTGACTCGCCGCTGGGGACTTTATTGCTCCCAGAAGGCGAAGGAGATAAGCTTACCCAACAATGGGGTTTCTCTGTTGTCTCCAGGTGCTGCTTCTGTTTCTCTCTCTCTGCTCTCTTCCTCTACAAGCTCAATCTACACCCAATGCTTCGTCTCTTGATGCTCTTCTCCAAGATTACTCTTTTAGAGCCTTCGTTCGTCCTCGTACCGGCATTCTCTACGAAGGTACCGTCCCTTCCAATTTGACTGGGATCAAACTCGCTGCCATGAGACTCAGAAGCGGAAGCTTTAGAAAACGTGGAGTCACTCCTTTTAAAGAGTTCTCGATTCCCAGCGGCGTAGTCGTGGAGCCGTATGTGACAAGGCTTGTCCTGGTTTATCAAAACCTAGCTAATTTCTCCCACTTGTACTACCCTTTGTCTGGTTATGATTATGTGGCACCTGTGTTGGGTCTTCTCGCTTACGATGCCAAGAATCTCTCCGCCACTAATTTGCCTGACCTTGATTTGAGGGTCTCTAATGATCCTATCAGAATCGATTTCTCTGATCTGGAACGAATCCCTCAAGGCTCTAGTGCTAAGTGTGTTAGATTTGATTCACAAGGTGTTGCCAGTTTCAGCGAATCGATTCAGCCTGGAAACACATGCGAGACTGAGCGTCAGGGACATTTCTCTGTTGTCGTGAAATCTGTGTCATCTGCCCCGAGTCCAGCTCCTCCAGGGGATGAGCATAGGAAGAAAAAGAAGGAGAGCTCTGATTCCAATTCCAAGACTTGGATCATCCTTGGGTCGGTGGTAGGTGGATTGATACTATTTGGGCTTTTGCTGTTTTTGGTCTTGAGATGTCGGAATTACAAGAAGCAAGAGAGAATGAGAGAGATGGAGAGGGCTGGAGAGACAGGGGAAGCTCTGAGGATGACTCAGGTTGGAGAAACTAGAGCACCTACAGCTACTACGACTCGTACACAACCAATGCTTGAAACCGAATACGCAGCTTAGATTACTTTGTGTACATCATCATCACCACATCTTCTTGATCATCTGTTACTGTCTTCTTCTTTTTTTACTTCAATTATTCTTCTTTTGGTAAAGTGTTTTTTTTTTTCTGATTATTTTTTCTTTGTGGTTAGCAAGTTGATACTTCCACATTCATCTTGTTTCTCTACTGGTGATAAGGAAATAAGTAATATTGTTTTCTTTTCGTGCTCTCAAATCGCAAAACTTTGGTGATCTCTCTCTCTCTCCATGGAAATGAAAAGTGTTGGATTGTTTCTGGAGTGCACTCACTTTGTTTTCTTCTAACCACTTTTGCTGTAAAGCTTTGATCTTTTATTTGTAATAATGTCTACATTTTTGTCTGACAAGCAGACAGTTGAAGAAGATGATTATCCATCTATACTCAACTTTGTACACTTTGAGCTTAGCATTCTTCAGTCGAAACTAGTGTGTTCTTAAGATTCAAGTGTTGTTGCTCTAGTTTGTAGTTATATATGCTTCATGCAACCCGTTGACCCTAACCATGTCTTATATTAGAAAGCACCATTGAACGAATAGATTTTGGAACCATGGAGGATGGATTGTATTTGTAGAGTTCACTAGTTTCTTTATAGTTCCTCCGTCTTTTCTTTAGGAGATGCCAGATGGCTTGCAATGTATACTACAGAAGCTGCTTTCTATTACAACGTTTATGTTTACATCCAAAGTTGTCTCGTTTGCTTACTTTCTATGAAAAGTAAACGAGTTCATATGGATGTTTGCAGCTCAGAAAAAAACACCGTTTCCCGCAAACATGTATGTAAAAAAGTTTGGAGTTAATGTGAATACATGACTAAGTTAGCCTGGCTTGGGCCTTCTTATGGCGTCTTGCTCATATTAAGAAACATGATATGACAACATTGTTAATGGCTAATTTAGCATCGCAGCATCATCTCTGACTCGTGCAGATAAACCAGGAGATTTTTCTTGTCCCATCATTTTAAAAGCTAAAGGTCTAGGTTTGGACATGAAGATGGAAGTGCACTGTATAAATGCTCTATTAATTGTGTTTTATGTACTACCAAAATACTATAGTTTCCTTTTCTTCTCTTTTCTATAGGAAACTATAGTTGTAGAATATTCTTCTCTTTTCTTCTTCCTTTTTTCTGTTATCTGTTGTATGAGAATTGAGAAAGCTAAAGAATTCTACATCAAAGTCAGGTTTCAACGGTAAAATAAAAACAAGCTTCTTTTTCACTAAAGAGTAAAGAGATTCCTCTTAAGGATTGGTTTTTCCTATTTCTCTTGCTCATTCTTATTCAAGTGGTGGTTTAATTGAATAATAAAGTTCTCATGGATACAGTTTCATTAAAATAATAATCCCAAAGAAAAGTGGACGGTATATATAAGAAAGAAAAAAAGATGATTAGTTTTACTATTTATAATAATCAAGAGCTTGTTTTGAGATGAACACATGAAAAGTAAAAGAATAGAAAAAAAACTCTCTCTCTCTCTCTCTCTCTCTCTCTATCTCTCTGCGCCTGAGGAGCTGTAATTTGGCAGAAGCTTGTGTCGTTTTAAGGAGAAATTAGAAGTGAATCTATGTAAGTCGTGTTGGTTGGTAAGATCGATTTTGGTGACATTAAAGAAAAATTCCTTTGAACCAAAAAAGAAAAGAAAAGAAAGGGCCTCGTCACAACATGGACCATTTCGATTTCGAAGTAAGAATTAAGAGATCGAGCCCACTTGAAAGGGACATAACGAGGGGGACCCCATGTGAATCTGCAAGCAGAGACAGAGGCTTTGACCGTTCTCATTCATCCATCCTCCATTATTAGCCAGAGTCTTAAACCATGTGATTCATCATCACAGGGCTTCATTGGACTCTAATGTAGTATCTTCACCATCTCCCCCCTTTCATCTTATCTCTACTAACAACAACACACCCTGTACTATATATATATTACTTCCTACCAGCAACAAATCCAACACCTGAAGATGGGCAATTCTTCTGAGAGTATAACTATGCGTGAGGATGAGCCATCTTTCCAAATATTCATTTATTCACTCACAGCAGGAGAGTAGTTCAGTGTATCACGCAACACTCAGAAGCATACAAAGTATCACATATAGAGAAATGTTTATAAACCAAATGTCATTACGGTCTGATTTCTGAAAACTTTAACATGTCCAAGGAAAATCAAATGGGAATGGAAGTCTTAGATCCCCCAGCTTCTTCTTCTCCTGAAATGCACCTTATTTGTCAGCCCAGTGTTCATCTTAAGCACCTATATCACATCACCATGTTATTCTCGGAGTTAACATCGCAAGCCAGAGAAAGAAAAAAGAAAGCAGTGGGAGGATTCCAGATGCACATAAGAAAGAACATCACTGCCCTAGAGCTTCACATGACAAAGAAATAAGAAGAGCTCCAGAAGATCATTAATAAACCAACCATAACCAGAATTTCAGTCACTCCTAGACAAGACCAAAACAAATAAACCACCATCCAGAAACCTTCAATTGGCAAAGAACTAAACAAAAGTACCTAGGACAATCTATCTGGTAGTCAAATATCAGGAGTGAGGAGGGAGGATCTTATTCATTCCCTTGAAGGACTTTCTACACAGAATAGAAACCAAACCAGTACTATATAGCTTCAAACTGACAAAAAACTATTCATCGGCACTGGCGCATCTGTTTATTGCTTAATATCTACTGATACAGAAGCTAAAACCCACAAAATCTCTTGTTAAAATCTTAAACTATTTCCATTCCCGAAAGCACAAAAGAAAACACAGCTTTTCCAGTGATCACACACGTAGCTAACCTAAGCAAACAACAGAAGTGGTCTACTGATTCACATCGATTCATGGACGACCGAAAGCTGTATTGGCTCTCCCAAGGACACAACAAGCAATATCATAGCTATCCACGAGCCAAGATGATTAAACTAAGAAAGACCTCAGAGAAAGCAGAACGATAACCTAGGTAGAGAAGGAACACAGACCTGAGGGTCACAAAAGAGATCAAAGCTGATCATGAGGAAGGACCTGTAGCTTTCTCGACGACCTTCTTGTCGCGTCTTTCCATAGCTACATCCCATTCATCGTGACCAATGTGCTTCGGCTGCTCAATTCAAAATTCAAAATCAAATCATCCACCAAATGATCAACAAACTACTCAAATTTGGATCAAATCGAGCAAACCCTAGGAGAGAGACGCAACGAAAGAAAAAGAAAAAAAGGGGGAAAAATCTCATACACGGCCATGGTAAGCTTTGTGGATGTAGTACTGAGAATTTCCGGCGATGCAAAGCATCCCACCGATGACTCCGAGAGGCAGCAACGCTTCCAGCCATACCAACGACATCTTCGTCTTCTCCCTTCCTTTCGATTGCGTTTCTCTTCTCTCTATGTTAAGATCCAAAAGTTAATGATTTGAGAGATGAGACCACTACTAACTCAACTAGATAACTTAATGGGCTTGTTGGGCTATTTCTTTAATAAAAACGTAAATCTTAAAGCCCAATATACCAATCAAACATTTTTCATACATTGGTCGTCTCTCACTCTCTCAGTGGTAAATAACTTGATAACCTAGAGTACTTGGTAGTATCATCACTCCAAAGTTCTTAGGTACAAGACTACGTAAATGCGTGTGGGTTTTACACTTTTACTTGTACAGCTTTCCTTCGTTATAACAGTTTAACCCCCAACAAGATGAAGGTGGATGATGAAGGTATACACTCTTGCAATCGATGTTCTTTTCATAGAAGATCTTAAACACGATTGATTTAAAGACAAATAAATCAAGCAAGATATGAAAACACGTAACAGTAACTCACAAACTAGAAATCGGGTATTTAAGACACAAGATACACAAAAATTATATGAAATATGTACAGAGAATCAGTGAGTCGTTATATCTGTCTGATACGTTATAGATTATAATCTCCGCTTATTGATGGTATATTTATTATTCGTTTGACACGTTTTGTAGACATTGAGTGTTAAAGCGTTAAATTCATATTCAACATAAATAAAATGACACCGCGGACCGGAAATTGTGGCCATAAAAACGCAAAAAGAAAAGCCGGATTTTGGTCGTAAAGAAAGTGACTTTAGGGTTAGGTTAGAAACAAAGTAATTAAAAGGGAGTAATAGGTTAAATATAGAGAGATATGTGAATGTTAGTTTTATTGTTTTGTTGGTGATTTTGGGTATTTAGAGCAAAATCTTACTAAAGTTTGTGTACTAACTGATAAGAGATGAATGATAGCAAACCAAACAGGATTGAATGATAATGATGGTTAAAGATAAGAATTCACAAAAGATGTTTGACAAAATCCGACGGTCTTCTTCGGTAAGTTTCTCTTTTGTTTTTGTTTTGTTCTTTTGTGTTTCAATTTATTTTCATGTTCTTTTATTACACACACACACACACAAAATAAACCCTCCTTAAATCGAATGCTGCTGTGACGACTCTGTTTACTTGTTCCTTTTCTTCCTCGCCAACACCAACACACACCCTTCTTCTCCTCACTCCCTCCCTATCCCGCAAAATCTCTCTTCTTCGCTTCTTCATCGTCTTTTTCATTTCTGATAGCTGCAAAAGACACAACCCACCATGTCTGGTCTGTATAATTACAACTTCTCACCTTCTAGAGCCGCTTCTCCCCAGATTAGAACTTCATCCGATGTTGACAGGTGTTTCTCTTTCGACTTCTCCTCCCTTTCTCTTATTGCTTCGAAATCTCTTATCTCTTTCCTTTTTTTCTTATTTTTTTTTTTGCTTGTCTTCTGTAGTCAATACTTATCTCAATTGTTAGCAGAGCATCAAAAGCTTGGGCCTTTCATGCAAGTCTTACCCATATGTAGCCGACTCTTAAATCAAGGTCTCACTCTTCTCATTTCTTACTTTCATAGATCTACAATTTTGTTAATTGAAGTCGATGTTTCCTGTTCGTTTATCTTGATTGTGCAGCATTTCTCTCTTTGATGACCTGTCCTAATACTTGTTGTGTGAATCACATAATTGGATCTTTGCTCATATTTAAACTCACTGGACTGTATCAGTTCCCGATAGTTCATGCTCCTGATGCTTATTAGTGTTATTACTTATTAGCTCATTTAGAAATGGGGTCTTCTCCGTGGTCAGCTAATGAGATAGGCATTATTGGGTTTTGCTTTGATAACTTATGTTGTTTTGGTCGTAAATCTTCCATCTTTGTTAACTATATTCAAATGTAACCTTATTTTAAGATGATCAAATTGAGGAACCATGACTGAATAATGTATCTTGGGGAAAATCAATCTGACTGCTATATATATAGTTGGTGATATGAGCTCAGTTTAATACTGTAAATCCTGAAGTAAATGTTCTCCGGTCTTTCTCACTCGTCATTGATTTGTATCATGACATTCTCTTCGTTCCTTCTCTTTTTTTTTTTGTGCAGAAATTTTCCGGGTCTCCGGAATGATGCCCAACCAAGGGTTTACCGATTTTGATAGGTTGCGGCATCGAAGTCCTAGTCCAATGGCGTCACCAAATCTTATGTCTAATGCTCCCGGTTCTGGAATAGGTGGTTGGAATGGTCTTCCACCAGAGGTAGCCATTTTTCTTCTTAATTTCTTGCAAACTGTGTTTTGTTAGATGTTATCTTTTGATAGATTATTTAAGAAGTCTTTTTCATCCCCGATTATCTTAATAGAACATAGAAAGTTTCTTAACTGAGGAATGTGGTTGAAACCCACTTTCACATGAAATATGTAGGGATGGCTCATGTATTCTTTTGTTGGAGGAGCCTAATATTCCTACTGCAAGGAATATAAGGTATGAGTTTAGCTCTCCATCTCCTTGTTTGAATATGTGGTGCCATCTGTGGCCTATAGATCATTGCACGCCCAAGAGTTAGAAGTTTGGTCTTTGTATGCTCGATAATTTATGGTTTAGTTGTGACTGTCTAGCTAATTCCTCTAAGAAAAATCCCTCTATAGCTCCAAGTGGAACCTTTCTATTTCTTGTAGAGACCCTGTGAACCCCTAAACCCTTTTTATTCTGTACCAGGTTTAATTCCAGTTACTCATTTCAGAACTATTCTAAAAATGTAAGATTATTATTTATTGTAGAGAATAGGTGGTCCTCATGGAATGGCAATGGAGTGGCAGGGTGCACCTGCTAGCCCAAGTTCATACACAGTGAAGCGTATCTTGCGGTTAGATCTTCCAGTCGATACCTATCCGAATGTAAGTTTTGCCGGATTTGTTTTCGTTGAGACAATGGAATTGAAATGAATAAGAATTCTTCTGCTTTTGGTTAGTTCAATTTTGTGGGAAGACTTCTGGGTCCTAGAGGGAACTCGTTGAAGCGAGTGGAAGCAACAACTGGTTGCCGTGTGTATATTAGAGGGAAAGGGTCAATTAAAGATCCTGACAAAGTAAGGGTTGCCTACCATTAATTCTGTTTCCCAACCATCTTTATCAAAACATTTGTTCATATTTTGCTTTTATATTCTGTTGCTAGGAAGAGAAACTGAAAGGGAAGCCTGGCTATGAGCATCTCAATGAGCAGCTGCATATCCTCATTGAGGCTGATCTTCCTGTTGATATTGTGGAAATAAAGCTGCGGCAGGCCCAAGAAATTATCGAGGAGTTGGTCAAACCTGTGGTGCGTGTTTTAAACATGCTTTCCCATTTTAATCTTTGAAAGGCAACATTGCTTTGAAGCTTGGCAACAAGTTCATCAATGGTTTTTTTCTTTTCTTTTTTTTTTCTGTGGTAAATGCATGTTGTAAGTATTAGTTAGGCAAGGTTAAGTTCTCAAATTTAGGAGTCTCAGTTTTGGGGTAGTATGTAGTAACTAGGCAGGTGGTAACAGACCTCACGCCAGTTAGTTGAGAGCTGAAGGTTTAAACGGAGAGCTAGGAGAAGTTCGTTTGGGAATTCTTGGTTTGGTTATTGGTCGACAGTCGGAGACTTCTCTCTTTAAAATATAGGCTTACTTAATGATATCCATATAACATGCTTTGTATTCTTTTGCAGGATGAGTCACAGGATTACATCAAGAGGCAGCAGTTGCGAGAGCTCGCGTTGCTGAATTCAAGCTTGAGAGAAAACAGCCCAGGGCCGAGCGGTAGTGTCTCTCCTTTCAATTCAAACGCAATGAAACGCCCAAAAACAGGGCGCTAATAAGACTTAGCCATTGAGGGATACTGATAAAAAAAAGTTATGTGTATATGTGTATAACTGGCATAATGGTGGTGTTGGTTGCGTCTGATCTTGGTTCTTCTGCTTACCATCGTAATCTGCACTGATGCTTAAGCACGATGCACCAAGAGAAGCCCAACAGTTTCCTATGTTTTCCTTCTTAACCAGAGATTGATGGATTGTAACCATTAAGATAGATAATTTGGATTTATTCATGTGTTGAAAGTAGTTGTATTCTTGATTCTGGAATGGAGATCTAATAAACGTATATATGGGGATATGTAGCATGGAGTTGATTACATCGTAGCTTCAGGAGGAGAAACCAAAGGTAATCTTCTGATTTCATGCAGTAAGTTGTCTTTTGGTAAGCAAGTTGAGTACAGGGGAGACCGGGAGAGAGTATGAGACCAAAAACATAAATACATTTGACCATATTGGGTTGTGAATCCGGACATGGAAGTTGGTGAAGTAGTTGACTGTGGTGACACGTGTGGAGCAGCTACAGACTTAGGTTTTAACAGTGAGAAATGGGCCCGCGAGATTTTTTTTATTGTTGTTTTGTAAGAAAACAAAAAGGTTTGGTTTTGGTTTTTTTTAAAAGTCGGACGAGATTCCCAACTTTTCACCAGAGTGACTCTGTGATTCCGCCTAACATCTCAGATCTCAGATCTCAGTTCTCAGTTCATCTTTCTCATTCATCACGGATCTTTCCTCCTCTCACGGCATATTGGCTTTTTGAGAAGATGGCGGCTATGGCGAAGCTTCATTTATCAGCGAAAGCGGATCAGAGCAGTGTGCGATTGCCGAGAGTGATCAAACTCTTCCGCGATCCAACCACGAAAGTCTCGTTTCCACGAAATGGATCGGTTTCTTCACTCCACACCAACTTATCTTCTCCAAAACTCGCGATTCCTTGCGCCGGAGGTGGTGGTGGGAACATTGGTAATCACGGCGGTGGAAGCGGAAGCGGGGGAGGAGGTGGTTACGGAGGTTCAAGCGGTGAAGCAGAAGAAAATGGATCGTCTTCATGGGGACCAATAGGGATATTCATACAAGGATGGAGATCACGAGTTGCAGCTGATTCTCAATTCCCTTTCAAGGTACTAATGGAAATGCTGGTCGGAGTTAGCGCCAATGTACTTGGTGACATGGCTTCACGCCCTAATTTTGGATTGAACGAGCTCGATTTCGTCTTCTCTACACTCGTTGTAGGTTCGATTCTCAATTTCACACTCATGTACCTCTTAGCTCCCTCTGCAGCATCTCCTGGCTCCTCCAATTTACTCCCTGGGATCTTTAGAAGCTGCCCTTCAAGTCATATGTTTGAACAGGGTAGCTTCACCGTTATGAACCGTTTTGGGACTCTTGTATACAAAGGAATGGTTTTTGCGACCGTTGGATTAGCTGCAGGTCTTGTTGGAACTGCCATCTCTAATGGGTTGGTTAAGATGAGGAAGAAGATGGACCCGAGCTTCGAAACGCCAAACAAGCCTCCCCCTACGCTGCTGAATTCCTTAACATGGGCAACGCATATGGGAGTGAGCGCCAATGTGAGGTACCAAACGTTGAATGGGGCAGAGTTCTTGCTGGAAAAGTCGTTGCCGCCATTGGTGTTTAAGACAGGTGTGATAGCTTTGAGGGTTGTGAACAATGTTTTGGGAGGAATGTCGTTTGTTGTATTGGCGAGGATGACTGGATCACAGTCAGTGGGGGATGAGGAGAGGACAGAGATGTCAGAGAAGGAGAAGGATGACTGAAATCGCTTAAAGAGTTTTTTCTTTTTGTTGCTATGCTGTTTCTGTTGTTCATAGGCGAAAGGCACAAGAGATATCTTCTTGAGTTGAAACCTTTTTACACGTTCTTACTTCTTACAAAAGCAAAAGACATTTGTTTTGTTCTATGTGTGAGTGTGTGTCCATCCTGATACTTGTATGTCATTATTTGGTAGGGTCAAGATTGTTGGTTTCTGTATCAACGTCACCAAGAAATAAATTCAAAAAACAAGTTATAAATCACAAATGATTTACTTATCTGAGATGTAAACTTCATTTACTTATCTGATGATTGAATGATTTACTTATCTGAAATGTAAACTCCATTTTGACAAGATATCCATTAACATAGAAAGAATCAGTTGTAATCAAAGAAGAAGAAGCCAAAAAGCAGTGGAAGAAGTTAAGTAGAAAGGGAGTGTGGTTCACACTTTATGTTCATCACTTCATCTCCCACATGAAAATGCTCTGTATACTGTATTCAGAATAAATGATGAGTCAAGAGGATTACATCAAGAAGCAACAGTTGCGAGAGCGCCCTTTGCTGGTTTCAAACAGTCTGGAGTAGCGGGAGTGTCTTCCCTTTCAATTCAAATGCAATGAGACGCCCAAAAACAGGACACTAAGAGCATGAGACACCAATAAATGTTTGTACGTTTGCTTAGCCTCTAATCACCAAGAGAAGCCTAGAGAGTTTCTCATGGTTATCTTCTAAACCGTAAAATAGAGAAAACCGTTAAAGACAGTAAATACTATAAAAGAAATGTGAAAACAGCGGTGGTGGATGGTTGATGCATCATTGTAAACAATTAAGACACATTCTTTGGATTTATTCATGTTGTGGTACTACACATATATAATTAGAAAACTTCAAATTGGCGAAAAAAGTTGAATCTTTCAATGCTTTTTTGTCAAAAGATTAGAGAATCATACATGTAAAAGAAAAATCAACAATGGTGGTGGGTCAGCTCAGCTCAATGTGTTTGAATTTAGTTCAAGTTGGTAAAGTAGTTGAGTGATGTAGCCACGTGGGGGCTCAGAAACAGCTTTAGTTTCGCACGTGGGAAATGGGCCGATTGATTTTGATTGTTGTAAAAAATTAGGGTTTTAAAGCGTAGATGAGGTTACGATTTCACCAAAACAACTACAAACACTGTCTCTTCTCTTCTTCCGTCCTACAGATTCTAAAGGAGGCCATTTTTGATTTCTCCGAGAGGATCACAGCTCTTTCGTCCACTCTCGGCCATACTTGTTGATAAAGATGGCGGCCATGGCAGCGAAGCTTCATTTATCGGCGAAATCGGATCAGAGCAGTGTGCGATTGCCGAGAGTGATCAACCTCTCGCGCGATCCGACGACTAGAGTCTCATTTCCAAGGCATGGATCGGTTTGTTCACTCCACACTAATTTCTCTTCTCCGAAAGTAGCGGTTCCATGCGCCGGAGGTGGCGGTGGTGATGGGAGCATCGGTAATCACGGCGGCGGTTGCGGGGGAGGAGGTGGAGGTTCAGGCGGTGAAGAATCGTCGCCATGGGGACCAATTGGGATGTTCATCCAGGGATGGAGATCAAGAGTTGCAGCTGATCCTCAATTCCCTTTCAAGGTACTAATGGAGGAGATTGTAGGACTTAGCGCTTGTGTTCTCGGAGACATGGCTTCACGCCCCAATTTCGGATTGAACGAGCTCGATTTCGTCTTCTCCACTCTCTGTGTAGGTTCGATTCTGAATTTCTTACTCATGTATCTGTTAGCTCCCACTGCAGCAACTCTTGGCTCCTCACAGACCTTGCCTGGAATCTTTAGAAACTGTCCATCAAGCCATATGTTTGAACAGGGTAGCTTCACCCTTATGAACCGTTTTGGGACTCTTGCATACAAAGGGATGGTTTTTGCCACTGTTGGATTAGCTGCAGGTCTTGTCGGAACCGCCATCTCTAATGGTTTGATCATGCTGAGGAAGAAGATGGACCCTGGATTCGAAACGCCAAACAAACCGCCACCTACTGTGCTCAATTCCCTAACTTGGGCAACGCATATGGGAGTGAGCGCCAATGTGAGGTACCAGACGTTGAATGGAATTGAGTTCTTGCTCGCCAAGGTGTTGCCCCCATTGGTGTTTAAGACCGGTGTTGTGGTTTTAAGGTGTGCTAACAATGTTGCTGGAGGTATGTCGTTTGTTATATTGGCTAGGATGACGGGATCACAGTCAGTAGAGGAGGAGAAGACAGACATGTCAGAGATTTCAGAGAAAGTGAAGGATGATTGAATCTCATCTTTGTTCTTTCGAGGTTTTTGTTCCTCTGTGTTTTAAGTCCGTTCATAGGCATTTCGAGTTTGAAACCATTTTCCGCTATACGACTTAGTTCTGGTTTGTGTTGGAATAAATAAGATGAATCCCTTCTTAGGTCCAATCCTAATATTTGGATGTCATTGTTAGGCCAAGTTTGCTGTTTTCTTTATCAACCACCATGAATATAAACTCAATAAAAATTACAAATAAAACTTGAATGATTTGTTTATCGGACATAAAGTTCGTTCTATTATGTCACAGGTTGCTCTTTGCTTACTTTTCATAATAAAACGGGTAGAAGCAAATGACGCTTGTGGTTGTTGGTAGACAAATTTTGGGTCAAAGTAAACACAAGACTTTCATCAGTTTTTATGGACTACGTAACTAATGATGCGTCTTCTTCCATTATGATGGTGGTATTATATAATAATGAACTTATTGTGCAATTGGACAGATGAAGATCTATGTCAAGAAAACGAGAACCATGTGCAAATTTTGACTTTTGCACGATCTATACCACAATAAGTTATCCTACTGTCTTGGCCATTTTCGAGTAAATCGTCCCATTCATAAGAAAAATAACATAAAACAAGCAATCTTTTGTCAAAAGTGTTGTTTCGTCAACAGATTCCAGTAGATTAGAGCTTAAGAAAAACCCATCTACTTGATCTCAAGCCAAACATATATTCAAACTAACAGTACAAGACACCCTCTTTTCCATTCAACCTATCATCCGACAAGTTTCTATAGACACAAGTTAAAGCAGGGTATGAAGTATATATATCTTACAACATGGAATGAGAGAGAGAGAGTGTGTCTGCTAACAAGGAATCATCATCTAACAGCCTCGGGTGCAGAATTGCAGTAGGGCGTGTGCAAGCACACGAGTCTAGTGAAAGTTAGACACACAATGGCACATGCTAGTCCCAGCACCATCCCCACACTGCCTTTCCTTCTCTCTAACCTCACGGCTCTTTTAATCACCTGCCAAAAGCTGGGCAGTAACCCACCGCACGCCACCACCATTACATGGTCCAGTCCACTGTAATCTATCCCAGCTAATATGGATCCTATGGCCGATATTGGTCCCACAAATCCTATCAAAGCTGCTGCTGCAAGAGCTGCGTGCCAACTGTCAGTAGCCCCAAAGACACAGCTTGCAACCGCTGTCCCTCTTGGAAGCCCGTGTAAGGAAACCGGGAGTACCATGTGTCTGCCAAGTCCATATGCATTTGGAGCAGCTACCCCTAGAGCAAGCCCCTCGGCTAGTGCATGGAACCCAACCGCTCCACACGCTAATAATGATTGGAGTGTTATCACACTGGTTGGAAAATTGGTTACAGGGTTTATTAAACTGCCAGCCCGGGACTTTTTTCGACAAGTTACATTCAGGATGGTCGAGCTAGTGAAATGGCTCAGTACGGCTCCAACTGCAAGTAGACTAACCAGAGGGATGAATCCCATTTTTGCGGATAGCAGTAGTTGAAGCGGACGCCAAAGACCAAGGACAAAAGCGATGCCTGAGGCGACTCCCATTAGAAGGGCGTGCTGGAGGCGAAAGGTGATTGCCAATGCAATCAGAAATACTCCCCCAAGCACTGGACCCAGACCAAAGAGGAGTGAAACGAAGAAGCCAGAAGCATCCTCTGAGCTGCAGATAGGAGAAAATGAAGCCTTAGTTGAATTTTAAGAATCAATCAATTGGAACAGCATATAACTTTTACTGGAATTCTATAGTATTACTTGTAATCATGTGTGAAACTCTCAAAAAGAGTGCTAAGAGCTTCCATGGATGCGACAGATATTGTGGCTGCAGATGCCACTTGCGAGGGAGACGCTTCCTGTTGTGGTTACAGTGAACAGAATTTCATTCAGTATAATAAGTGAATATCCGCATCTCTCTCAAATACGAACATCAACACTGATTTCATAAATCACGACATGTAATTCACCTTAAATGCATCAGGAAGCACTTCAGCAATAACCATCCAAATCATGCATCCAGCAGCAAATCCAGTGCAAAAAGGCAAAAACTTGCTAAACGCATCAGCGCATAGAAAAGCTGGTACAGCAACGATAGGCTGGTAAAGAACCCAAAAAAAAAAAAGAATCAGTAACATGTTATGCAAACAAAGACATCAAATCACAGAACAATATAATTATATGATTACTTGAGGTAAGGATGTTATTATACTCCAGAGCATCGCATTTTGTGGAGAGACACCCCTTGATGCCAGCACCATGCTAACAGCCAACCCTTCTGGAATGTTATGAACAGCTATGGCCAAAGTAACCAGAAGCCCTTGACTAAAACCCTTTGAACCCGCAAAGGATACACCAACCCCTGATCCTTCCCCAAAAGAATGAAGTGTCATAATTCCTATGACAAGAACAACTTTAGCTGCATCTGCACCTTTAATATCTAGCATGCTCACTTCACCATATTGTTCAAGAATCTGTCCAAAATACAGAGTCTTAATAAGTGAAATGTGATTTCCGAGATTTCATACAACTTGACAGTTAGCTAATGTAAGAAGAAACTCAAGATTTTCTCGGATTCTACAAATCTGCAGTTGATAAGAGTATAAAACAGAAGAACAGCATTCTGTCAACTGTCTACACATGAGAATTTGAATTCAAATACTATGGAAATCAGTAACTAGGTGACTGACAGCCGAAAATTCAGTTGCTTACCTTCTTGCAGAGCCAGATGAACAAACCGCCGGCTAGAATCCCAGTAACAACCCAGTTTCCAGAGCCATGCTCCTGCCCTTCCTTTACGAGATCAAAGCTAGCGGCCAACATCACACCAGCGGCCATGCCATTGCATATTCCGGCCCACTGAGGATCAAGTTCAACAAAGAAGAAGGGCACTGCTCCTAACCCAGTGGCAGCAGCCATTGCCAAGGTGAACAATGCAACTGTGGAGACTGAAACTTTGTTGTGACTGCCTCTCTTGTCACCCATTCCAATGTCATGTAAGGTTTTCTCTACACCACTTCCGTCAATAACATTTCGTCCCATGTTCTCATGGGGAGAAGCTCTTACTTTATGTGAAATGTCCCATTGAGAATCTGCGGCGGTGTTCTCAATGAATACGATGACAAATACGAATAGAAGCAGGAGAAGTCGTTTGCAGCCTGAATGCATCATTTTGATGCTGAAAGAACTTCAAGCAAGTTTTCTCCTCACAAGAGATATGAGAAAACGCTCACTAAATTAAAGGGAAACCAACTAAACTCCAAGGGAATGAAGAATCAAAACTGCATCAATAGGATGCAACTGCTTCCTGTTGAACAGATGACACGAAGAAATTTCAACTAAGCAACTGTAAAGAAGAAAACTTTCAACGAGAATAATAATGCCCTTGTGCACTTGTTAGCACTACCGGTTAAAAGAGATCACAACGTACTGGATTATGTTCCCTACGCACTAGATAGAGCTAAATACCGTATTTTGGTGATAGAAAGATATGAACGCATGAAATAATGTGCTCAGACAAATAATTATATCAACATCCAAACCTAAAACAGAAGTTTCTAAAAGACACCCAGAACTACAAAGCAACATTATTCGCAAAGAATCACACATATTTGGTACAGAATCGTCACCATTCTCCTCTTAATGGACAAAATCGATATTTAAAAAAAAAAAAAAAAAATTCTGATGTCTAGCAATTTAAATCACCTGATCACAATTCGCCAGCCAAATTTCAGAAATTTACGAATTCGATCTATTATTCTACTCGATTATATACATAATTTTACCACGAACCCAAGATCAATGGCAACGGGATTGCAGAACTTACCAAGCACAGGAAAAAAATCGGGGCACGAAAAATGTTGGATCGGACGTACATGAGCAAAATTACAGAAGATGAAGAAGAATTAGGAGATGTGATGGTGAAAAGGAATAAAAATTTATTGAAAAGAAGAACCCTACTGCGACGACCGATCCCTTCTCGGTTAGGAAGAGGAGACTTTGGGATAAATCATGGCACCCAGATTTTAATCACAGGAATATCCCTCTTAATTATTTTTACCTTTTTTTTTTTTATAGAAACTAAATATAAAAAACATTTGTGAGTAAGACCCTCAAGTTTGCTAATATCCCAAAAGGGAGTCATAATTAGGTTAGAAAATTGAATTGACGTCCAGAAACCTGAATGTTAGGTTCGAGACTTCTTGTACTACTGGAGATATTATATCGATTACATGTGAGTTTCGTGAATTCACGTCCGCTGTATTAGTTTTCTATACCCATTTGGTTTTCTTTATCTTTAACTTGGTATAAGCTCGACAACAAAGTCAAAGGAAGCTTCTAATAACTTGAAACTTTCAGACATACCTATTCTAATTATATTCAAGGGTCAATCACAAACACAACTGTACGAACAGTTAACGATTGCAAAACATAGTTTCGGATATAGTTGAACCAATTTATCATACACGACTGTAGTCGACAGTTCGGTACTCAAGTTGCAATAACATGCTACAAAACATGGTGCGTGGGATATTATGAGTTTAACATATTTTTGGTGGACTAAACAGACAACATCCTTTGACCAAAAAAAAAAAAAAACAGACAACATCCTTAGACGTATCAACAATGCTCATAATATAAAAACAAGAAAGATAAGATAGAAGCAATAGCAATGGTTATAGATCAACGATACATAAAAGCGTTTTGTCACCAATCCTATGTCCAGACAACTTGATCGACGAGTTTACTGTACTCTTTGTATAGTATTTTAATTTTGTGGTATATAAAACTACACATCGTCTTTGGCTATTAAACATGTATATACATGAAAAGGATGAGAATTGTACAATAAGAACATACCAAAACAAAACACAGTGATGCATTAACTAATCGAGAACCTGTGATATCATTCCCCAAAAGTGTATCCTTTAACTCTGTCCTTTGCTATTTGTTTGCTCCTCTTTGGTCAGTTTTGGTATGACCACGACTCCATTTCTCAACTCTCAATCCAATTTTTTCTTTATAACTAAAAATGGGATATAAGCCTTGCTTGACCAAGTTTGGACAAACTTCCACCAAATTTTTTGAGTTTGTTTCGAGTGTTTGTACACTATTGAGTGCTTCAGAACTGGTGTGATATATAATGGGAAAGGCCATGTTTACGTTCCCAAGAATACCACGATAGTGGAGTCTTTATGGAGTTCCGTGCCATACCCACTTTGCTTTCTCTAGAATGATGCAGAATCTCTGTCTTCACACTAAGCAAAAGCAGAGAGATTGATCTGTAAATCACAAGACAGTATTCTCCGTAAAACCGAGTCTCTCGGCGATCTAGAGTGAGATAGAGATTCACGATGGGCACTATTTCAGATAGCCCTTCTTTGTCTCTCTCTTCTCCTTCTTATACTACTTGTAACAGTCGCTCTTCTGTTCCTACCACCTTCTCCACTCGGTCTGTCTTCTTTTCTCTAGTTTTGGTAATCTCTGTTTGGTTTGAAATGATGATATGAACGTAAAGTTTTTGATTTTATGACAATGGCAGCATATTCTCCGATGTTGCGGGTGACATCACTGTTGTTGTCGATGGGGAATCATTTCTACTTCACAAGGTTAGTGCACACAAGCTGTTCGACGAGATTACTTTCTCTTTACATATTTTGATCTAACGCATCAGAAAAAAAAAAAATATATATATATATTGCAGTTTCCGCTAGTAGCTCGGAGTGGAAAGATTAGGAAAATGGTGAGAGATCTCAAGGACTCTTCTTCCATCATTGAGCTCAGAGATTTCCCAGGTGGACTTACGACGTTCGAACTCGCCATGAAGTTCTGTTACGGTATTAACTTCGACATCACTGCCTTCAACGTGGTCGCTCTTCGTTGTGCTGCTGCTTATCTTGAGATGACTGAGGAGTATAAAGAAGATAATCTGATCCTTCGAGCCGAGAATTACCTCGACCAGATCTTTTTTCGTAGTCTCCACGAATCTGTCCAAGTGCTCTGTTCTTGTCAGACGCAAGAGATGGCTGAAACGTTTGAAATTCCTGACCGGTGCGTGGAGGCCATCGCCATGAATGCTTGTAGAAAACAATTAGTATCAGGCTTGTCAGAGGAACTGAAGGGGAGAGATTGTCTTGAGCTGTGGACCGAAGAACTCTCTGCTCTCGGGATTGATTACTACTCCCGAGTTGTATCTGCAATGGCGAGATTAGGCGTGCGGTCAGAGAGCATCGTCGCTTCTCTAGTGCAATACGCTAAAACATCATTAAATGGTACCATCAAGCGAAACTGCCAGGAGCAGAGGAAAATAGTTGAAGCCGTGGTTACACTTTTGCCCAATGAAGAAAAAGGATGCTATTTGTTATCAATTATTCCTCTCAGTTTCCTTTTTGGAATGCTAAAGGTCGGAACTATAATAGATATAGAGATCTCTTGCAGGCTGGAACTCGAACATAGAATCGGGCATCAGCTAGAGGCCGCGTCTCTCGATGACCTGCTTATACCTTCTGTCGAAAACGACGATTCACTGTATGATGTGGATACTGTCCATAGGATACTCACATTCTTTCTTGAGAGGATCGAGGAAGAAGATGAGGAATGTGGTTACGATTCGGATTCCACGGGACAGCAGAGTTCGTTGCTAAAAGTGGGACGGCTCATGGATGCTTACTTGGCTGAGATCGCACCGGATCCATACCTGAATCTACTCAAGTTCACGGCCATCATAGAGACGTTACCCGAACACGCACGTATCATAGACGATGGGATCTACAGAGCCATTGATATTTATCTCAAGGTAAACAAATACAAAAACATAAAGTCGTGTCTATGTTTAAGAAAACATGTCAAACTAATAATTAAATATGGAAATTAGAATCATCCGTTATTGACAGAAGAAGAATGCAAGAAGCTATGCAAATTCATCGACTGCAACAAACTTTCAGAAGAAGCAAGCAACCACGTGGCACAAAACGATCGGCTTCCAGTGCAAATGGTGGTTCGAGTGCTTTACTCGGAACAGATGAGACTGAAGAAAGCTCTGTCGGGAGGATCAGAAGAAGGGTCGTGGGTACTGTCGTCAGGGGTACAAAGCCGAGCGGTTTCGCCAAGAGACACGTATGCATCGTTGAGGAGAGAGAACAGGGAGCTGAAGCTGGAGATATCGAGGATGAGAGTGAGAGTGAGTGAGATAGAGAAAGAACATAATTTGATGAAACAGGAGATGATGGAGAAATCTGGTAATAATGGAGGAACCTTCTTGATGTCGCTGTCCAAAGGGATTGGGAGGATTGCGATGTTCGGCGGAGATAACCGGCGAATGAATAACCGGAAATCGAGGTCGGTATCGGAGAGAAAGCCAATTAGAAAGGGTAGTTAAAAACGTCACCGTTTTCTAAGGAGTTGCTGTCAATACAAAGACAAGTCATGTGTAGCGGGAAGTATAATGGGCCGGAAGGAGTGTGAAGTAGGCCCATTAAAGAACAAAGGAGGGTATCGTTTTCAGCCAATAAAAACAAGGAAAACATGGGAGTAAATGGGGTCGCGTGACTCGCGTTCGAGCCGTCTTTGTCCAATTGTCCATAAATCCGATTTTTCTAAAACTAAAATATGTATTAAAACTGTTAATATGTGTTGTTAAGTTGTTACTAGTTGGTTGTTGTTACGTTTTGGCTAAGGTTATAATGTAAGAAATCTAGTACTATGCTGGTTAGTTTTAACAGTTAACACTCACACATTACTGTAAATTTTGTTTAAGTTTCCGGAAATAGTACGTCACCTGTAATAACAAAAATTATTTAAAGAGTTGGTTAAAATATCAACTTCTTAAAAATCGACAAATATAGAAAGAGAAGAGCACGTGGGGTCTAACTCATACACATTCATAAATCAACTTCTTATATTACCAAGAAATTAGGAAACTACCTTCATTTCTCCGCCTCATAAATAAATATTTTATATGATATATATATATAAAAGAAATTAAGAAAGGAAAAAAAGAAAGAGAAAGGGAGTAGTATGATTGATGAAAGATGATGAACATGCATCGTGATAACATTAGATGGTTACAATATCCTCACCAACTTGGAAGTGACACAATTATACATTTTTTTAACTAGCAGATCTGAATCTCTCTATCTCTCTCTCTTTCTTCTTCTTCTTCTCCAATGGCGTAAATTGTAAGCAAACTTCTTCACATACAGGATACAGCAGCCTCGATTCGCTGCAACTTTTTTGCTTCGCTTCCTTCGTTTGCATCCCTCTCTCCTTCCTCCGACAATGAATAGGAATCTCAGAGAATCTCTTTCCGGTGGGAGGAATATTCCGGCGATCTCTCAGTTTCGTAGAGGCAGCAATCACAACAGCAATATCTCTCAGAACGGTTTCACCAGAGATTCGGACGAGAATCTGGATCTCTTCTCTAAGATCCGACGCTCATTCCCATTAGCTTCCTCCGACGAATTGCCTGACGGTTCGTTTCAGATTCACTTTTCCCAATTTGCCTCTTTTTTTCTTTTTCTTTTTTTTGGGTGGGAATCGAGTTTTTGTGCTCTCTTCGATGACAATAAAACATTTCTAAATTTATATACATACAAATCTGGGGATCTTCGAATTTTCTGCTACATGACACAGTTGTCAAATTCAGACACGAAAACGATGTTCACTCTACTCAATTTATTGGTTCTGCGGTCGCTACTACCCTATAATTTGTTTTTCCCGAACTGTCTTCGTCTCTTAGATTCGATCTCTTTGCTTTCTTCGATTATAGTGTGTGATTCGATGAGAGACAGTGCCATCTCTAAAAAGTACTTTATTGGACCAATGAAGAGTTTTGCTGGATCTTTGTTCTACTTCATCATCACTTTGATCTATGTCTTAAATTGACACTAAATCTACGTTTTTTGCTTTGTGTTTTTTTTTCTCTAGTTTCTGCAAAACTCGGGAGACTCTCGGTCGGATCCAAACCAGCTCCCAGAGGCAAAGGTGATGATCTCTTGTGTTCTGCTGAAGGAGGAAAAAATGATTATGATTGGTATGTTTCTCCTGAGTTGGTCTGTGATACTCTCTCTCTGTGTCTCTTCCTTTGCATGTCTTTGTGTTTCCTATCGAACAGTGGCCCTTTTACATGTAGTGTTCCCATTTTGGCCACTCTGTAATTTAAAATTGCTGATCTTTTGGTTACTCTGCACTTGTGAGTGTCGAATTTTCTGTTGGGGAAGGTTAAAATTATGTATAGGGACTGACGTCTTTACATATCTTGGCTCATTTACGTTATCTCTAGGCTTCTTACTCCTCCTGGAACACCTCTTGGAAACGACTCTCATTCATCTCTGGCAGCTCCGAAGCTTACATCTTCTGCGAGAGCTAGTTCTGCTTCAAAGGCTTCAAGGGTACAAATGCCTTTCTTCATTGAGTTTTCCTTTCCCCCCTCTGGTTCTTGATGACAAACCAAGGACTTCATAAACTTTCCTTTTTTTTTTTTCTTGTCTCCATAACTTCCTAATTCACACAACTGCATTACCTTATTCATAAACGAATGCTGTTATTTTCCTTGTTCAGCTTTCAGTTTCGCAGTCAGAGAGCAGTTACCATTCCTCACGTCCTGCCAGAAGTAGCTCCGTGACTCGGCCGTCCATTTCCACCTCGCAATACAGCTCATTTACTTCAGGCCGTTCACCATCTAACATCTTGAACACTAGTTCAGCTTCAGTCTCATCCTACATCAGACCTTCATCCCCGAGTTCCCGTTCGTCATCTTCAGCTAGACCTTCCACTCCCACCCGTACTTCTTCGGCATCACGGGCCTCAACTCCATCGAGAATCCGTCCTGGGTCATCTAGTTCATCCATGGACAAGGCCAGACCGTCCCTGAGCTCAAGACCATCAACTCCAACTTCTAGACCTCAGCTCTCAGCAAACTCCCCAAATATAATTGCTTCTAGACCAAATTCTCGTCCTTCGACCCCTACCCGTCGAACCCCATCTACCTCGGTGTCTGCGACGTCAGGATCCAATATTTCTAGTGGACGAGCTGCATCAAATGGTCGTAGTGCACCTTCATTGTCTAGGCCAAGCTCTCCTGGACCTAGAGTTAGAACCACCCCGCAACAGCCAATTGTGCTAGCAGACTTTCCTCTTGATACTCCACCTAATCTCAGAACAACTCTCCCGGACAGACCAATATCAGCTGGCAGGTCTAGGCCAGTCGCTGGTGGCAGCACGGCAAAGGCAAGTCCAGAACCCAAAGGTCCAATCACAAGAAGGAATTCATCTCCTATTGTGACTAGAGGAAGGCTCACTGAGACCCAAGGAAAAGGCCGTTATGGTAGTAATGGGCAGCAGCATCTTATAGATGCACCTGAGCCCCGAAGGATTTCAAACGTGTCTGACATAACTTCACGGAGAACCGTGAGGACCTCGTCAACTGTCACAGACAATAACAACGGACTAGGCAGATCATTTTCAAAAAGTTCACTGGATATGGCCATTAGGCACATGGTACGTTACATATCTCATCTCAGTAGGAGCAAGTAGCTTTTTACCATGCTTTCAGTATCTCAATATTTGTTTATGGTGTGTATGTAGGACATAAGAAATGGGAAGACGAACGGTTGTGCACTATCAACCACAACACTATTCCCTCAGAGCATCAGACCAGCCTCATCCAAGATTCAGCCAATCCGTTCAGGGAATAATCATTCGGATTCAATCAGCAGCAACTGTACAGAGAACGGGAATGAAGCAAATGAGGGTAGAAGACTGATGGGGAAGTTGAGCGACATGGACATGTATGAGAGCTCAAGGTATGATGCATTGTTGTTGAAAGAAGACGTTAAGAACACAAACTGGTTGCATAGTATTGATGACCGGTCATCAGATCACGGACTCATGTTTGACAATGGAGGATTCGAGCTGCTTCCAGAGCCCTTTGCCCCACTATAACACACACAATCATACACACACACACCACAAGTAAACAACTTATTTTCTAAAACCGCTTTCTCTCCTTTTTTATTTTATTTTTTCTTACACAAATTTGTTTGCTTGTCAATGGTGGAAAAAAGACGGGAGTATGAGATATAAGGCTCTAGTGGTTCTTGGTTCTTGGTTCTTGATTCATGGTTCTTGGTTTGTAACTTAGTAGGTAATATAATATTTGAAGAGATGGTAACATAATGTGTTGGCATTTCAAGTTCGCTCTTCGTGGAATTCAATTATCATGTAAAGGATCTTGAACAAAACAATTTACAATGTGAAAGAGAGGGAGACGTTCACGCGCGTAACGTGAATCAATGACAGAGCTAAGTTAATAATGGTTGACAGCGAAGCTCAACCAACAAAGGCCAGTGTTTTGCAAAATTAAAATATTTATATATATTTTTAAACATAAATTGACTTTTCATTCATGACATATTTGATACATTAAATAAGATTTCAATTTTGTTTTTTTTTTGTTTTCTAATGTTACACCAAAACTATATAAATACCCTCATTAATGTCACATACCAAACTTCTCCCATTCAGGGGTCCATTTGTAAGAAAGATACCCCTCTTACCCAAATTAAAATAAAGTAAGCTCAAATTTGCAACATAATTCGTTAATTATTCCCAACCTTTTGTTGCTTCCCGTACCCATCATCTATAGTAGTTTATAAAAATCTTGAAATACTCTTATCGTCGTCGCATTATTAAAATAGAATCAGATTTATCCATTTGATTTAATCATTTAAATAAGTTGCATATTTTCGCATAAACTATTAAAGAAAAAAAAACCCCTCTAAATATTCGTTTAGTCACATCTGACTGACCCATTCAATACGATAATTACTACTAGTCGTTTTTTAAAAGAGTAGGAAAATTAATAAATGTATGGGAGTTTTCAGTAAATGCGCTTTAATAAAAGTATAATTCGTTAAGAATAAACAAAAAAAAACAAAGAGAAAATTAAGAAAAGGACAAAATTAATTTAGCTGAGCAATTAAGAAAAAAAAGTTAGGAAGAGAGTCAAAGGGGGCGTTAAGCCAAAGAGCAAAGAGCAAAGCAAATCGGAGTAACAGAGAGAGAGAGAGAGAGAGATTGGAATCTGAAACCGAAACATCGAGATTTACGTTTCTCCGTTGGCGTCACGCCGAAGCTTCCAATTCTTTTTTTCGCCCAGAAAGCCCAACGTTTTTAGCTTAACATCTCTCTCTAAATCTCTACACACACTCACTCTCTCTCTCTTCTGACTGTTTTAATCACTTGTGGGTGGTCACTGAATCTGCATCAATGGCGATTCCAGATTCCTCACTCTTTTCTGCTCTTTTTGCCTTTCGCTCAAGCTTCTTCTTCACGAAATGCCGTTGTTAAAAAAGTGATTTCTCCACTTTCCAATCCCCATCCTCTTTCCTTTGCATTTTATTCCACTCTTTCACTCGTCTTCTTCTTCTACCATCAGCTTCTTCTTCCAATGCCCTTCACCATTCTCGTCTGAACTCACCTCAAAGGTCTCTCTCTCTCCCCCTCACTCACTTTCGATCTTTGTTTTCTTATGTTTAGTTTCGTTGCTTATTCCTACAAGTTTTCTTCGTTTTCAATTTCAATTTCTCTCTTTTGGTTACCTGAATAAAACCCTAGTTTTCTAGTGTTCATTTCTAGATTACAGATCTGGGCAAATCAAGTATCTGGGTTTACATTTCTCTTACTAATCGTTTCTAAAAGTAGTAACTTTCGTAATTTGGGTTTTTTTGAAGATTTCTTATAAACCATACGAGAATTCTTCACATTGTGCATAAAGCTTCCGAAATTTCTGATTTTTATTGATAATCGAGTCATGTTGCATTGGAATTATCGTCATTCTCACTATGGTTATTCAGACGGGTCGTCCATTAGACTTTGCTTTTTAACTTATGGAGAAGTTCATTACGCTTTTCTATCTATCTTTACAACGACCTTTTTAGTTTTACTTACCGCAGATAATTGTCATTATTAAGGAAGCTTTCCATTTCCTTGATCTTTACTCCTGATACATGTGATGTGTCGGTGTCATTCTTGGCTACTTATTCATAGACACAAATTCTTCTCATTTACAAGATTAATGTTATGAAGGGACTCTGAATCATAACGTGATGTGTTTTTTTTCTTCTGTTGCAGTTGCACTTGCTGGTGAATGAGAAAGCTTTAATGTCAGTGAGCCTGAGAGTATAACAAAAGACTGATGATGAAGATTGTTGCCGCGTTCCTTTTCCTTTTGGTCTCGCCTTTTGCTTCCCGTTGTTTCGCTGCAGACATAGAGTCAGACAAGCAAGCACTGCTCGAGTTTGCATCTCTTGTTCCTCACAGTCGCAAACTCAACTGGAACTCCTCAATTCCTATCTGTAATTCTTGGACCGGCATCACCTGCTCCAAGAACAACGCCCGTGTAACCGCACTCCGTTTGCCTGGATCTGGACTTTATGGACCTTTACCTGAAAAAACATTTGAGAAGCTTGATGCCCTCAGGATCATTAGCCTCAGATCCAACTATCTTCAAGGGAACATTCCACCTGTCATTCTTTCTCTTCCATTTATCCGTTCACTCTACTTTCACGACAACAACTTCTCTGGTACTATCCCTCCCGCTTTTGCTCATCGCCTTGTTAATCTTGATCTCTCCGCCAACTCGCTAACGGGAAAGATTCCGGCAAGTTTACAAAACCTTACCCAGCTCACTGATCTCAGCCTCCAAAACAATTCTCTTAGTGGGCCAATTCCTAACCTACCGCCTCGCCTGAAATACTTGAACTTGAGCTTCAATAACCTTAACGGGTCAGTTCCATCTTCTATCAAGTCCTTCCCTGCGTCATCATTTCAAGGTAATAGCCTTCTATGTGGTGCTCCTCTAACTCCATGCCCAGAGAACACCACTGCACCATCTCCTTCCCCGACTCCACCAACAACAGGCCCTGATACAAACAAAAAAGTTCTTTCCACTGGAGCTATTGTGGGCATTGCAGTTGGAGGTTCAGTTCTTTTGTTTATCCTTCTTGCCATCATAACCCTTTGCTGTTCCAAGAAAAGAGATGGTGGGCAAGACAGCACTGCTGTGCCAAAAGCTAAACCCGGGAGGAGTGACAACAAGGCTGAGGAGTTTGGGAGTGGGGTGCAAGAGGCGGAGAAGAACAAGCTGGTCTTCTTTGAAGGAAGTTCATATAACTTCGATCTTGAGGATTTGCTCAGAGCCTCAGCTGAAGTTTTAGGGAAAGGAAGCTATGGCACAACATATAAGGCCATCTTAGAGGAAGGAACCACGGTTGTGGTGAAGAGGCTGAAAGAAGTAGCAGCTGGGAAACGGGAGTTTGAGCAGCAGATGGAAGCCGTGGGAAGGATCAGTCCACATGTGAATGTAGCTCCTCTCCGCGCTTATTACTTCTCAAAAGACGAGAAATTACTCGTGTATGATTACTACCAAGGGGGCAACTTCTCCATGCTGCTTCATGGTAATGTGATGTTTCACATGCTATTCACGATTATAAAAAGAAAAGTGGCGTTGAAGTAACAATATTAGATGAATTGTTTTGCAGGAAACAACGAGGGAGGAAGAGCGGCACTGGACTGGGAAACAAGGTTAAGGATATGTTTGGGAGCTGCAAGAGGAATATCTCACATCCATTCTGCAGCTGGTGCTAAACTCCTACATGGAAACATCAAATCACCAAACGTCCTCTTAACACAAGACCTTCATGTATGTGTCTCTGATTTCGGTATAGCACCATTGATGAGCCACCACACCTTGATCCCATCAAGAAGCTTAGGTTACAGAGCACCAGAGACCATAGAAACCAGGAAACATACCCAGAAATCGGACGTGTACAGCTTTGGTGTACTGTTGCTAGAAATGCTGACAGGGAAAGCAGCAGGGAAGACGACGGGGCATGAGGAAGTGGTGGATCTGCCCAAGTGGGTGCAGTCAGTGGTGAGAGAGGAGTGGACTGGAGAAGTGTTTGACGTAGAGCTCATCAAGCAGCAACACAACGTGGAGGAAGAGATGGTGCAGATGTTGCAGATAGCAATGGCTTGTGTGTCAAAGCATCCAGATACTAGGCCTTCGATGGAGGAAGTGGTTAACATGATGGAGGAGATTCGACCTTCAGGTTCAGGTCCTGGTTCTGGTAACAGAGCCTCCTCGCCCGAAATGATTAGAAGCTCTGATAGCCCGGTTTAGATTGGTTTTTTTTTTCCTTTCTTCTGAAATCATTATTTATTTTGCTTTTTCTTCCTCTTCTTCTTCTTCTTCTTCTTCTTCTTCTTCTTCTTCTTCTTCTTCATAATAAACCGTTTGCTAGTTCTATCATGTCTGACTGCATAATTTTTTCCAAACATTTATGTGGAAAAGTAGTGTAATTGAAACCCTCACCATGAATGCTTTGTAGTTGGTTAGATATATCTAGTCTTTAACTTAAGAGTGTTCGGTTGGTTTGTTTTGGGGTTTTCAGTCTTCCTTTTTTCTTGGGTATCTTTTTCAGCTTGGTCTAGTGATTGATCTAACTAATACTACTCGTTACTATCCTACATTAAGTTAACAGTTTAAAACCCAAATCAAAAGAGTTTTTCTTTTGAGTTCTAAAATATAGTTAAGCTATTTTCTCAAAAAAAAAAAACTAATGTAAAAATAAATATAAAAATGATACGATCATAATTAGTGTTTTATGCAATTCCTAGTTGGAAAAAAATATACATAATAATATATTATTTACGTGGGTCCTAAATTAAGCGGTGAAATAAAAAAAGCTTTTGGGAGAGAGAATAAAATAATAATAATAATAATTAGAAAAGGTAGGTGAAGTGGTACTTGCTGATAGAATCAGAAGGTTCGAGACACTGACTCTTGTTTGTTTAGATTTTGTCTGACAACTCGGAGAAGAAGCTGTAGCGTCAAGCGTGTGTGTTTTGCTTCCTTCTTTGCACTGCTCGATTCTCTTCTCTTCTCTCTCTCTCTCTCTGAAGAATAAGAAGAAGAGGTTCGGTTTGTGTCGGTCGTCCTTATTACAGATCCGATTCCACCATCTCTCTCTCTCTCTCTGGTAAATCCCCCTAATTTCTTTCTCTCCCGATGGCCGACTATTTTGTTTTTGCATGATTTTAGTTTTCACCAGGTTTTTCTCATCGCTTACTCTTATTTGTGCTGTTTGGTTCGGAATCTTCGCCTTACTCAACTGATTGATGATCGGTCTGTTGTGTTCCAATTCCGCAGGTTGTTTTTTATTTTGTGTCCTCTGAGGGTATGGCTTCGAAGCGGATTTTGAAGGAGCTCAAGGATCTGCAGAAGGATCCTCCTTCTAATTGCAGCGCAGGTTGATCTCCCCTTCCTTGTACTAGTTTGTTTAACCGATTTAATTTTGATGTAAGGGTATCAAGTATCATCACATAATAGAACCTTTTTTTAATTCTGTCAACATCCATGTTATGCTTCTCAACCCTCTCTTTTGGTTAAAACTTTTGATTTGCTAGACTCTTTTTACTGACGCATTTCATGGCACTATTATTGTCTGTTATTTTGCAACTCGCACCTCTTAGTCTCTCTTACCTTTGTTTTGTTCTGTATTAGACAAACTTTTAATCTCTCTCAATGAGTTTCCAGAGCTCAGCATGGTTTTGTTGATATGTATGTCAAGTGTCCTTCTTACATATTCTCTACTGATCATCTAATTTTGCTGTGACATTGCTGATTTAGGTCCTGTGGCTGAGGACATGTTCCACTGGCAAGCAACTATCATGGGACCCCCTGAGAGCCCCTATGCCGGAGGAGTTTTTTTGGTTTCCATTCATTTTCCTCCGGATTATCCTTTCAAGCCACCAAAGGTGTTGCTTCTTCTGTCTCAGAATGGTTTTTTTTTTAGCATCCATCTTATCATGTTGTATTACGCTTTTTCAGGTGTCTTTCAAGACTAAGGTGTACCACCCTAACGTCAACAGCAATGGAAGCATTTGCCTTGATATCCTGAAAGAGCAATGGAGTCCCGCTCTTACCATTTCCAAGGTTTTAGTTTTGTTTTCCTACTACTACTACTACTACTACTACTACTACCAGTTAACACCAATCATGTTCCTATTTTGACCAATTCTAATGCGAGTGATTGATGCGCTGCGGAATTCAGGTTTTGTTGTCAATTTGCTCGCTGCTGACTGATCCAAACCCTGATGATCCTCTTGTCCCGGAGATAGCTCATATGTACAAGACAGACAGATCCAAATATGAGTCGACAGCGAGAAGCTGGACACAAAAGTACGCAATGGGTTGATAAGACAAAGGTGATCTCGAGACAAGCAAATGATCTCTTACTTGGCATGGATATGTAAGACTTAAAAAAACGCAAACCATATCATGTGGCTGTAATCGAATAACTTAGCTGCTCGTACTCTTCTTCTGTTCTGATCATGATCACTGTTAACTATATTATTCCGATGGGTCTTGTTTTATTCTCTTGTTTTCTCCTCGCTTGGTTGCAACCACCTAAAACGCAATGTTTGGATTGTCTGGTCCGTTCATGTCTTGATGACATGGGTTGTCCGGTTCACAGTTTGCAAGTGTTATTTGAGACAGACTTGTAAATTTTGCAAAAACTTATAATGTTAATTTTAAAAAATATCGCAAATAAAGTTTGCTCGCAGTTAAGTAAGATTGCCAAAATCATTTAGGACATTTTACTAAACTTTTAGGAACTTATTCCCAAAGTGGTGTATATATCTAGAAATTTAGAATTTTGATGATCAGTACTTTACATATTTGGCACGAGAATAAGAAACTTCCAGACCGACTCTAAGATTCTCTGACGACTATATATATATAACGTAGAAGGAGAGAGTTTTCGCTCTATCCTTTTTTTTGTATCTCTCCTCGCCTCTCTTGCTCGCTAGCTGCTGCACTCCATATTTTTAGTTTCTTTTCTCTCGTGAAAGAAGGCTCTCCAGTTGTGGTACTCTTCTTTCGATCCTTCTTCTGCTTTGTTAAACCTTCCTCTCTCTCTCTCTCTGGTTTCCAATAATACTCGTTAGGTGATTCTCCTACGTACGTTACTTTTGCGTCTTTGTTTCGGAATCTTCCTCTTCTTATATATATATGATCTGTTGTAGTTGAATTATTTGAGGTTTTATTTGCTTTTTTTCTCCATAATATTCATTGTGGTTGTTTTGTTGGAGTTGACGCAGGTTTTTGTGTGTCCGAAAGCATGGCTCCAATCCCTCGGATTTCTAGGGAGCTCAGGGATATGCAAAGAGATCCTCCTACAAACTGTAGCGCAGGTCAGTTATCTTTACTTTATTTTCTTGTCTTTTTTAATATTTAACCGATTGCTTCCTGCTAATTAAAGACTTTTTGAAGTACAAATAAGTTTCAGCGTGACGATTTTGGTTTTTATTTCGGTTCTCTTGTATGTATATTGGTTTCATTTTCATTATATATATATATATATATATATATATATATCGTTTCCATAATGTGGCAATGTTGTCTGATGAGTTGCTGATGAATAAAAGGGTCATATATATAATTCGTAGGTCCTGTGGATGGGGACATGTTCCATTGGCAAGCAACTATCATGGGACCCCCTGACAGTCCGTTTGCCGGAGGAGTATTTTCGGTCAACATTCAATTTCCTCCAGATTACCCTTTCAAGCCACCCAAGGTACGTTTCGTTACGTTGTGGTTGTGGTTGTGGTTGTGGAGTTACAAAATTATGATCACGGAGGCTTAATAATTAGTTACACAATCAATGTTTGGGTATATATAGGTGTCTTTCAAGACTAAGGTGTACCACCCGAACATCAACAGCACTGGAGGCATTTGCCTTGATATCCTCAAAGAGCAATGGAGTCCTGCTCTTACCATATCCAAGGTTTGAGACTCTCGTTTATATGTTTTTTTTGGTGTAATTTTGGTTTGTCTTTCAGTTAATTGTTTTATTGTTTACGTGAGTGAGTGATCGATGTTGTCTTCTTTAGGTTTTGTTGTCGATTTGCTCGCTGCTGACTGACCCGAATCCAGATGATCCTCTTGTCCCGGAGATAGCCCATATATACAAGGTCGATAGACCCAAGTATGAGTCAACTGCGCGAAGCTGGACACAGAAGTACGCCATGGGATGATGATGATGATGATACGACAAAGCTTTTTATCTCGACAAGCCAAAATATAACTCTGTTGTTTTGCATGGAAATGGGAATTTGAAGGGAAATAAGCAAAACGATTATACGATACGATATCATAATCGAATAGAGTCTTATGCCTCATCATCATCATCATCTTACTCCTTCTTTGAAGTCTGAGCAATTTCTTTATTATTCTTAAATAAAACGTATTTTTAAGTTGTTTTGAATCTTTTTTAAAAAGTTGAGTGTTTACCTAAAACAATCTTTATAGATCCTTTTAGATACCTCTCACACTCTTTCTTATAAACAAATACGTAAGAACATTCCAATGTCTGCTTTTCTTCTTTTCATCAAAAAGGAACAATGCTAGAATCAAAATATTTCTTACAGGAAAAATAAACAAAGCGTCTTTTGAGCGAAATTGGTTGACTGCTTTCAAGTCCTTGTTGGTGTTCTTATGAAAGATGTCCCCAATTTGTGAAGCTAAAACGTACGCACGTGTTCCGTTTTTTTTTTTTGGTTTTCCACTATTAATATGCTTATGCTTATATTCAAAGGAATACATTGTATTTGTCACTAGAAAAGAAAAATATTAGTCACAAAATTAGCTAATGGTCGTATCCATTATATAAGTCCATTTACGATTTTACATTATCTATTTAGGCATAAACATAGTTTTCCTCTTCCTTTTGGACTGCAATTCTGAATTACCGACAAAATACAAAAAAAAAAAAAACGTACATACTGCAATCTAACTTTTGAGGATTTAACTAAACTGTTAAAGTAACATTAACAATAATTATATTTTTGTTAGTCGAATTTTATAATATATAGTGTGAAAAGAAAAATAACTGGGAAAAAGAAAAAGACAAAATAAAAAGGTGGAGGGGACAGAGAGGAGAAGGGCAAAAATGTAATAAGAGAGAGAAATTAGAAGGTTGGGTCTGACGCGGTCATAATGGGAGGGAGGGAGCTTCTTCTCCAATCAACGACTCTTCTAATTTGGTCTCCTCTCTCTCTCTCTCTCTCTTCCTTCCCCACCCCCCAAATACGACTGCGTTTTCCCCTTTCGTTTCTTCATCCTCTCCCAACACCTCCCTGATTGCACCACAAACATTTGTTAGGTTTAAACAAAATTAACAGAATTCTCCTCCTTCTCTCTGCCTTTTTCCCTGCTATCCAGCCTCTCTGACCGTATCCGATCTCTAAGGTCCCTTTTTCCTCCTTTTCAAAATCTCTCAATCCTTTTTTTTTTTTTTTTTTTTTGTGTGTTTCTCTGTACATATGGAATCGCTTTAGCTCGTTTCAATTTTTCGTTATTGGCATCATCTTCGCAATTTCGATTAACTGAAAATTTTCCCCCTTTTTTAATTCCAAGCAAAATTTGCAAAAAGGTTCGTTTATTTATACATATTTCAGGCGGATTCGTATTTCCACAACATTCAAATGGGTAGCTGCGTCTCTAAGGTAATTCATTTAACGAAGAAACCTTTTGGTTTTTGTCTCTTGCTGTCCGATTGTATTTCGATGGTAATGTTTTTCAAAATAATATTAAATAAAAAAAACTCTTTGCTTTGTTACGCAGGGCAAAGGAGACGATGATTCCATCCACAACGTCGAGTTTTCCGGTGGCAATGTTCATCTGATTACAACAAAAGAGAGCTGGGATGAGAAATTAGCTGAAGCTGGTCGTGATGGCAAAATCGTAATATCTCCCCCCTCCCCCTTTTGATTTCCCTCTTTTTCTCATGATGCTGTCTCTGTGTGTGTGTGGGTTCTCAAATCTCATAAACCATATTCTTCTATCTCTTCTGTAAACAGGTGGTTGCAAACTTCAGCGCGACATGGTGTGGTCCTTGTAAGATTGTGGCACCATTTTTCATTGAGCTCTCAGAGAAACACCCTTCCATCATGTTCCTTCTTGTAGATGTTGATGAACTCAGCGTAAGTTGTGTATACTTCCATGTCCTCTCTTCTCATGTATATCTTCAAAAATCTTAAAATGTATTTGTGTGGTTTTTTGGTGCAGGATTTTAGCTCATCGTGGGACATAAAGGCAACTCCAACCTTCTTCTTCCTAAAGAATGGACAGCAAATAGGCAAGCTTGTTGGAGCAAACAAACCAGAGCTACAAAAGAAGATCACTTCTATCATTGATTCTGTGCCTGCAAGTCCTCAACGGTCTTGACTCTTGTACCCTTTTCTTCTGAGGTCTGTTCTTGTGTCTTCTTCATGGTGATCAATGGTTGTGAAATGCATAATGTTTTATAGGTCACAAAAACTATTGAGTTAGAGCTTCCTGTTTTATATAATATGCTGCATCTTTTCCATTCTCATTACTCAATATATCCTTGAATCGTCGCAATCTTAATGTGCAAGCCTATAAGCTTCCCTCTAATTTGATATCATATACACTTCACTAATGAAGAGGGGCGATTGTCCAATGCCTCGGGTCATTATAACACCTCCATCTTTCTCTTGCGAATTTCTTGTCCACGATCTATTTCTTCTTTGTATACCTTCACAAATCACTCAAGCAGACAGTGAGGTGAGAAGCCTGAAGTCACCACCTTATGGCTATGGATGATGGATAGGGCTTGGACCGTTCCTTAACCAGATAGAACCAGAGCATTTACATGACTACAGATAATAGGCCAAAGTGTAAGACATAAATTGGCCATCTCTTAAGTTATAACTGTAATTGTAAGTTAAGAGATCAAAACAACCATTTGACTTTGACTCGAAACTAATAAACTAAAAAGAATGCTGGTTGCTATCAGTCTGGTGGTCCAAAGAAACATCGTTTCTCTACTTGTTCACGTTTTGTAACGTTTTTATTCCGTTGAAGAGGGTCAAAGGTCAATATTTGCAGCTCTGGTTCAATAATTTAACAATTTTGTGTTCTCTCAATCAAAACAATTCCTTTCTCATTACATTTAATAAGAGATATCATGAATTAAATATATAAATAGGTTTCTTAGTCAACTGTAGATTTTTGTACATGTTAATATGTTTCAGAATTCGAAGCAGGCAGGAGTAATAGAGTTCATTTCAAGTCGGATGTGGATCGGTGAAGGAATGAAGGAGGCGGCCTGACGTACGTGAAGTTGGTAAATGGGTTGGCCTTCGGATCTGAACTAGGACTGCTTGCTGGAGAATCCAAAACAGACATTTCAGTCCAACACTTGTCAAAGTTTGCTATGCAGTGCCTTCCCGATACCTCCGGCTTGAAACTTGGCTGTACTTCTCTAGCCTCCAGCTTCTTCCAGTTTATTCCCTTGAACCATTTGTGCTGTTTTATCTCCTCTGCTCCAGTCGGTCCACTTCCCAGTCGCCTTCCTGGCTCTTTTTGCAGCAGCTAGACACATTCATTACAAAGTCAGAATCAAAATTGCTCTAAATCCACAAAAAGATAATGACTTCTCAGGTTTGGTTACTTACCCCTTTCAGTAAGGCATGAGCTTCATTAGACAGAAACTTGGGAAGTTTGATCTTGTCCTTTACTATCTTCTGCTGTATCATTCCTTTTCCCCCGACAAAAGGTGGCTGCAGAAGGAAAAACAATGGCATCACAACATAATCTCCGTTATCACCTAAACAAATGCCAAGCTATTAGGATTCTTAGTATACAAAAAAAACAGGCCTATTTTACCTTGCCAGTGAGCATCTCATACAGAAGGATCCCTACGCTCCACCAGTCGGCAGCCTTATCGTGTCCTTTTCCGCGAACAATTTCAGGGGCCATATACTCTGTAGTTCCACACATGGAGTTTGATCTTGTGTTTTCTTCAAATTCCTTTGCCAAGCCAAAGTCTGTTAACATCACGTGGCCATCAACGTCCATGAGTATGTTTTCAGGTTTAAGGTCTCTATGCATTATGCCTTTCTCATGGAGGTGGGAAACTGCAGACACAATTTCTGCAGTGTACACACGAGCCAAGTCCTCTCTGTGAAACAGTAAAAAGACAGAACTAATTAAACCTTGCAGAGTTCTGGTAAAACTCCAAACCTGGTGCTAAAAAGAAAGAATTTACACTAAACCTGAATAGCCCTTGGTGATAGAGCTGGAAGAAAAGATGACCTCCGTTTATAAAGTCGAGCACAAGATAGAGCCTGTACTTGGTCTGCAAGGGAATGTATAAGGCTCAAGTTAAGAAGTAGTAAAGTAAAATCAATAGGAGGCAAACAGAAACAAGTGCAAAATTTTACCTGAAAAGAATATTTGAGTTGGACAATGAATGGATGATCGATTTTGGTTAGAATATCACGCTCAGCTTTCATGTATTCGGCATGGTTCTTCTCAACAATTTTATCTTTTCTCATAACCTTCATGGCATATATCTCAGACGTGTCTTTTTTCCTGACCTGATACACTTTCCCAAATGCACCTTGTCCAACAACCTTCAATATCTCAAAGTCCTCAATGCCTACTACACCTGACACTTCCCCCAGATCTCCCTCTGGTGTTTTGTCACTGTCACTGTCTTCGTTACCAGAGAATTCATCGTTTTCTTTCAACGATTCACCTTCAAGACATTCCACCAAGTCAATTGAGTCCTTAGTCTCTCTTAAGGTGAGCTTGGTCAGCTTCAAAGAATGACTATCGAGTGAAGACGGGCCAACCAATGAGTGGGATCGACTGTAGACAACAGCAGGCTCGTCCAAAAGAACATCACTGGCCTCTCCAGAGGAGTTAGCTTCTGGCATTGGACCAAAAACATCAGAGAAATCAAGCTCAAGATTATCACTGAAGACAGATTTTGGAGGGGTGATGGATAAATAGAGCTGTTTCTGAAGCGGCTTGCCAGTCAGGTTATTGTTGGCAACAGGACACTGAGAAGAAACCATATCAAAAAAATCGCCAAAAGAATGATCACAGAGAAAGAATCTTCACAAGTTCAGCAGGTTGGTGAAGGTCTCCTACAGATGGAGTGAGTGAGGAGAAAATCTGGAATAAGCAAGCCGAAATCAAGGAGGAGAAGCTCTTGTTGTTTCCCTAGTTTAAGGAAACAGTGGATGCTGCACAAGTGCGCAAATGCCATCAAAGTGCTATAAGATCTGCAGTTGATGAAAGTTCGGAGGTTAAAGACATGATCATGTAAAAATCTCAAGTAACGTTTAAATTGACCAAAAATTAATGAAGAGACGTACATACGGAATTAAAAATAAGCAATTACCAAAGCTGTAAAGTCAAAACATATCTGACATTAAGAAAACATCCCACCGACCATATATCTCTAGAGGATCATCACACCCAAATAAATAAAACCCAGAAGTTCTAGAATTGTCGGATTCAGAATCGGTATATACAAAATAAAGTAAAAACTAAAGCAGCTAGCTTTTAGGACCAAAATTTCACCAGGACAAAGAACTCTAATATCTGTAATCCAAACCTTGTTTGAAAATCAGGCGATCAGGTGCCGCCGCATAACACAAGCAATTTTGTAGTACAAAACAAGATAAACAGAGAAAAGCTGTGAGCTGGACCTAAAAAGAAGGTTTCGTGTCGTAGAAACAATTTATGAACTTCAATAAATTTATTTCTAGAAAACAAAAGGAATCCAAACACTGCTAGAGAAAAGTCAAAGATAGATGGAGAGAGAATTTTACCAGGGAATATGCTTTGAGGAAGGAACGAAGGAGACGAGAAGGAGAGAAGACAACTTTTAGAGGAAAGAGGTAATGCCAAACCCAACTAGGAAAAGGTTTCAGAAGGCGCGTGGCTTCTTCTTTTATGTCTCGTTGGATCATGGGGTAAGGACACGTGTTTGTGTTTTATTGGAACCCATTAATTTCTTCTCTGTTTTAGTGGGCCGGCATTATTTTAAGCCCATTACAAGACAATAAGACAGCCGCCACTAGTCTGGTCCAAAAGCAACATCGTTATCACTTGTATGGACAAGTACACGTTTTCAACAAGTTTTTACCAGAGGTCAATGTTAGTTGCTAGACTTCAATAATTGTGATTCTCAATCAAAACATGATACATATAATAAGATTCTCATAAATTCAAATATAAATAAAATAAGCTTCTTAGTCCACCGATTTGTTTTCATTGGTTTGGGATAAAAACAACAACATAATATAGTTCTTCTACAAGTTGGATGTGGATCTGTGAAGGAATGAAGGTGGAGGCCTCACGTATGTAAAGTTGCTAAATGGGTTGGCTTTAGGATCCGAACTGGGACTGCTTGCCGGTGAATCTAAAACAGACATTTCAGTCCAACACTTGTCAAAGTTTGCTATGCATTGCCTTCCCGATACTTCAGGCTTGAAACTTGGCATCACTTCTCTAGCCTCCAGCTTCTTCCAGTTTATTCCCTTGAACCATTTGTGCTGTTTTATCTCCTCTGCTCCAGTCGGTCCACTTCCAAGTCGCCTTTCTGGCTCTTTTTGCAGCAGCTATATATTCATTCATTCCAAAGTCAGAATCAGTATTGCTCTAAATCCAATGCTTCACCAATTCTTAGTACACAACATGTTTACTTACCCCTTTCAGCATTGCATGAGCTTCATTAGACAGAAACTGTGGAAGCTTGATCTTATCCTTCACGATTTTCTGCTGTATCTTTCCTTTGCTACCCATAAATGGTGGCTACAGAAGTAAGAAAAATGGCATCACACAACACATCACCTTAACAAATTACCAAGACACAAGGCTTCATGCAGATTAAAAAAAAAATTTAAAAAAAAAAAGAAAGAAAAAAGTTTACCTTTCCTGTGAGCATCTCATATAGAAGAATTCCTACGCTCCACCAGTCAGCAGCTTTATCATGTCCTTTTCCTCGAACAATTTCAGGTGCCATATACTCCGTAGTTCCGCACATGGAGTTTGATCTTGTGTTTTCTTCAAATTCCTTTGCTAAACCAAAATCTGTTAACATCACGTGACCATCTGTGTCCATGAGTATGTTTTCGGGTTTTAGATCTCTATGCATTATGCCTTTCTCATGGAGATGGGAAACTGCAGACACGATTTCTGCAGTGTACACACGAGCCAAGTCCTCTCTGTGAAACAGTAAAAAGACAGAACTAATTAAACCTTGCAGGGTTCTGGTGAAACTTGATAAGTAGTTCAAAAAGGAAAAACACCAAACCTGAAAAGCCCTTGGTGATAGAGCTGGAAGAAAAGATGACCACCGTTTATAAAGTCGAGCACAAGATAGAGCCTGTACTTGGTCTGCACAAACGGGTATATTGAGAACTCTTAAGTTAACCATTTATGAAATCAAACTACTAAACAGCAAACAAAGGGAAGATGAATTTTTACCTGAAAAGAGTACTTAAGCTGAACGATAAAAGGATGATCAATTTTGGTAAGAATATCGCGCTCAGCTTTCATGTATTCAGCATGGTTCTTCTCCATAATTTGATCTTTCCTCATGACCTTCATCGCATATATCTCAGAGGTCTCCTTTTTCCTGACCTGATACACTTTCCCAAATGCACCTTTCCCAACAACCTTCATAACCTCAAAATCATCTATGCCTACTACACCTGAGACCTTGGCCAGATCTCCCTTTGGTACTTTGTCACTGTCACTGTCGTCGTTACCAGAGAATTCATCGTTTTCTTTCAACAATTCACCTTCAAGACATTCCACCAAGTCAATTGAATCCTTAGTCTCTCGTAGGGTGAGCTTGGTCAGCTTCAAAGAATGACTATCGAGCGAAGACGGCCCAACCAATGAGTGGGAACGACTGTAGACAACGGCAGGCTCGTCATAGACAATATCATTGACCTCTTCAGGGAGTGGACCAAACACATCAGAGAACTCAAGTTCGACATCATCTTTTAACACAGAATCTGAAGAGCTGATGGATAAATATTGCTGTTTCTGGATTTTGTTGGGGACAGGACGCTGTGAGGAAACCATACTCTAAAACCAAAAATCGATACAGAATCACTGAGAAAGCTTAACAAGTTCACCAGCCTGGTGAGGGATTCTGTACCGACAGAAGTTAATGAGGAGAAAACTGGCTAAAACAACTGCTAATCTGGAAAATTTTGGCAAAGGGCAATCCAATAACAAGGAGAAGAAGCTCTTGTTGTTTCCCGATTTTAAGGAAACAGTGGATGCTGCAGAAGTGCGCAAATGCCATGAAGGTTTTATAAGCTCTGCAAGTACATGAAAGTTAACAGATTCATCAGAGGCTACCACATGAACAAATCAAATATCAAGTACAGGATTGAGCAAATATATTAAAACGGAAGCAGAATCAATACAAGCAAGTACATTGGACTAAGAAAACTTCACACCAACCATCTATCCTCACACCCAAATTAAGAAAAGGGATAATTTTTAACTTAAAAGAAAATCTTGAATTAAACCCAAACAAAGCCCTACAATTTCCGGATTTAGGAATCGGTACAACCCAAAATTTCAATAATTCAGATCTACTGGTACGCAAATTTCAAGCAAATCGAGATCTATGACTTGAATCTAACGTTTCTAAGAAACAACAATTCATGAATTTTGATAACTTCTACGATCCAGAAAACAAAAAGAAAAAGAAAAAATCGAATCTACACTATGCGCGAAAGAAACGCAAAACAAGAGATAGAGGGGATTTGATTACCAGAGAGGATGGCTGAGAGAAGGAGACGAGGAAGGAAATGAGGACGAGAGGAGAATTTAAGAGAAGCAGCATTGCAGATCCAGGGATCAAGACACGTGGACGTATCTTATTGGGAGAACGTTGACCAGTTGTTAAATACGCGGCGGAGGTTTTTTTGTCCACTAATTTTGTCTTTTTCTATTGGGCCTTCTCTCACCAAGCCCATTATAAGGAGACGTCCTGATTTTTTTGTTTGTTTCCCGGATTATGTGGATTTCAGATTTCGATTCTACGGATGGCAATGGCTCAAACTCAGACCATGAGATCAAGAGATACATATCGTTTTCAGAGATTACAATCTCTTCATATTCCATCAAATCCTCTCTTAACTTGAACCTTCTTCAATATTAGTCTTAATAGTTGACGTAACAACTGATTGGGTTAGCTGACTTACTGACTATTTCACTAACAACTTTAAGAGTTGATACATGATTTAAACAAATTAATTTTATTTTGATTGTGTATGAAGTAATCCGAAATTTATAGTTGGTAAAATGAATCAATTTGGGTTCAAAAGTTCAAATGGTACCGGGGATGGTATATGCTCTTTTTACTCAAATTTAAATATAGTTATACAAATTTTTATATAATCGAAAAATTGTCTCGCGGCGTTCCAAACATTTATCCTCGGATTCGAAAACATTCTCTCATATACGCAAAAAAAAAAAGATTTAATCCTCCTTATTTAGTACCCGATTAAACTAGGTGTAGATCTGCTTCACGCCCGATTCATGTATGCACCGGTCCTAGTATCCACCAATATCTCTTCGCCTACGTTAATAAAGAGCGGTACAGTAACTACTGCACCCGTTTCGAGTGTAGCCGGCTTTGATCCACCTATACATCCATCACACAACTTTGGCTCAGGCTTGTTTAAACAAAAAAAAACACGAGGACTGATATCTCTCAGCAAGAGATTTCTGCAACATTATTACCTTGCGCAGTGTCACCACGAAGGCCAGGATCAACGTCAACAATTTTCAACTTAACTGTAATCGGTAGATCGAAATCGATAACCTTGCAAAAATCAATCCAGACAGAAACAAGTTAGCATCACCGCATCAATCCTGTGAACTACTCACAGAGAAACTGAGAAAAAAAAAGTGTGTACCTTGTCTTTCCAAAACAGCAAAATGCATTCCATGCCTTCTTTCAGCCATTTCGTCTTGTCACCCATATCAGATTCGTTAAGACGTGTTTCTTCGTATGTGGTCTACAATATAAAAGATGATTTAACAACCAAGAGAAAATCATAACATTATTACACAAATATTTAAGCTATCCGAATGGCTTATATTAGCAAATAAGAGAAGCAAGAATCCATTGGTGACATACCAAATCCATGAAAACAAATTGAGATCCATCTTTGTATGTGAATTGTTTGGTTTCTTTGTATATATTAGCTTCCTCGACCTGTAACATAGAGTGATCACAATCAAGATGGTGAAACTAGAATTAAGATACAAGAAAGAAAAAAGAGAGAGGATATTTACAGAAATTCCAGCACGAAATGTTCTCTCCACTGTGCTGCCATTAACATAGTTCCTGATCTTAGTCCTCACAAATGCCGCACCTTTTCCTGGTTTAACATGAAGAAACTCTGCCCAAAAAACCACGAGAATAATTATTTTTTTAAAAAAATCAATCCAGCATCAAAGCCAAAACAAATAATTAAATCGTCATGAACTAACTAGTAAGAAACAGTATTATCTACCAATTTCCAGAAAACCTTCCCATGTATAGATAACATTGCAGTAATAACGAATTGAGGAAGAAGGATATACCAAGAACACGCCAAGGAGCACCATCGACTTCGATATTGGTTCCGGCTTTGATGTCGTTAGCAGACAAAGAGCAGTGTATCCCTGCAAATCAGATTCGTCAGGATATGAAACAAAAAACAAAAATCAATCGCTTCCCAAATTTGAAGAGATTTGGAGAAAAATTAACTGGGGAATCTGTTGGTTCGGGGAGAAATCCGGACAGGGAGCGCCAATCGAGATAGTGAGATGGATGAAGATGAAGCAGATGAATAAGGGATGCACAAGGAAGGAGATGAAGTTACAGAATATATCGCTCTTCCCGCCATTTTAGTTCTTCCGCCGACGACACAATGGAGTCGAGAGTTTTGGTTGTGGTTACTCTTAGGATAAGGTCCTCAAGTGTAGAAAGAGGAGGACTCGAGGAGGAAGCAAGTGTTTTTTTTTTTACTCTCTCAATTGAACCGAACCATAAAACACCCTAAAATAACAAACCGAACCGAGTCCGGTTAACAACATACGCTTTTATCAGATTTTTAAACCGAAGAGTACCGACTTTAGATTTTAGATTCCTAACCATAGAGCACTAAATACTAGTACCAATTTTAGATTCATATCCAAAGAGTATGTACTATTGAAGAAAAAACTTTTTCTTTTTTTTCTTCATTAAATACATGTTTATTGTCAAGATCGTAGTACAAAAACCAAAACCAGAAGTCAATTTCAATAACATGTGTACAGTATCATAGTTGAATTTCAAATAACACAAAGACCAACAAAATTAGACAGAGCTTTAAGAAACGAAACAACGTTCATCAAATCTCTACCTGATGCTCTTCTTTGAGGGGAATCGGAATCAGACTTGGAACATAAACATAGCTACAAATAAACGGGTCATCGTACTCAAACTGTCCATGCCTTGCTGTCTGGATTTGTTTTGTGATCCCACTTTGACCAATGTCGTAAAACTTGATGCAAATATAACATTTACCATCTTCTTCGTCTACACTTGTCTCACTCCACACCATTATATTCCTGTGCTTAGCCATTTCACTATGGATATGTAACGGTGGGAGACCAGGGCTAGTGTCGACTTTGAAGTATTGGCAACACGAAACAACCTTATCAGTCAAATTGTTTGCCATCCACACCTCCATCCCTGCTGATTCTTCACCTTGTAGTAACAATGAGAGTCTATCTCCATTGAAACAGGCCAACCGAGTCACCCAAGAAGAAGGACAAACGCAAATGTCCTTGAATGTTTCCATGGAGAAATCAAAACTTACAATGAAATAATGTTCCTTCTTCATAGCAATCCAATACATATTACCCTTCACAGACACGCCGCTGCACTTACTATCATCCACCTTCCAATCATACTTAGCATCAAGCCTTCTCCACGAATCAGACTTGAATTCATAGATCTCACAATCTGGATCTGAATACTCATCCTTACGAATACGGCAATGACCAACAACAAGCCTCAAGATTTTGTAGTTATCACGAGATACAGCTCTAGTAATGTCGTATCCAAACCCCAAGAAATCAGTGATCCGGTAACAAACCGACGGTTCGATCCATTTAAAATCTCTCAAAACCGGATTCCAAACTGCGAGATTTGCGTATCTTAATTGTCTCTTATTCCATTTTTGACACAAACACAGCAAGAGTCCGTCACAGTGAACCATAGAATTTACCGGATACGAATCGCGAAACTCGTCCGGGATGATTAATGAAACTGCTGAGAGGGTTCCGGTCACCGGATCCATGATCTGACGATCGTAGATTCTTATGAATCGTTCCGGAGAGTGACTCAAGTGATTGCACATGAATCCTTTGTCGCTGGTGATGAGAGCGTACCATTTCTTGCACGTCGACTTGAATCAGATCAAGGATTCGGCGGGAGTTCTGTAAAGTATTTCTTCTATCAGCTCAAATGGCAGCGACGGCAACATCAAAGACTTTGAAGAAGCCATGGGGAGCGCTTACTGTGAAAACAATCAGAGAGACTGATTCTTGAATAAGGTTTCTTTTTCTTTTTCGTTCCTCTAACCTCTTATCTTTACTGGAGAAGTTGATGACATTATTGGTATTATCCATACACAAAACATTCCACAAACCTGTACGTACTTTTATAGAATTATGTTGATTATTATTATGTACAATGTTGATTATTAAATCTAAAAGAAGAAATGTTTGATTATTATGTACAGCAATCACAACCAATCTCTCCGGATTCATAAATAACGCCAAGAAAAAGGAAAGAAAAAAAAACTTTTTTTTTTATATATATATATTTGGAATCCAAAAAAAAACAAATCAAGGCCAAAAATATAGAAAACAAATAGGACGAAAAAGAAGAAAGAAATATGAACAAATCAAAACCCTTCCAGACTAGTTCTCCTACCACTCGCTGAAGACGATCTCCGAACCTCTTCCCTAGCCATCTCCTCCAAGGATGAACAAGCTCTTGGCGGAAACACTGGTGGGAACGCGAGCGCCCGTTCCCGTTCCCTTATGGGTGAAACCGACGGTCGTCGTGGAGGAGGCGAGGGTGAAAAGCTTGACCTTGGTGGCGCTGACGCTGGGGTCCAAACAATGGTGTTGAGGCTGCTTGATCTTCCCATATGTTTCCTTTCCGTGACCGGTGCGGGTTCTCTTAACGGGAACCTACACGAGTACTTCATGTCCTGTATGACCTTGAGTTGTTCCACAATGTTTCTCATGGTTGGACGCTCTGATGGCTCCACCTGCAGACATTTCTGTGCTATATCCGCTACGCTCCTTGTAGCTTTCATCGGGAACCGACCTTTCAGCTGAGGATCCATTATGAGTGAGAGCCTGCAATCGTCTGCTAGAAAAGCTCGGCTCCATTTCACCAAGTTCCTCTCTTCTTTCGGGTAAGCTCCGTCCATGTTCTTCCGCCCCGTCAACATCTCAAGAAGAACTATTCCGTAGCTCCACACGTTGCTCTTCGGGGTCAAAAGCCCTCTCTCTAGTGTCTCCACCGAGAGGTTTGCAAGTGCTGAACTGTTTGATGTCTCTGTCTCGGGAACATTCCCTGCACAACCGTATCCCGATAGCTTGGCGCTGAAATCTTTGTCGACTTGGATACTAGCAGTAGAAAATTCATTGTACATTGCCTGTTCAGTCAGAGGACGAAACAGGCTCAATCACCAAATATGTTATCATCCAAGTTCACAAACAAATGATGATGGATATGACTTTTGTGCATACCTGAAACGGGCCTTCTTCGTGCAAGAAGGTTAAGCCCTGAGCTGCGCAAAGAGCAATCTTCATTCTAGTGTTCCAATCAAGTGGAGGGCCATCTGATCTCCCATGCAGCAACCGGTCCAAACTACCGAGAGTCAGCCTCTCGTACACCAACATTCTTGTGTCAGAACCATCACGGGCATGATAGCCTACCAGTTTACACAGATTTTGGTGTTGCAGCGAGGCCAATGTGTTCACTTCATTAATGAACTCTCTGATACTCTGTGGAATAACAATAACACTATTAAGGAAACAAGCATGTTGCATACTAAGGAAACAAACACATAGATTAATATTTTACTTAGAATCGAGGTAACATAACCAGAAATGTTAATATACCTGAGTAGTCACGTGAAGTCGCACAACAGTTGCGTCGACCTTCTTTAAGGCTGAGGTAGAAGCTTCATCACCAAAGGAAGCCATGTACATAACAGAAGAAAGACCTTCCAACACACATCGGTCAGTGTAAAAAGCGCTACAAGCAGCAGCCACTTCATCATATGAGAAGCTCCTAACAGTCCCGCTAGGTGGCAAAGGCAAAGGTCCAGATGGAGCTGCGGATGAGGACAAGCGACCGCTGCTTCCATTGAAGGACTTAAAGCTTCCCCAATTCTTCAAGGAAGAACCAGTCTTTGGGGATGGCAGGGGAAGCGGTTGAGGACTAGATTCTTTAGTAGAAGAGCGTGGGTCTCTTGGTTGGTCATCTTGGTCGTCGTGATAAACTCCAACAAGAAAATCCCTTTCCGCAGCACCGTGAATGCTAGACGGAGCAGACATCACTCTGGCACGGCTACCCCTCTCTCCGGTTCCACCACTACCAGACTGGATAGGCTTCACACGAGTTCTGAAACTCGGAGGAGCCGATTGTAAATTACGGCCTGGAATCTTGGGCGGCTCAGGTAAAGCAGTTGGCCTACTCTCTTCAGGATCAAACCGCTTCATAGACACCGAGCCACGTTTCTTCTTGCTCTTCAGAGGGAAACAACCCAGAACCATCTTTGTCCAATCTTCTTCTGATCACCAATTTGATTGATTCAAACTAACGGATGCTAATGAATAAAACGGGGGATATAAAATCGAGCCTCGGAATGCATAAAAACTCGGGAGACGTCACAAAATCACCTGAAAATGAGTTCAAACACACAAACTGATTAGAAAAAAACATCCAGATCCGTTCTTATTTTATGCATGTGTAATGTGTTAAACCAATTGCCACAGAAATCGTTCAAGACAAAACAATATTATTCAAGTACAACTGTAGATAAAATATCGTCTTCTAACAGATCTCGTGGGGGTTCAGAAGTAGAAGTTGAAGCAAAGAGGGACAGTAACATATAAACCCTAATTCAAATAAACAGTGAAAGAGCAAAAATTTAATAAATCTAAGAGACGCTTTCGATTTGTGCAATGACGACATCCCATTAAGATAAAAATTCGGTAAAGACAAGAGACAAGGACAATAAATCCAGTAATACAACGAACTTTCTTTTCTCCCTTTAAACCCAAAAAAAAAAAAAAAAAAAAAAAAAAAAAAAATCGCATTATCATTAGATAGATAGATAGATAGATATTTTCAATCCAATTCTAAATTAAAAATAAAAAAATCAATTTTTCCACTATTGAAAGTGAGGGAATTCATAATTTTCAATCGAAACAAAAGCTTAGGATCTATTCCTGAGGAAAAAATAGTTATCCGAATGGAAGATAAAGAAGAGGAAAAGGTAAAATTAACAAAAACACAAATTCGATCTAGGAAAAAAAAAGAAGAAAACAGACATAAGAGAGACAGGAATCAGTTCACACCTAGACGAGACGAAGAAGAACACAAAGAAAATTCTAAGGAGAAGAAACTGAAACTGCTGCGGCTAGAGAGAGAGAGATGCAAAAAATTGAATTTTCTGGGAGGAAGAAGAAGAAGAAGAAGAAGAAGAAGAAGGGGGGAGGAAACTCATAAGAGAGAGAGAGAGAGGTCTGTCTGTTTAGAGGAAAGTGAGAGAGAGAGAGAGAGAAGAAGAAATAGATAGAGAGAGAAAGAAAGAAACAAAGGGTGGGACCCAGAAGAGGCAGTGGTCAAAGTTCAAACCAAAACAGATATCCAAAAGATTTTATTATTATTATTATTATTACCACTTTGCTTTGCTTAGTCTTAATTCTTAAACTCTCTTACTCTCTCTCTCTCTCTATAACTTTTTCCCTGGTCCTCTTATTTTCAATTCCTCAGCTAACTTGTTTGGAATTTTCTCTACTCTCCTTTTTCATTCCTTCTTTGAGTTTCCCCTTTTTGTTTTCTTCTTCATAAACCTCGTCACATTATATTAAATCCTTCATTCACATTATTTTCATTTTCCTCAAATAAAGTAACTGCTCTTTTTTTAAAAAAAAAACTCAAAATGAATTGTGGTACATGTTCCAATAAACTTTTATTGATAGAATTTTTTGTAAGAAAAGAATATATATATATATATATCATATGAAAATACATACATGGACACTTCTTTCTCAAATTTAGTTTTTTTTTTTTATGATTCTCAAATTTGGTTTTTGATATATTTTATCATCTCTTATCATATTTAATCTAATATTATTTCATATAACATTTATAGCGATCAAATTTATTATTTAGCGATCTAGCTCAATTTATACTAATATTATCATCATCGTATACATTAATTTCTAAAAATTGTAGATACATTGTTATATATTATTACTTTTAACTCATTAATTTTAAAACTAGTATTTATAACGATCTAATTTACCATTAAGCGAGATCATCTTTAGTGTATTATTGACTTGTATTAATATCATCTTCATAAATAATATTTATATAAATTTTATATATTGTACATTGTATTAAATTATTATTATTAATTTATTTAGTTTTAAATAAATAATAGCGATTTATCTATGAACAATTGTACTATTTTGGCAATTTTTATTAATGTTTTATAACGTGTATTTAATTTTTAAAAAATTCTTTTCGTCATTATATAATTCTCAATTTTTTAAAACTTATATACAATATATTTATACATTATTTTAATTACCTTAAAAATATTTAAAACGGTTAATTTATTAGATTAAATTTAGGAACTATTCACATACGCTATCTGTATCTATACCTTTTTTTTCTCTTGGACAAAAGCCACTCATCTGTGACTATACCTAAGAAAATGAAATAACAACTTGGAACAATTAGATAATCCTGATTTCTGGGTATATTGGTATAGTTTGGGGGTTTAAAAATAAATAAAACTCAATAGAAATCAGATAAGGTAGGGAAAATTTGTAAAAACAAAACAAAAAAATCAGGAGGAGGAAAGCCTAGATTTCCAGTAAAGAGGGCCTCGAGAAAAGCGACATCTCAGTCAAACTTAGAAAAACTAGTTTTGTCCTTCCTTTTTTTTTTTTAATTAATACACTCTTTATTTCTAGTAATTTTTTATTTGGTTTCTTGTTGTTCAATAAAAATAGGCCGTATCTATCTCTCTCTCAAATGATATTAAAATCGAAAATACAAAAATACTAATTGTTTCTTATTAATTGGGTTTTTGTTTAATCAGGTCAAAATGACTAAATCAGATAGGTTGTTGACTAAACATCGCACACGTTCATTTAAATCGCATTGCCCCCTCCTTTCTTCATCAACGGTTCTTATTTAGTCACGTCTTTGCTAATGTGGGACCCGCTGACATCGTTCCTCTGAAGACTTTAGAAATCCTATTAATTAACTAATTATTTATTATAGATTTAGCTACAAAAAAGGTGTTTAAGCACACGCGCGACGTGCACGCGTGCGACGACGATGAACTCTCTCATATAAATCAGACAACAGAGGACACGTGGGGTCCTTTCGAACCACTCTCTCTCTCTCTACTTCCCTAATTTCTCGAGTTTATGATAATAAAATGCAAATTTTCACAAATTGTTACAGTGGTTTTATTATTTTTGGTAATTTTTTTTTTTTTTGGTTGATTTAACTGAATTATCAAGAAGCATTGCTGCATACATAGATAGAAGGGGGTTTTGATTTTAAAGGATGTTTTTTTAAAAATTTGTCCTTTTAGGGTTTCTGCGGTAAATTGTCAGTTATACCTAAATTACCCTTTTAAATAAATAAAATTAATTTTTAATTAATTTTTAAATTAAAACATATCAACAATTAAAGATTAATAAGATTTAATGTTAAACAAAAGAGTTTTGGATGAAAGTATGTTGATTTTGATATTGAAAAAATCATTCTGCAATATTTAGAATACATCTTCTGTATTCTAAATATTTTAGATTATGAATTCTGCACACTCTACATGTTCTAAAAATTGTAGATTACAAATTCTTCGCATTGCACTTGTTCTGAAAATTTTAGAATATATATATCTTCTAAAAAAATTAGAACTCAAGTTTGGTTGGTGTTTTACAAAATTTGGAATATGTATTCTACATGTTACTCTATATTCTACAAATTTTAGAATTTATTTTCTACACTTTACCCTATATTCTGCAAAAGTTAGATCATCAATTCTACACTTTACTCTTCGTTCTTCATATTTTAGAAAATGTATTCTACGAATTTTTAGAACTATCTTATACAAGGAAATTGAATCCTAAATTAAAGGAAACAAAATATTTTGTATTCCCTAATATCTAGAAATCATATATTTTTATTTTGAGTGAACGTTAGGTGTATATACAGTCCTTGAGTTTGACCAAAAATTAAAAACTAACAATATCAAAGAGCTAGTCTCAAACAATCTTCCTAGTTTAGGTTTGATAATCACGAACAAATGAAGTTTTTATTTTTCAGAAAATTTTGACATCGTCGAGTCTATCTTTGGTTTTTTTTACCTTTTTACAATATTAAATGAGAAGAGTTTTTTTTTAAAAGGAAAAATAATATATGTTTTTGATTTTTTTAGATTTAAGAATATCTTTTTTTCTTACAGAAAATTTCCTAATTTGATGTTTTTTTTTTCAAAAAGTTTGATGTTTATTTCCATATAATTTAAGTAAGGATATAATTGAGCATTTTCCTATTCTAAAACCTAATATACCAAACTAAAAAAAAAAAAGGCATAAATGAACAAATTAAAAAAAACATCCTTTAAAATCAATTTTCCCTAGATAGAAACTACTTATAAGTTGATATGTATCCGAGTTTTAAGGTTTTTTATTACTTGACTTTAACTCTAACTCCTAGTTCGTTCCTAAAAGTGCTTCTTATTCTTTTTTTTGTTTCATTCTTCTTCTTTTTTTCCTATTTTGGCGGAGCTTCCTTCCTCTCGGGCCTTCGCCGCTTTTTCTCAGCAACGTTTGGAAGACTCTCTGCCTATATATATATAATGTTTACATCATCATTTTTCCCCCCTCCCAATTGTATTTACAAGACTTGTCAATCGTTTTATATTTTCTTTGTTGTAGATGCAATGTGCATCATATATATGACTAACTTGTGCGTCTGACATATACCAAATCATATCATACGCTACACTAATATGACAATTTTAGTGATTTATATTACCAACTGAAAATTTATTTATTATTCACACAAACGTAATATATCGTATAGGCGGTTTATCTCAAAAAAACTTATATAATATACTAGTAGTATTTGACCAAACGAAAAAAACCCTATGAAGATATATATTGCGTAAATTTTGAACACTATGCACGTTTTCTATGCTGTTTTTGTTGATACGCAATTTAATAATGTTCTGGTATAGGCGTCTACTTTTCTCCTTCTTTGCTAGACTTTTTTTTTCTTTCGAGTTTAGTTGGAATCATATTTCATATATATATTTATGGTTTGAATAGAGGTCGGCTTTACTTTGGTTTCATCTATTTGAATTGAACAAGCCACACCATTCTTTTTTTTAATGACACGTTTGACTAATTATTATACTACCTACTGCTGAGAAATCATGCATATTCACTGTTTCTACATATTTAGGTTCTTAAAATATATTCGTACTCTGTAAATAATTTCATGATGTGATATTTGAACATATTGCCAACTTCGAAATATGTATGTTGTAAAGGTTTTACTATCTTTACTCAAAGTATCTCATTAGTGAATGTTGCGTTTGAATACATACTAATTAGTCATATATATTAGGCCCATAATGATAACCCAGAGCTAAAGTCCAAATCATAGATTTCAAGATCATATAATCTTTTTTTTTTATCTTTTTTTTTGTTGCACAATAAAATTATTATTTATTTGAAGAACACGACGTTTTCTTTTACGTAATAAGAAGAGGTTTGTTTGAGGTTGAAAATGCAATTTGTGTGTTTGTTAGTTTAGTGCCGTAAGAAACTCTAAGAATGAAGCTACATATGCAAAATTTGCATGTCGAATCTTATCTCTATCCTTTTCTCTTTTTGTTGACAAACTCGTAAACTTTCTTTGAAATGTTAATAAGATTTCAGTTGCAACTCGTATACTTCATAATTTGGTTTTAAGCATAAAAAGTCATAAGTTGGGTTCCTTAATTAGCAATTCGAACAAAATAAAACTGTAGTGTCATAATAATTATCATATTGCACTGTGCACAAATAATATCAACTGACTCAGATTAGTCTCGCGAGTTATTCCGTGTAACATAATAATTATAAGTTATATTTGATCGAAGTAACCAAAATTAGAAGTTTTGTTTTACAATTATTCCACTATTTAATTATATATATACTTCTTTTTACGATATTGGAATTACTATATTTAAACAAAGACATAAATAATAGGTTGTAGCTAGGTTTTACATCATGTTCTGATTCAGAGTATCATTCATGGAAAGCTAGTTCAGTTCGCAGTGAACTATATGTCGTGTAAGGATTTGAGCATATGTGGAGAAATTTTCCGAGATAATTTTGGTAGAACATCATAGGATGTTGATAATATATTAAAAAGATTCGAGATGACGAAAGATACATCACTGATTAAAATTAGCAACTAGCAAACCATGTCCTCATTTATTATTGGGTTCTTAGCTCTCGTAGTAGTAGCTTCTTTTTTATGAATTTTCTGCTTGTCTCAGTGAATACTGTAAAAGAGAAATTAAAGATGAATTAACTTGGTTTAGTTAGATTATTGTAATGAGATCATTAGATAATCACAGAGAGAGCGAGATGTGTGTTATTGTTTACCTGTCGCAGTTGGTGGAAGGGCTGAACTTGTAAGGAAGATTAATTCCGCATTTAGAAGGCAAAGCTAAAGCATTGTTGAGGTTGTTAGAAGTGTAAGAGACTCCTCCTATGGCAGATTTGATGCAACGGCAGACGCTCTGACGGTCCGGAGGGGTTTGAGCCTGACTGCTGAGTGTTCGGAGACCGCTGCAGCAGCTGTCTGGGGGGTTACCTCCCTGAAGCACGTAGGAGATGCAAGGGTAAAGCTCCGCAACCGCAGTGTTGCAGGAAACGGCTGCTTCACCAAAGTGCAAAGCAAGAACCAGGCACACGGCTAGTAAGAGAGATCTCATGTTACTTTCTGTTTTTTTTTTTTTTTTTTGTTTAAATTGTTTGTTGTTGTGGTGTGTGTTGTGGTTAGGGTTAGAGAATTGAGAGGTTATTTATACATTGAAAGAGTTTGGGGTTGGCAGTTGAGGAGGAGTGATTGCTAGGACACGAGTGTTAGTGTTAGTTGTGGATGAATTTAATGTTTACCTTCAGCCAATTAAAGATCCAACCCTCCGGAGATTCAATTGCATTCTTCTATATATCTAACCAATTTCTAATAAAAATATACATTTACGCATTCGTATCGTTTTTACCTATCTAAAGTCATATTGCTTAATCAATTCAAAAGGCCTACTAAATTAAATACTGATACCAACTATAATAAGACGTTGAGTAATCACTAATCCATTAAGAGAAAATTTGGCATCTTAGATCTATCTAAATACACAAACCAATAACACCCCTTTGTTATAGCCTATCTATCAAAATTCATCGGTAATATGTCTATAAAAAGAAAATGTCATTACTCGTGACTCGTGAGGATTAGAATTTAACTCGATTGACATCGGAATGTTTGTGAGTCTAATTATAGTTGATATATAGTATGCGATTTCATGCTATTTTGAAATGCTGATATGATTGATCTCCACCGGCCACCAAACCTGACCGACCAGGTTTTGAAATGCTGGCCGTTTAATACATAAGCTTATTTTTGAATGTTTTAAAAAATTCAAATATTTAAAATAGCTTTTGACAAATTAATGACACTATGCTCCTGTATAAATTTTGGAGACGGTGTAACTCCTTACTCCTATAAAAAAACATTGACGACGACATATTGAAACTAGTACTAGATAGCGACAATTCTAAGGCGATGGATACTGAGTCATATGGCAGGCAGCTCATGGTGCATTCAACTCTAGTTTGGTTCGTACGTTTTGTCTTTAAAAGTAGTTACAACAGCACAAAGACGAAGGAGCATCTTCGAGATAGTACTACGAGCTGTGGTGAATTGATTGTCAATAAAACCGTTTTCGTTGGTTTCCAACACGTAAACTACTAATACTTTTCTCTATCTTGAGTAGCAGCGAGTGGTCCCAATATTGTATAGCTCAGCCGATCCTTAACCAAAAAACAACCTATGATCGTCTCTCCGAACCATGTTTTCCAAGCTCAAAGATGATTCTTACTCATTCCAACGTGCTCTTTAAATAATTCATCTAATAAATACGCAGAAGTTTCATACGTTCTTGAGATTGTTGATTGTTTATATATATATATGCCCAGATTATAGAAACTCTTGACATGAATCAATCAAACCCATTCTTGATTGCTTCTCCTCTAACAAAAACTAGCCATAGAAGGAAACGAGATCTCTTGCGATAAAGCAATCCATCTAGCCAGCAGAGGTTTAACTAGAAAATTGTTTAGATACAAGAGGTCTACTCCATATAGTTCCAATTGTGCCTAGCAAAGTACTGATCTCAGGGAAGTATGATACACTTAAGGTAGAGTTCCAAGTAAGTGAATAAACCTTCAAACAAGCTGAGTTCGTTGAATGGAGAAGGAGAGACAAGTTAAACCTGGCGCCAACAACAAAAACAGAAATCCAAGAGAAGCTTTCACCGCCCCATTCTGGCAATCCGGTTTCGCAGCTTCCGATTATGCTTCTCCTGAGCGAAACAAGGAAGAAGTTATATTAGTACAATTTGTGGCATTATGGTCGAATTTTCGAAGTTACAAGCTTAAGGTGGTTTTAGTACCTGTTGAAATACCCTATCCGAGCTCTTCTCTACATCCGAAGCCAAGCTTTGGACCTTGGCCAACATTTTCTCATACATATCTTCAATCCCGCCTGTGTTATTTGCAGCTTCGGCTCCAACCAAACGTTTCAAGTCTCCAACTTGTAAACCCTCTGCCAACGCATCGATCTCCTTCTGATCCTTCACTGCTTGTTTCTTCGCACCCAATGAACCCTCATCGCGATCCACGATCATGGCTGAGCTATCCAACTCGCAGATCAACGGTGGAAATCCCGATTTCGGTCTAAACGAACCGTAATGGCCCCGAAACGCCGGTCCGATGTTGACTATACCAACGGATCTCGGCTCCAGTCGTTGTTTGGAGGACCGGAACTGGTACCCTCGGTACTCGTGCGTGTGGATGCACTGATCACTCGATGGCGTAGTGAGAAGAAAGAACACACATGAAGCCATGTTCGTCAATTTAGGGTTTTTCAAATCCTCGACCGGTAAGTGAAATTGAGATGACAGAGATGAAGCGACGGCTAACTCTCTCATTGAGGGACGGTTCGCGGTTTTCCGGCGGGCGGAGAACCAGCCAATCAGGCGGTCCGGCGAATCGACTCGGAGGGAATCGATTCGACGCGAGTCAACACGGCCAAGCGGATCATAGAATGATACAGTCTTACCGGAGCAGACAAAGCTCGTAACGGTGGCGACAATTTGATCAGATGAGGAACTCGAGGCCAACGAATCCGCCGGAGGATCGTCGGATAGATTAGAGGAGACGATGCGGTGGATTTGGCCGAAGATCAAGCCATCGACGTCACTTGGAGAGGAGGAAGCTCGTTGAATCAGGGACGCCAATGTTGCACCCGAAATCTCGATTTTCTCTAGTGAGAGATCGTCCATGGCGAGTGGCGGACGAGATGAACACAAAGAGGGAAAATGTGACGTCATTGAAATCTCCGCGCAAATAAGAACTACATAGCAAGGACATCAAGACGACGTGGCGTTTCGTGTTTCAAAAGAGTGATTTGCGTGCCGTTTTTTGTGGAAAAAACGGGATATATTTCCACACTCCAAGCCCGTTAATTGACCTAAAAAGCCCAATTAAATACTCCAAGCCCGTTTATTCACCTAAAAACATTTTAAAGGAGATATGAAAGGTCAATTACTAGTTCCTTAATCTTCTGCCTTGATGTAGCAAGTAGCAACGGTGTTAACAAGTGTCGCCATATTATTTAATTAAGAAGAGCAAATATTCTTTTGTATTACATATTACGAGGAACAAAGCAACACTTCTTATTAGTTGGGAGTTTTGAAAGACGAGAGGAAAAACGAAGAAAATGGTGCATCCTTTGGTTGATAGAGCCACAAGCGATATGCTCATTGGTCCTGATTGGGCCATGAACCTCGAGATATGTGACATGCTTAATCATGAGCCTGGGTACGACTTTTTTTTTCCACTAAATACTTTTCTATGATCGGAAAATCCTCTATCCAATGCTCTATGCGATCGATCCGAATCAATGTTCTAAAGGACAATGGTATTAGTTGAACTTGTGATGTCCTTTAAGAGAATCAATTCTTCTTTTTGATGTCTTACTAATAATGGTACTCTTTTTGTTAACCCTAACCTGTCAAACATATATCTGGTATGTTGATCACTGGAGTTGGATGGTTCGCATTTGGTTTTGATGTTTCTTCTTTTGGTTCTATCATAGAAGATATGTGAGTATGTTTGTTTGTAGGCAAACAAGAGAGGTAGTGAGTGGCATAAAGAAGAGGCTTACTAGTAGGACGTCAAAGGTTCAGCTTTTGGCTCTAACAGTAAGTTCAATTACGAGGGATCGGTATTCATTCAATGAAATGTTCTTACATCATCGAAACCAAACTTCAGTTTGATATGTAACACAACCAATTGTCTTTAGATATTTACTTTGATTATTTCTTCCTTTCTAAATTAATCTATGTGAAGATAAACATATATTTTGGGATTGTTACTATTGTAGTTACTAGAGACAATAATAAACAATTGTGGGGAGCTTATACATATGCAAGTTGCAGAGAAGGATATACTTCATAAGATGGTGAAGATGGCCAAAAGGAAGGTCAGGCTATGAATCTTTTTCTAACTATTGTTTTTATCTATAATCATTTTTGTGTGACACCAAACTAATGATGTTGTTTGCTAAACTTATAGCCCAACATCCAAGTGAAGGAGAAGATATTGATACTTATAGATACTTGGCAAGAGAGCTTTTCAGGTCCACAAGGAAGACATCCACAATATTATGCAGCATACCAAGAACTGTTGGTATATATGTTTCATTTTTGCTGTAACATGCCCCATTTGAATAGAACCGAGACCATTATATGATGGTTCGTATTTTAGGATTTCATTTAATTTCTTTTGTCATTTGCAGCGTGCAGGAATTGTATTCCCTCAAAGACCTCATACCACACTCAGTTCAGGACAAACTGGTCCTTCCACAACGTATCCTCATAATTCTCGTAATACTAGACAAGCAGCTAATGATACTTCAACAGAGTCAGAATTCCCAACTTTGAGGTGTTTATCTCTTTATAACTTCCCATTATTTTCTAGCAATACTGAAGATATAAGATTGATCAAACAGCATTTTCTGTTTTTGTTGAAGTTTGACAGAAATTCAAAACGCCAGAGGAATTATGGATGTCTTAGCTGAAATGATGAACGCAATAGATGGAAACAACAAAGAGGTATATGTATTTTAACATCCAAATTCTGATAGAAGGTATACAAATTATATTGGCTTCACTTTTGCAGGGACTTAAACAAGAGGTTGTTGTAGATCTCGTTAGCCAATGTCGCACCTATAAACAAAGAGTAGTACACCTCGTAAACTCGACATCGTAAAGATCTACATCTTTTTAGCTTCAAAATTTTTGTTTTGAATTATAGCGAATAAATGATTACTATATACATTTTGGTTCATGTGTCAGAGATGAATCATTGCTTTGCCAAGGGCTAGCCCTAAATGATGATCTGCAGCGCTTACTTGCAAAGCACGAAGCCATCGCCTCTGGAAACGGTGTGATAGAAAAAGAAGACAAATCTAAGAAGGAAGTTCCTAAGGACACAACTCAGATAATAGATGTTGGTTCAAGGTAAGAAACAGCTCTATTTTTCCAAAGGAATCATATAGAGGAGGAAATATCTTTGGGTTCTTGGCTAAGTTTGAATATGAATATATAAAATTTTCTTTTGTAGTGAAACCAAAGCTGTAAGTGTTGTGGCTTCTGCAACTAATGGTCCAAAGATAGACCTTCTAAGTGGTGATGATTTTGAGACTCCGAATACGGAAAACTCATTAGCTCTTGTTCCTCTCGGACCTCCACAACCAAGTAGTCCAGTAGCAACGCCAGATAACTCCATCGTCTTAATCGATATGTTATCAGATAATAACTGCGAAAATTCTACTCCAACTTCGAATCCACACACACAGCATCAGATGGTGCAACAGCATTACTCAAATGGATTTGGACCTGGCCATCAAGATCAATCTTTGTATGGACAAGGGTCATCATCTGGTCCTGTTTGGAATCTCCAAATTACCCAACAACACCAACAACCATCTTCCCCTGCCTACGGAAACCGACCCTTTTCGCCTAACTTTAGCCCTCCGGCCTCTCCTCACTATGGTATGCACTTTGGGCTGAAACTCAGACTGATATTGGTGCCTACAGAAAACCAAACTAAGTAATACTAACTTGTTGTCTTATGGTCTTATAAGGTGGACAAAACAACAATGTTCTAGCATTACCCCCACCTCCATGGGAAGCTCAATCTCCAAGCTCTAGCCCTCAATACTCTCCAACTCATCCAATGCAAGTGACTCAAGTGGTCATCACCACACACACTCATCAACCCCTTGGTTACAACCCTCAAGGCGGCTCTCCTCATGCCACGAACAACAACAACTTGTTTGGAATGTTCCTTCCTCCAATGGCAGGAGGCCACATGCCACCCTTTGGCCACAACCCCAACGTCATAAACAACAATTATAATCCCACAGTGTACGGAGGCTACGGAGGTCAAGCTCAGCCACCACAACAGTATCTTGTAGAACAACAGATGTACGGGATGTCTCTTCAAGACAATGGAAACAACAATACAAATCCCTACCAAGTTTCTTCTCATCCACCTTCGGCTTTTAACCATCCACCAATGATGAAGCCTATGAGTAAGAAACCAGAAGACAAGTTGTTTGGTGATCTTGTTGAACTCTCCAAGTTCAAGAAACCCACTTCAGGACGAGCTGGTAGCATGTAAAAGTTCATTTACACCACATTTTTACTTCAAAATTAGAGATTCCAAATATGTTTTGACTTTTTTTTTATTTTTTTTTAATGTTGACTTTGATGAAGAACACCTAAATTTTCAAAATAAATACCAAACTAATGTAATCTCACTTCTTCGTCTTCTTCTTTTTCCTCAATGGAGGAAGGCGACTCGATCTCTGCTGAATCACTCTCTCTCGAAACTTTAGCTTCTATTAGATCACTCATTATCAACGCCGACACTTCCGACTCGGTAATTTCCTCGGTGTTCGATTTCCTTACTGGTCTTCTGAGTCGAGGGGACTCGGCGATTCTTCACCACGCTCTCAAGCTACTCTCCGACCTTGCCTCCCGGCGAAAGGAATTAGCACCACATATCTTCGAATCGGTCTTTTCCAACTTACTCCGCCTTCAAAACGTGGCCGCAGAGGCGAACCACAAACGCGGCGCCGTCGAATCTCTTGTTGTGCTGGCTTCGTTATCCGAAAGAAACCATGGCATTGCCACTGAGCTTTCCAAAATCGACGGCGAGGTATTTGCGTCGATTTGCCTCGGAGCACCTATATCTTATCGGTTGTGGGTTCTTAGGAACGCGGAGAGGTTCAATGTCCCGTCATCCGTACTTTTCACCTTGTATTTAGGGTTTACCAAGGATCCGTATCCGTATATCAGAGAAGTAGCTCTGAATGGACTGACTAATATATGTAAGGCTGGCGACTTCAATCACGCTCATGCCGTAGAAGGTTGCTATACTCGTGCTGTTGAGCTTCTAGGCGATGCTGAAGATAGCGTCAGATCTTCTGCAGTTCGTGCCGTAAGTTGCTTAGTGGTTGGTGCGGTTGAAAGAATTGTTACAGGCTAATGATTCGATCATATCTAATTGGGGGCTGGCAACTTTTTGAATGTTCAGGTCAGTGTGTGGGGCAAAGTGATGATTGCATCCAAGGACGAAGAGATGAACAGAAGAGAGTGTACGGATGCTGTGTTTCTCCAGGTAACCAGCTCCTCTTTGGGTTGTGTGGCATTTTGAATTCCATGAACTTACCGATTGAAATGTCTTATACCTAGCTACAAATTGATACAATGACTAGTCAGTTCCTCATAAAAACATATTTGTGATATCCACTACATGAATATGAATAACATGCGGAATTTTTAAATTGTAAACGAGTCTGAATAACCAAATGTTTGATGTTTTCTTATAAACATGCTTTCAGCTTTGTTCTATTGTGAGAGATATGAGTGTAGACGTGAGGGTTGAGGTCTTCAGGGCATTTGGGATTATAGGAACTGCATCAGAAATCATTATATTGCAAACACTTTCTAAAAAAGTATTGGGAGCCGGAAAAGGGAAGAAACCGCAGAATCATCTTTCGAATGTATCAGCTGATGTCGCTGCTGCAGCTGGAGTTTTCATCCATGGTTTTGAAGATGAATTCTACGAGGTACTCTTATAATAATTTTCCTTTTTCGTTCTGCCATGGTGCCTTTATGTGCAAACCTGTTAAGTAAGTATTGTAGAAATAAATTAGTTGCGTTTTTATTGTTTCTGGACTTGTGTAAACAGCATTTTCTTGCATTATTTTTGAAGGTACGGGAAGCTGCGGTTGACTCCTTCCACTCCCTCTCAGTAAATTCTATCAAATTCCCAGATGAAGCTGTGTACCTATTGATGGATATGCTATACGATGATTATATGGTTGTCAGGTTGAAAGCTTTAGAGGCATTGCATCATATAGCAGACTTGGGGAACCTTAAGATACAGGAAACATATATGCCTGCCGTAAGTCACCGTACTCTTTTGCCTTTTTTTCTTTATATAGTACTGACTAGGCCAACAGCTAATGAGTATGCAGATGCAATTCTCTTGCTATACTTCATAAGTTCATTGTCTTGTCACGAGTGATCTAAGTGTTATGCTTATAACCAACCTCGTATGAGTTTAGTCCAGCTGAAGTAGCTTCAATAATTCTTTGCATTCTAGCTCCAATGCAAGTTTTTTTAGCAAGTTTCTAAGGGTTAAAAAGAAAAAATAAATAAATCAAAAATGTGTAATAAGCTAAGAAATAGTTCTTAGCTAAGGATTTTAGAAAGTGATTCTTATGGACATGTGTCCATTTCTGATTGAGTGAAGCAAAGAAAGAAAGAAAAAGCAAGTTTTCTGATTTTTTAAAATATAATGCTTAAAGCCTAGTTAAGAACTTTACCATTGGAGGGATAAATTTTACTTATTCTTCAAAAAGTTTATAGCTTCAGATTTTATACTTTTTGTAATTAAAATATACTAACAAACTTGTTAAGTAATTTAAGCATTGGAGATGGTCTGCTTAATGGGACAATAAGTGATTTGTTACTAAACTAGCCTCGCTGCCGGCTACCCCTGACTCCTGATTGTCACTTCGTTTTATTTGGCTATGTCTTTGATATGAGTTGTGGTAAAGAGCTGCTACTTGACTTTGCAGTTTTTGGATGCTATTGTTGATACTTCTGAGAACATTAGGTTTGAGGCTAGAAACATTCTTAAACTGGCAAAGCTGCCTGATCTGAAGCTGGTCAACAAATGTGTTGATGATGTCCTAAAAAGTTTAGAGATGTATCCACAGGTTTGTACAGTTAGCTACAGAGATCAAGTAGCTTCTGATTTCATCAATTCTTTTTTTTTTTTTTTTTTTTTTATATGAACCTCAATTTTCTTTCATCCTAGGACGAACCTGATACCTTGTCTGCCCTGTTCCATTTCGGACAAAATCACGCAAATTTCTTAACCAGTCTGGTTAAGAGATTTAGTGAAAAGGTAAGCGAGCATTTTTCTCTCTTTTCTGTCAACTATAGGCGTACTGATCATTCTTCGCTTACTCTTGTATGCTCTCCAGTTAGGGGTAGCTTCCGGAAATAAATCTGAGTTCAACAGCCTACATATATCTGCATCTCTGATGCTGATAATCTCAGCCCCTCTCTCAAACAAACTAAGCATCGCCTCCATTCCACCCATGGCTTTTTCATATTCACTTGCAATGCTGGGGAAATTCTCTTGTGGACTTCAGGATATAATGGATCAGGATATGCTTTTGGCTTACTTGACTCATTGCGCTTTTCTTTCTGCTTCTTCGGGTACAGAATTCAACAAAGGAGATATATTTTGTCATGCATATAGGCACGGTGATGCAGATCTTGCTGGAAACGCTGTCCTACTACCAAGCAAAGATACAACTAATGAGAGTAAATACATGGCTTCCGAAGCAGAACTGGAAATTAGAAATCAAGCACTCAAGTTTGTGAACTATATACTGTTGAAAATAAAGGCTGCCTGGTTGATATCACAATCAGGGTGCTCGAAAGAAGCACTCCAAGCGTTGAGGTTTTACAGCTTACAATCTATTGAAATATCAGCTTCTGTCTGTTTCATGTGTACCCAAAATAATGTGTTTCTTGTCTTCGTGTCCAGGGCTTGCAAACAGGAGTTAGCAACTTTGACACCCGATTCTTCAATCTCCAATGGGGCATTACAGTTTATGTGTCAGTATATTCACGTAATAGAACTTCTCGCTCAGGTATGGTCTCATTTGGAATACTCAAGACACATCAGCACTTGTATAGCTGTAGAACTGGATATGCTGATGGAGGAGGTAGAGATCAAATTGATGGAGATAAGGTGTAGATTCACAGGCCTGGCGATGGAGGTGTCATTAGTAATGGAGCTAGTAATTTTTTGTTGCTTGTTAAGGCTATATAGATTTGAGACTTGCTGCCGCCTTAGCTACATTGAGAAGCTAACTTCAACTATATCTCAATTAGAGCTCCACCATGAACAACAATGCACCAACCCATCAGATTTTCTAACTGAAACTAAGAAGTCATTGCAAGAGATTGGGGGATCTGCTAATATAAATTTATGTAGACTGCTTCATCTCATCAAGATATTCAGTTGCTTCTCTCCGGAACAGTTTACGTTATCTGGTAATCTGCAGTGTGTGAGCGTGGAGCTAGAGGTTCCTGGTAATGGTCCTTACAGTCCTATTTCCTTTTTGCCTGGTCTTCCAGTGGCTATTCAGTGTGAGATCACGCTGCTTAATGTGCCAAGGGATACCTGTTTGTGGCTGAGAATATCCAGAAGCGATGAAACTTGCCAGTTTGTGTATGTGGATCCAAACCTCTACAATAGTGATGGGAGAGAGAAGAGGTTCATGTTTAGTGCAGTAACTTACATGACCCTGAGGGCTGTTATGTTCACATTGCGGGTCTCAATAGGGATAGAGTGTATGTTTGAAGAAGACGTTTGTTACAGAAAACGGCATCCTGGTCCCAAGCATCCAGTGGCCTATCTGTGTAAGGAAAGAGAAGTTCACCTCAACCTTGTTTCAAGAACATAAGACAAACAGTTGACATTTTGTGAATTTGCAAAAGTTAGAGATTCTTGTTTTGATCATTTTCCCCGTAAATCAGTAAACAATTGCATAAAGGAAAGCTGAGTGGTGAAGTCAGGAACACAACAAGACGTGGCTAACAAATTTTGTGCCTTATTGTGCTTATTTAACTGCCCCATTTTAGAAAGGAAGCGAATGAAATGAGCTGGAGAACATTACACACTATAGAGTCTTCACAAGTTCACATGTAATATCCATAATATATGATACACACACAAATATCACAAAAACCTCTTTCTGCTGCAAAACAATCAACTACTGTTCAAAGTGTGTTTATCAAGTTCAAGTCGTTCTTCATCATAGTTGTATCTACCAAAGAACAACTGTTTGGTTACCCTTAACGATTCAGTATGCTTAGATATGTGACAAGTTTTTAAAAGGTCTATTCTGTCTGTGCAAACATTTTCAATAACCATGAACTCCCAAAAAATTGTTTTCTTTCTTACAAAACTGTCAAGCCGTAAACAGCTAAACCACAAGTAAAATATTTAATCGCAATTTTTCTATAAAATACTAATTAATCTCTGCCGTTTTTTTAGTGAGCTCACCAGTAGTCATTGCAAGAACAAGAGCCGTTAGTAAAACAATGAAACCTATTGTTGTCTCTAACAACAATCTCTCGTCTCGTGATCTTCGATATCAACTTCATCACTTCATGACAATCCCCACATACCCTTAGATTCTTCACCACCCGAATCACTTGGTCATGACCCGTACTGATCAGCCCAAACGCAACAGCAAGCTTCTCACTGTGATAACCCAAGACCCTTTCCTTTTCTTCCTCTTCAACATCAAACATAACAAACTCTGTCGTTGGAACAAAACCCATAAGCCTCATTTCATTACCCAAATCTTCTAGCTTTGCATATATCTTGTCGCTAAGAGGATGAGATTTATCATCTGCTAGAAACTCATGGACCGTCCCTTCCAATTCGATCCAACTATATCCCGGGATCTTTTTCATCCCTTTCTTGTTCATCGTGTCTCTCACTTCAGCCGCTTCGCCCCACCTGCCACTAACAGAGTATATGTTGGATAATTGAACATAGTTTCCAGCATTCCATGGCTCCAAAGCGATGAGTTCTTTGAGAACAGTTTCTGCTAATCGCGTATCTTTGACCAGTCTGCATCCGCTCAGTAACGCTCCCCAGACTATCACGTTTGGCTTTATGGGCATATCGCAGATCAAACGGTATGCATCATCTAACATTCCTGCTCTGCCCCAAAGATCTACCATGCAACCATAGTGCTCAACTGTGCGTTTCAAAGCGTAATCACAGCTTATGGCATTGAAAAAACGAAGCCCGTCTTTGATTAGGCCAGCGTGAACGCAGCCACAGAGCAGTCCAAGGAATGTGGACCCATCAGGTGAGATACCTAACTTCTCTGTTTGTCCAAAAACCGCAAATGAGAGCTTAACGTAGCCATTCTTGGCCAGACCAGAAATTGCAGCATTCATGATAACTATATCTTTCTCCTTCATTTCTTTGAATACTTCAAAACCTCGTGTCATAGCCCCACATTTAGCATACATGTCGATCAGCGCATTGGCCATAAACAGATTGTTCAAGAACTCATGCCTATCTATTAAACTGATACCCCACTCACCTAGATCAAGCGCCCCTAAGCTTGCACAAGAAGAAAGAAACCCAACAATGGAAAACTGGTCAGGCTTCAGATTTTCCTGCAACATCTGGAGGAACAACTCTACCCCTTCTTTGGGGAAGCTGTTCGATGCATACCCTTGTATCATAGTGCTCCAAGTAACTATATCTTTTTCCACCATCGAGTCAAAAATAGAACGTGCTTTCTCCATCTTCCCACACTTTGCGAAGAGATTGACAAGTGTCGTGCGCACAAAGGAGTTCCTCTGTATCCCCATTTCTTCCATGATCTTAACAATCCATTCACCACTGTCGAGATCTCCTAGATGAACACAAGCAGATAAAAACTTAACAATAAAGTAGCTATCCGGTTTCACATCCATCTCCACCATCTTCTTAAACAAACCAATCGCTTCCCTGTACTTGCCCGCAGTAATATACCCACTAAACAAGGCCGTCCAAGTGACAACGCTTCTGTCAGGAATATCCTCGAACACTTTGTGGGCATCATTCAAACGCCCGGATCCGGAATAGATAGAGAGCAGGCTAGTCATAGCGCTCACATCGTGATAATAGCCACATTTCACCACCAGAGAATGGAGTTCAATGCCGAGCTTGAGATTTCGGGATCTGGTGCAGGCCTTGAGAACCAAAGGGAAAGTGAAACCATGGAGGGAGAGGCCGTGTCTGCGGATGGAGACGAAGAGATCGAGGGTTTCATGGAAGAGATGATTGTTGACGAAGCCATTGATGAGAGTATTGTAGAGGAAAATGTTGGGGAATTGGGTATGGGAGAAGAGGAGAAAGGAGTAACGGGTCTGGCGGAAGAAGAGAGTTCGCTTGAGGAGGAGGTTGATGAGGAAAGTATCATGGTGGAGATGGTGGCCAACGAGAGAGACGTGGATTTGTTTCAGATGGCTCACGGTGGATGCGACGGAGATTAGGGTTTTGATTTGCTGCACTTTCGATGTTGATGACGGCACCGTGATGATGCTCATCTCTTCTTTTAAACCTCAGTGTTTATCTCCCGCCAATTTATACATAACTCTTCCTTTATTTTTTATTTTGGTAATAATAATAATAATTGTCATATTTGATCTTATTCTTATGAAGTTTGCTCTTGTATCAAACCCTCTTTTTAAAATCGTTGATATTGTCTTTTCTCATTTTATTCCCACTGCTTAGTTTCATCTTGAATGTTAATATAGAATGTATAATTACTCACCCATAAGTTGTAAAAGTAATCAGTCTACTAAAATCCAAAAGCATGCAATTGTAAATATAAAATTTGTAAATACACCAATATAAGATTCCAACTAAAGATAACATATATGAGACGTATCACGTTATGTTACAACAATTCTCTTTATTAAACTTGGGGATAGTAGAGTTGAGTAACCATGGAAATAAAAGCAAAACTCACTTGGCTCTCTGTGTAGCAAGATGGAGCAGAGTCCGAAAGAATTGAGGAGGGTACATTGGGGGGTGCTCTGCTAATGCCTTCAGGTTTAAAATCCCAAAAAAAAAAAACAAAGAACATGTGTTTATGTCAATGACTCATCAGGAGAAACTCACGTACACAAATCTGAGGACAAATAAAACATGGCTAATAACAATTTTTGCAATCAAACGAAATCAAGTTCTTTGATAAACATTTCGACTAGAGATAAATCAGTTATTTTTGGTAAAAGTTGCAATGAATACTTTTTCGATTTAGTTGACATACTTCCTAAACCACATATCTCTGAAACGATTGCAAGATGGAACAAATAGGAATGCAAAAGTCACCTGTTGGATTAAAACAGTGGAAGGAGTCATCCCGGGAACTGTGTTCACCTCTATAACTAGTACCTGCAAAACGACCTTGTGAGAAATTTTGGAATGAAAGATGAGAGCAGAGTTAGTATAACGCAACAAAATTTTCTGGGCCTGTATCGTACCTCTCCGGTTTCAACGTGCACAAAAGCATCGATCCGTGAAAACCCTTCTAAACCAAGTGTTTCGGCAATCAGCTCGATGCCTTGTTTGCATTTCTCTAAAGCTTCCTTACTGAAATCTCACAACTTTAGTCATCAGCTTCGATATACAATTTTGTCTCTATGTTCTCTCAGACTAAATCAAAATAAACAAAACCGCACCAAACCAAAGAAACCGATCAATTTCTTACTTTCGTATTACCTTTTTTATACCCCAAAATGGAAACGAAACTCACTTTTTGATGATCTTTATACTAACAATACATTTCAATACAAAACCAACTCCAACGCAAACTAATTCAGGTTTCTTGGCCTGAGGATACTACAAACTAATTTGAAACTGAAATAAGTATAGTTTCCATAGCCCAAGAAACCTGGATTTGATAACCGCGACAAGCATAGCTTTTCTAAAGAAGAGCTTTCCAACAAAGTAAACTGCTCTCTTTCATATACATAGCATAGCTTTTTAATCTATTCCATGTACTAATAATACCCTGATTGAAGCTTTAGACAAACCTCATGATTGTTGGTGGTGGTGGAGTAAGATTTATGCCAGTGCCGCCTATTAAAGATATAATTACATATGTCGTTGTAGAGACGTTTTAATGCTCTCATAAAAGTAAAAGAAGACATGAAATGGCAAAGAAAGACAAGTAGGATTACCTTGAAACTTTTCCTCGAGGGACAATATATCGCCACTTTCTTTGACCGTAAGACTAGGACTCAGCGAATGCATTGACCCACGCTTTCCGATTACACCCACAGTTATCTCTACCCACCGCCTCCTACCTTTCCAAGAGAGCTGCTGCTTGGCTTTGGATGAAACTATGATTTCATCGGTTTCAACGAATGGTTCAAAAATCAAGAGCTCTGGTCCAGGATTTGGCATCTCGATCATTCCATGTGTCTACACACACAAGTTGAGATAGGGATTTGGATAATCCTACTTTATCTATACGGTTATGCTAATAAAATGATTTAATTGTTGACCTTAGAAAGAGTGTTTGGAGGAATCCTTGGTAGACAATCTTTTAAAGCTTGTACATATACAGCAAGGTCTTCGGAGGAGCTGAGGGAACACCCAAACGTTTATCACACACAAAAGAACTTAGTGGTGATGATTGGAAAAAGACTTTTGAAATATGAGTTACCATAATCTTGCAACACCAGTGGAGCACCCATCCTTTGCTGGTTTAACACATAGTGTGAGACACCGAAACTTGTTGATCAGTTCATTCCAAACATTTGGGATGGTCTCATGCATTATATCCTCTGTTTTTTTCACATCTTTGCTTATGGTCAGAATTCCAAACTCTGAAAGCTATTGATTACGAGAAACACAACAAAACGTAATTTGTTACAATATTACTCACGTTTTCAATATATTAGCTTGAAGAGTATATTGACTGGTTTCTATACCTGACTAAGAGCCTGAGATGTCGTAATCTTGTCTATGCAAG